AAAGTGAATGCTTTCGTATTTTCTTCATCTGTATTGTCTTATCTTTATCTATTTTTAGATACATTGTGTAAAAATATTTGGTAATTGTAAAATTATTACAATAAATATCAAAATTGCTAAAATGCTTGGCAACCCCTGCTGGAGGTCAGGACTTCCAATTTAAGAAACTGTGTTAATTGAAAGATGTTAATTCCAACTTTCAACATTTGAGCAATATTTTATAATGCACAGAAATTCTCAGTGTGTGAAGTTTTTACTGAAGTCTGAAGTATAAAAGGTATGAAATGGGGGAAAATATTTTATTACATTTGAGAAGTATACATTCTAGTGTTATACGATATTCTTTTGAGTTATTAAGTAGATGTGATTGAAACTTTCAGATAAAATAGAAGAAATGTATTTTAAAGACTGTATGAGAAGTTGAAATCCGGTGAAATAATTTCATTTAGATGTTAAAATGGAAAGATGAAAAAGGTGGAAAAATATTAATATTATTTCATGATTCTGAGCAGTACAGTTTTCAGACTTAGAGAAAGTGAGGGAAGAGACAACCAGAAGTGGTTATAGATTACAACCAAACTGTTAAGTAGCATAATTATTGAAAGGCAGTCCTTTCTGATTAATAAATACCAAGAAATAGGTGGGAGAAATATTACGAAAATATTCTTTTGGAGCAAAATTTGTTCAGTGTTTTTCACATTATAAGAAAAAGATAGTAAGAAAAATGAAGTTGTTTGTGAGCATCATTCAAGTGTTATTTTTTGGAAATTATCTTGTCTATAGAGAAAAAATAATATCCTACCCAAGAAAATCTGCACCTATATATAATAATAATAATAGTAATAATAATAATAATAAATGGGAAAAAATCTAAAAAAATAAATAGGGTTTTATTAAAATATGACTTGCAAGTTAGATAATGCTTACCCAGTTTACTAAACCAAAAAGTTATTATATTATGAAAAAAGTAATTATTTATAACTACCATATACATGATTTTGTAATATAAATTACCTGCATTGAGACTTTACTGTCAAATTTTATATATGTGAAGAAGGTCAAAATAATTTAAATGAAAGAAAAAATGCTTCAGTTTTAGATACATTTATGTTGTCTTGTTGATATTAAATTTCGTTAAAAATATGTTCCTGATAACGCTAATAAATTCAGATTTTTTTAATAGTAAAACAGAAATTAAAATTAAAAAAAAAAATCAAATGCTGGAGGAAATTTTCGAAAATATGTGATGGTTAAGATTGCTGTGCTAAAATCAGTAACTTAATGCATGCTGTAGAGCATTACCCAAGCATTTAAAACCACTAACTGTAACCTCAACATCATGCAAAGTAATTTGCTAGTTGATTCTGTTTATGCCATTCTCCCAATTTTATAATCAATGTTTGTTAGATCATGCAACATTATTCCAGTTTTTTCTTTATTAAAATAGTCCAGTGCTGGTGATTGGGTCCTTTTGATCTTGCAGAGTAGATACCATCTGTTGTAACCTCTGTGTGACAGTATCTTGTGACCAATAATTTGAGACATGTCATTCTGAATTTTGTGTTGTGTGTACTTGGCTGTATTTTCATAAATTACCACTTAGCATATGTAGTTCTCACTATTTTTTTCCCTCTTCATTCCTGACAGTGACGAGTTGAATTTATTAGTTATTTTGTTGCTAGATGCTAGAGAGCTACAGTGTTTGGAAATTTTTTTTTTCATTTGTTACTCAGAATAAATTTGAAAACGCTTGTGTTCAACCACTTTCATATCAAACTGAGGATTATATAGCTGCCAGTAAATAAACTTATACAGTTGTAATCAACGAAATGATTATATTATTCTGAATGGGACTGTTGAACATGCATAATGCTTAAAACTACAGGGATGTAAGGAAAAAAATCTCTAGTCTAACAGATGTAGTTTTAGCACTTTTTATTGTAGGTAAACATTTGTGTAAAAATGCTGATAATTCTGTTTAATCAGCAAATTAAAAGAAATATAGTAAAAGTTCTGAGATCTGGCATCATCGAGACTTCTGCATTTCTGAATTTCAAAAATTTCTAGATCATCTGTTTAAATTTGTTATAATGACATTTAGAAATTATTAAATAAAAAATATGAAATTACATTTTTATGAAATAACAGAGTATTTATTACATTAAGGGAATGAAAATTTACTAAAAAATTTGATATTTATTTATATGTTTTATGAAAGATTTCTTTCAATATAAATTTGAAAGTTGTTTTATTTTCTTTGCTTCCTTTATTTTTTTTTTTAGTCCAAAGGGGCTTTGTCCCTGAAGGGGTATTGTTTTTGTTCTGCGATTTTGCTTTGAATCACTATAAATGTCCGTTTCACTTTTCAAATTGTTGCCACGAAATGATCGAGTCCTGCATTATATTTGAAGAAATTAAATAATAAAAAAAATGCATAAATGTATGTATATTTCTCACATTGTGATAAAACAACGGTACATAGAGCCATCGAATTTTGAATGACGTAATCCTACTGCGATTATGGGCATGTGGAAGCCCAAATTTGGAATTTGTTTTAGGAATTTGTTTTACTATCGATTTCATATTTTGTAAAACTTTAACGAATTTTTGATTAACAAACTCAAGGATTTCAAAGCGAGCAATGGTAACATCGTACAGAAAAAACATTTTGATTTCCAGTGCGCGAGACTGTGTATCAGAAATTCTAAAGATGTGCTCAATTTAAAACTACTTTGCGAAATTGCTCTTGAACTTAATTTTATGGTTTAAGTGCAAGGAGCGTGATATTTAATAAATAAAGGTAACAGACAAAATGTTAAAACATTGGACGTAATTTAAAATCTGAAACCTTTCAGTTTTTGTTTTTCTTTTCTTCTTCTTCTTCTTCTTTTTTTTTTTTAAATTTTTGTCCAGTTACGAAGTTTCGTTATTTGAGTCATGTAAATTACAATGCTGAGAATTCCCACTAAATTGAATTGAAATCTTGTAATTCTCAACAACCTCTTTGTCATTTCTCTCATTATTGCTAACAATATTTTCTGCATTTAAAACCATACTACTGATATCTCTACTACTAATATCTTTAATTTATTGATGACTGAGGCATCGCCATCACAATCGAAGACTTCTGTTATGCCATCTTCATTTTTATTACTCTTCCATATTTCTTCATAGGTTTCATTAATTGAGGAATTTTGCCTTTTGTTTGTCATATCTTAAAAGCTTCAGATTTGCATCTCTCATGATCAGCATCATCATGAGGAAATATGGTAGCTAGCCATAAATTATGTCAAGCATTTTTTAAATATCAGCAGATATCTTCTCTCGTGACCTTACAGTGCTCACATAACAGCTTTTGTGTTAAAATAATAAAAAAATTCTTGAATGGTCTCTTCACTGCTTAGAAAATTTAGCATAGATTTTATAAAGTCTACTTTATATATGAATTTCAGCACCCGCACTTCAGTAACCATATAATTTGCTGCATAATTTGGAAGAAAGAATGAGATGGAGATGTTTTCTTTTACTAAAACTTAAGCATGAGCTTAACAGTTTACAATCTAACAATTTGTGTATTTTATTGTAAACCTACCAATTTCAAATGCTGCCGCGTCTAAACTATGAAAAATTTTTTATGGTTTTTTATATTGTATACTGTTGACTTCTCTGTACCATGTTACCCCTTCCATAATTTGGGAAGAAATTCCTTTTTTTTTGGCGGGGACAGCCATTCCACTTTTTACTGGGATGATAATTGAAACATGTTTTTTACTTTGCAGATCCTGCTGCAGCTGCAGAATTAGAAACTCTTTTTGACATAAAAATTTAAACTTAAAATTTTGATAATATAGTTACAATAATAATAGTCTCCAAAAAATTATAAACTGGATCAGATGAGCAAGTTTAGGAAGAGTGCAGTTTGTTATGTAAACTGAACTAAAATATGAAACTTGAAGTATAATTCTTTTTCCCTTCCTCGCCACTGTACCAAGAAGAGAAAACCAATATGAGCAACATCGCACTCCAAACAAATGTCAAATTACCACTATCAAATCTTGATAGATTGTGGTATTCAAATTATCACAATCAACCACTATCAAGTTTCAGAGGTGTTGATATCATCTTATCATCATATTGCTATAATTGATTTTCGTAGTCATCTTTCACTGTATGTAGAATTTCATTTTACCTATGAACCTGCATTTCTCTGAGTCATCTGAGAGAAATATACTAACTTCACCATACAGCAAATAAAGGTTAGGAAATGTGGTTGTGGCAAATCATATTGCTATTATTGAATTTCGTAGTTATCTTTCACTGCATATAAAATTTCATTTGATCTATGAACTTGCATTTTCCTTAGTGATCAGAGAGGAATTACCTTGGCATAATATACTAACTTCATTATGTAGCAACTGAAGGGCAGGAAATTTGATTGTGGTAAATCTGAGTACAACATTAATCAATGTATTTTCTTTGGTTATGGTATGAATTCCTAGTTAGTTGGTACCGTATTTGACGGCATATAAGACACACTTTTTTTCCTAAATTTAGTCTCAAAAAGTTACCTGCGTCTTATATGTGAAGGACACAGTCTTATACATGAAGGTAATTGCATTCAATAATTGTTTATTTGGCTTTTACAAAACGTGAGAACTAAAAGAAACCACGCTATTGAAACTTTTTTCCTTGTGTGTGGCCATCTAAATAAGGATTCGTCTTATATGCCAGTGCGTCTTATATGCCGTCAAATACGGTATTTGAAATGGCATGCAGAAATCTCAGTTAACCAGGAGAAAAACTACTTTTAAGACACATGATTTATCTTGAGTGTTATATTCTCCATTTGTAGACTTTATGATACGGAGGTTCAGATTTTAGATCATTCCAGATTCAACTGAAATATGTCTGGATTTCAGATTTTGTACTGTGTATAATGCTATGAAATATTTGATTTAATCTGTAAGTATTATTTTTTAATGGCGTCAAATCTATCGTAGATTGATACGGATGAAGAATATGGCACACCATCTAGAACAGCTCACATTAGAGCAGAAGTAGATAACTCACCATCTGTAAATATGCTTCTTGACAGCACGAAAGGAACAAATGTAACTTCCTTATCAAATCCTTCTACACCTACATCACCTCTTCTTACATCTCTTCTGCGCAATGTTTCATCTGCTAATCCTTGCAATCAGACTACATTTTCTGTTGGTTCATCACCTTTAAAAGAGGTAAGACTAGTTTATTTTAATATTTTAATGCATGCAACATACTCACAATATTTTTTTTCACACTGATTTTAATTCCACTTAATTTCGGCTTACCACTTAATTTCGGTCTGTTAATTTTTTTTTTTTCCCTGCATGGATACTTTTGCTATATGGCATGCTTTAAGTAGAGGTTTGCTAAATTTCAAATTTGCATTCGTCTTTAAAAATATGTTCACTGATTATTTAAAGGGTATTTATTTATGGGAATATATATGTATATTTAAAAACATATGTTACATATAAAATGTTTCAGATCTTTAGCTAGGTTTAATTTTCATTCTTCCTCAGTCATTGTGCCTTCTCCACATAACTGTTTTTATGTGTGCAATGACTTCATCCTTTTATCTTCAGTCACTTGTTTTAAAAGGTTAAGGTTGAAAGCTCATCTCACCCACCTATGCTTCACGTCGACACTTCATCGGCAAATTCTCGAAAAAATGATGTCTTTCTTTCTCCGCCAAAAATTCCATCCGCAGGTATATCACCTCTACTAACATCCCTGCTCAAAACTCCAACTACAGCTGTTACCTTGGCACCAGCTAGCACTAGCACAGCTTCACTTCATAAAGAGGTATTTCATTGCTTTCTTGTTTTGAGCTTATCATAGAGGTATCCATCTTCCTTTGAGCTCTTTTCAGTTTCTTACTTATTATTTATTTTTTTCAAGAACACTTTAAAAATTTTTGATGAATAGGGTTATGTGAATCTTATTTTGATCTGATTGGTAGATACTGCACAAATCTGTTTTGCATGCACAATTTTCTTAAAGTTTTACACCTTAGCTATACTTTTTTTCTTGACTGTGCTTTGTAAGCTTAATTTTTACTAATTTCTCTTGAACTTTAGCATACAGTTTCTAGTTATTGAAGGTTTGAAATTTGACATTTTGTAACTTTATAACTATTTCATTGCATTGAATTCTATAAATGGATTCATAAAAATTTCAAACTTATTTAAACATAATTTTTTTCCTTGATATTGTGTGTATCAAGTTTAATTATTATACATTTCTTTTTTTCCCTTTAAGTGTGATTTTGCTGATACTTCGGATAATGCTAAATCTGGCCTTCTATCAGAAATTGAAGTAGGAGGGCTTACAAAGTCCAGAGAAACCTCTCCCCGAAGCACTGTACCACAATCACCACGTCCTGCACCTGCATCATCTCCTTTACTGAATTCACTCTTAAAAAATTCCCCTTCGAATGCACCTACTTTTTCTCCTTTGCAAATACAACAGCCAAAAGAAGTTAGTGAAATTTGAATTTTAATCAGTATATTTTTTGTTTTAAAAATTAACATAAAGATGTTATTGAAAAATTTCTTTTAATTATATACTTTTAGAAAACTGATGTACATATTTATCTGCGAAGTGCAGCCATTAATTTCCAGGACTAATCTAATAACTCCAGAAAATAGTATATAAAATACATATCCATTTAATATGTTTTGAAGTAACTCCCATCTGACGTAATGCATTTCTGTACTGGGCTGTATAAACTTTGGAAACAAATTTTTAAGCCCTTGTTCGGAGTGCTGTTTAATGTGGACATAACCATTTTCTTGATGGCTTCGACATCCTGAAATCTTGTTCCCTTCAGAAAAAATTTCAGTCTTGGAAACAAGAAAAGTCTGAAGGCACTAAGTTTGGAGAGTATGGAGGGTGCAGTATTTCCACCACCTCATTCTGGGCCAAAAACCACTTCACAGGCAACACAGTGTGAGGCTGGTCATTGTCATGCAAAAGCAGCCAACTCCTATTCTATTCTTACTCTGTAAACCTTTTGTTGAAGTATGGTAAGAACTTCTGCATCAACTATCTGGTGACAGTCTTGTCAAATAACAAATTAATGATGAATTAGTCCTTCGCTATGAAAGAAAGTGATTAATGTTACCTTGATTTTGAATTTCTGGAATAAAAAAATTTTCGCACATGGTGAGCTATGATGGTTTCCGAGCTCAAAATCTCAAAATCCAAGCTCACCAAGCCCAAAATCTGTCATTTGCTTTCAGGGTAATATTGGTAACATTAAGACTCGTCACCCATTACTATCAAATTGTGGAATACAGGGCTAGTGTCAGCGTTGTGGAGGATTTCACGTTATGAGCTCATTCTGAATTGCTTTTGGTTCCTCTGATAAACAGTAAGGAACGAATCTAGTACAACCTGTGTTCAGTTCATTGGTGAGTGCTCGAATAATTAATCAGCGATCCAAAGTCACAAGCTCATGAATGACTTTCTCAGTTATTTCTGCCATGTGCACTGAATCCAGCCATCCACTATATGCATCATTTTTTATACTTTGCAACTGTCCCAAAAGTGGCGAAACCATTCAAAAGTGCATGAATGGAATAAGGCTTTCTCTCTGTACACTTGTTCTAACATTTCGTGGGTTTCTGTGGCAGTTTTGTCCAATTTTTAGTAATTCTTGTTATTGGCTTCTACAACAAAAATTTACCAGCTGTGTTTTAACGTGTGTTTCAAGGAGACAACCACTTGCCTCTGAATGGTGCCATCTTAGTTGGACATGCGCAGATAAATTTCTTTACAAGCATCACCATGTTGTGACAATTTATAGCTCTCATAGAGTTGCGTTAGTCCTGGAAATTAATGGCCGCATTTTATATATATATACAGTAATTTGGATGTGGTGAAGATAAATTTTGAATCATACTAAAAGAAGAGAATTGCAGACATGGCTAGATTTAAATAGTTCTTTCTATTACTTATTAGCCAAATACTTTTATAACCAAACGTAAATAGCCTACCTGTAATAAGTTCACATGTTTTAGAACTTCTACATTTTTTATGTCATTGCAGTAAGAAGAGCAGTGGCAGAATGTCTAATTGGCAAGAAATGCTGAAAGCAACTGTGATGTGTTTAAAACAGGGCTATTTGAGTTTCAGTTTGCGAAACCATTTGTATCACCTACATTATGTGAAAATGATATAATGGCTATTAATTTTAAAACGATGCAGTTGAGAGAGGTTTATAAGCACTATCTATTTTTAGAATAGAAAGAGGAAATATCCAAACCATAATGAAGAGTTAAAGGCTTACTGCAAATTAGCGTAAGAATTTCGCTCTGCATATTTTTTTATGTTTCGTATATTGAACATAACAACATAATGTGCATACACATATGAAGTTTTATTAGACTTATTATCATACTGATAATACTGAAAATACTGAAATAGATATTCATTGATAGTATGCTATTAAATAACATTGAAGGTTATAATTTTCCAAATGACAGTTATCTCTGTAAGTAGGATTTTTATGGTATTTTAAGTTTTAATTGTTTTTATGTTAATTATTATTAGTTTAAGTGTATAAAATCAAAAATTTTAAATCAGTCAAAAATCAATCAAATAATTTAAAAATTATGTTCTCTTGGATTATACTAAATCCTTGTGAAAAAAGAGGGGTTACATCATTTATACATTATGTGCCCAGCAAAATCATGTTCTGCAATGTTGACTTTTTATGGAGAAAATGTGCTAGATGTAGGTCAGATTGTAAAAGTGCATATAATTTAACCAAACCCAAATGGTGATGCATTTAAAAGATAAAAAATGAAGCAAATATTTATTGAAAGGAATTTTATTATTGCATGATGAGTAGGTACATGACAGAATTATGGATTAAAAAATTTGGTGATTTTTGCTTGGGACAATGCCTGATGCAGCAAGTTTTGCAGTAAAGAACACTGAGTTTTTCAGTGTCACAAATTGCAGTCATCTTTCTTCATTGCAAAATCAGTCAGTTTCTGTGCCTTTTTTAATCATTCTTTTAATTTCTTGTAAGGTAAAGGCACTTTATCTTTGCCATTGCTGCTTTCACTGTTAGCTTATGATAGAAAATCATCCAATTCTTTAGTCACCAAAAATCCTTTGGCACCAGTTGCTTTTGCAGTTATGCAAACGTATGCCTGGTTATGAACGGTTTTTGTTCCACTAACCACCCAGTCCAGAGCGACAAAGTTAAAGTGTTGTCGTCAGTACCTCATTTGAACTGTCTCGGATTAATTAAATGTCCTTTTCTTAACTAAGTCTGAATTTGCTCTGGAATCAGATGATAAATGTGTAAGGGTTTGGAAAGAATGAGGCACATGGAATCGGACTTGGAACATTTTCAAAGATCACATATTCAGAGATGGAAGCATCATGGTTTGGGTTGGAGTTTCCAAGGGCTATTGTTCTGAGCTGCGCATCTTTCAAGACAGCTGTATGATGGCTGCACAGTATGAGAAGGAAATTGTTAACCGCATTGTGAGACTTTATGCTGTGGCAGTTGGTTCTGATTCCTCTTTAAGGATGATAATATCCGTTCCATAGAGCTAATATCATTTTTTAGTATCGGAAGAGGGAAGGCATTTCTCATATGGAATGGCCACCATATTCCTCTGACTGTAATCCCATTGAAAATCTTCAAGATCCTGTTGGGTGTGTATATCCTACAGCATATTTCAGGCAGTTGGAAAATGGTCTAATGGAGGAACCCCCATTGCTAGTATCTGTGATGCTTGATCACCTCGTTGAAAGCATGGTTACTTGCCGTAAAGTTTCTTTATTAATTTAAGTTTTGTTTGCATGTTTGTAGCTTTAAACATCAGTTTGTTAATGAGCCGAATGGGAGTTGTCATATAATTTATGAAAATTAAATGTTGTTTTCATCATTGCACATAATGCTGGATTTCTTTCATGCATAAATGCATTTGCTACCTTCATGTCTAATTTGGTGGGTCTTGCATATTAAAGCAACCACCTTGGCAGAGTTTGGCAATTTTTTACGCATGAAAAGGTAAAAGTTGCTTCTCATTTACAAGTTTGTGTTTTTTTAGCCTGTTTTGGGGAAGATTCTCAGACTATTGATATTTATCATAAGTCAATGAGCATTATTAACATATGAAAAGAAAATACACTTTAGCAATTTAAAATACAAATTTGAACTATTAAATAAGGATTACGTGATACATTAAAAAAAAAAAAAATTCTTCTTCAAATCTTTCTGTATTTTTTTTTTTTGCACTATTCTTCTCACGAAGTTTACATCGATCTCTTTTTGCTTAAAAAAATCTGATGTGGACACTACATGACTTCCTTGTATAGCATATTAAATTGTACACGTTTTTTTTTTCTGCATTTCGTTTAAACTTTTTTCCTTGAGTTTCATTACAGATAAATTTCTCATTCAATTCAGTTTCCACTTCATGGCAAAACAAAAATACATAAAAACTCAAAACACCTTCGTTGAAAATTGTAAAATACAGAAAAACATAAAACACCAAGTAAAGTTAAAACAGTTAAAAAAACATATTTTGCAATTAAAATTAGAGTTTCTACATGAAAACAAGCAATTCAGCCAGCAGATCAGAAAACACATTTTTTGGTGCATAGAACTGAACATTTACTTTGGTTTCGCTCAGCCAAAAAACACTGAAGGTGCAGAAACTGATTTAATTAACTATTCTAGTGAGAAATGCAAACAAATGTTGGTTCATTAGGCTTAACTCACCACTTAAAAATTTTAAATTGTTAATAATTCTACACCTATTGCATGCAGGTTAACTAAAGGCATAAAAACCTAAACCAGAACATTAAAACCATACAATTCAATCCCTTTTAAAGCAAAAAATGCACAATTTAACAGTTTATAAGATTAAAACTGCTAAGCTCACCAAGCCACTTAACAGAATAGGATATATATATATATACACAATTGGTGCAGCCAATTGCAATGAGAAAGGGAGGTGTGCAACTATATGTTATAGCAGTCCCATGCACCAAATTTCAACAGTCTATATCTACTCATTGAGTTATGTGAGATAAATACATACGTACGTACAGAACATCAAGAAAAAGTCTTTTCTCAATCCATTTTAGAATCCATTTTTGAAAAACAGTCCTTTATTCTGTCCATAGTACATATTTCATGCAATAATATTGTTTAAATGGTATCAAAAGTGGTCAACATGGATATTTTTGTTGAAAAATGGCATCCGAAATTTTTCGGGATTACAGTTCTTCTTTATACAAGGAAGTCAAAAATTGGAGAATTGCAGAGGCTCGCCTTCATACAACCCTCGGCAACAAGGAAACACAGTTCCTGTTTTTTCCATTTAGACAATTTTCAGCAGAATTTTGTATTCCTGCAGAAATTTTACTACACATTTCTTTCATTGTTGGCAAATTCTGCAAGCTTATATTTTAGGTGAAAACTAAGTTTAAGGCAAAAAGAATCACAATTTGTGTATAAGAACTGTTGGAATGTAGAATGTAACAAAAAAGAATGCGTAAGAATGCATACATTGCTTGACCGAAGGATTGTTATGATCATTAATGCAGGAACAAGGGTTATGTGGATGGTAGCCAGAGTTAGGCACATTCTGAAAATTTGGTAACTTCTGGTAAGGGGATTGCTTTAGTACATAAGTATCATATGGTGTTATACTTTTTTTTACAAGCTTTATTTATTTATTTTAAATATTTTTGCTGAATTTTCCATTAAGTGCTTAACTTTTGGAAGCCATTGTACAGAATTTGTACGGTCCTTAAGAGTCCTTAAAAGTCCTTAGGTTTTTTAGAATTGATTTTTGGTCCTTAAAAGTCCTTAATTTCAGTCAAAATTTGCAGAAGTTCCTTAATTTTAATCATCTGAAATTTCGATCTGTTTTTATGACTGCCATTTTGAGTGTGAATTTGTATTTTGGAGGAATATTTTTGGCGATTCATTGACATACAGTACAAAGTCCGTAATCGGGACTCATCGGGACTTTGGCGATTCCGGATTAGAGGTTTTTCCGGATTATAGATCATCAATTTAAATCTGGTAAGATGACATGCAGAAATTATACAATTAAAAATATGAAACCGTAATTTCTGAAATAAAGAGCAATTTGATCTAAAGCGTATCCCCCCCCCAAAAAAAAGAGCGTAATATTTATTTGTTTATTTTATTAAACATTTCTTTCAATGTAAGTTGTTTAAGTTGCTTTGTTTTTTGTGCTAATACTTTCTCTTAAATTCTATAAACAGACATAAATTTCTTGTTCAGTTACAAAGTTCCACTGTTCAAGTCCTGTGATTGCTGTGTTGAGAATACCGACTAAGTTGTCAATTGAAATTTTTTAGTTTTCAATAAACGTTTTTCGTTTTCGTTCTCTGTCACTATCTTTACTATCGGAAGCGCGCATGAAACATGCATGCATTAAAGCATACAAAAAAAAAAAAAAAAAAAAAAAGTGACTTTGAGGTCCGGATTATAGATTATTCTAGGTAATGGACATCCAGATTACGGACTTTGTACTCTATATGGTTATCTTTTGAATGAGTGATAATATGTTCCTATTTCTAATATAAATGGTGGTATACTCAACTTTCTAAGCAAGAAGTGAAACATAAGCAAATTAATATTTTCTAATGAAGAGCTCTTAAACAACTTTTTGCTTTTGTTGAAGATATGAATCCCTTTTTTTTTTACGCTTCTAAATTTGGCGACTTATCAACATTTTGGTGATTTTAACATCAGTTTTAATGAAAACTTTTAATTCCGAGATCTGGGAATTTTTCAAATATTTTTATTAAACATTGTAGCATTGATAAATTTCATTAAAGTAATGGTAATATATTGAAATTATATTTAAAAAATAACATTAAAATAAAACATTTTTATATTTTGCTGTCATAATTATAAAGTTCTATTTTAGCAATATATTATACAATATTTTGAATCTGGAAAATAAACAAGGCATAATGCTATAAAGCACAGTTTACGAATACAGAATATTAGTTCTTAGCAAAAGCAAAATTAACTATGTTATTAATTAAATATATCCTCTCTTTCATTTTTTCATAGTAAGAGTTTTTCCCATCTAATTGTCTCAGAAAATTCAGAATTCTCAGAAGATGCATTAATTTTCTCTATGAAATTAATTTTATACTTCCTCCGTTTTGTTTTTAAAGTATTTCTGGTTTTTTGCTATCACAGAATTGGTAGAGATAATTTTTCTTTAGGATTTTAGACACCACAGCTTGGAAAGTTTAGAAAGGTTTAAAGGCAAGATTTATAGACACGTGATTCTAGAAGATTCCGGGAATATGTGACAAAACGAAAAATGTGTCCATGGTATTAATATGTAGGGGATGCATTTTACAGAAAGTTTGCGATGAATTACTTACTGTTTGGAGAACATCTGGAAGAACAATGAAAACATAATATATAAATGTTTTGCTTCAGATACTAGAATCTTTTTCTTAACATGTTCATCTTCCCTTTATTTTTTCTATTTTTCATTAGACACAAACATGGAAAATATCAAAAATGTTTCTAATCTTTTCACATGGACAGGCGTTATAGAGAGGAATTTTTTTATTAATAAATTGAAAACTGACAATTTAAGAGATTCATCTAATATGCCTTAATGCATCATACACAGAGCTGGGCTGGTGCTAGGCATTTTCCCACCTGATGCAATCGCTGTGGATTCTAAATTCTGCTGCCTAGTGCTTTTCTAAATTCTGCTTCCAATGCCTGCTTTAAATTCTAAGAGATTTGACATTTCGAGATTTTGTTGCTCTGTGTGTCACTAAATTCTAAAAATTCTGCTATACAAGCTCTATAGCCAGCCCTTGCCACGTATACATATTTCATATTTTTTCTGAATGTTCATATTACTAAAGAAATAAAATTAGCAGCTTTTTCTATACGTTCTAATTGCATTTAGTTTTTTTAAATAACAGAAATCCTTAATTAAATCCAAAAATTTTAAAATAAAAAAGAAATGTGTTGAAGAAAGAAACTGATTACGTAAAGAAAATTATTCTTCAAAGATAAGTACAGCTATTATGTAAATTATCCCAGTTGTTTATGATTTCAGCCTTTACTATAATTTTCCGTTTCTGTTTTCTCATGTGATAAAGTTATTGAGCAAGCTTAAATTAAAATTAAATTGTGTAGTCTTTGACCACTAGTCTACGTTTTTAGTTTGAATTTGACTGTTCTTGTTTAATTACATCACCATGTGACAGAGAGGTTATTAAGAATGAAAAAATTTTGATTTAGCAGGAATTTTCAATGCTCTAATTACAGGACCTTGAACAGTTGAACTTTGTAACTGGACAAAAAATTACCTGTATCAATAGAATTCAAGATAAAGTATTAGAACAAAAAATGAAACAAGGTGATCAACTTACATCAAAAGAAACATTTAATAAATCAAGTAAATAAATATTCAGCCTTCCTTTTTTGTGTGTTTGTGTGCATACATTTTGATTCTCTTAAGGTTGTAAGTGCTTCATTATTTCTTAAACCACTATTTTATATTTTAGTTTTATCATTTCTACATGTCATCTTACTAGATTTAAACTGATGATCTAATATCCTGAGTTGCTGAAGTCCTAGTGAGTCCAAAACGCAAACTTTGTGCTCTATATACGAATTTTATTCTCCAGACACATTTCGAGATGGACATCTGCATATTTATCAAGGTATCATGACTAATATTTTGAATATATATGTAAGGCTGGGCCACTTGGAATTAATCTTCCAAATGGCCCAGCCTTGTATGTACATTCAAAAATATTATAAATAAAATGAAAAATAAATTTTAGAAACTAAAAAATATTATTAAATTTTTATGTTACTTAATATTTGTCATGCTACTAACATAAAACCATGAAAAATCTATAAAATATACAAAAGTTTCAAATATACATTACCATGAAAACAAAAGTGTATAAACTTGATTAAAAATGTGAGTACTTAAGTTATCTCATATCATAGCCATGCATGTCAAATTGAGTCATACTTTTTTTTTAAAGAGAAAATGAGTATTATTTTTTTAAGAGCAAATGAGTAGTATTAAAGGAAAGGCTGTTTCTGTGTATGTCATTTTTGAGAATTTATCATTCTGCATTGGAACTTCAATTATCTATCAGTCTCAATTATTTGATATGGTGGATTAGGAAATAAATGGGTAACAGAAAGTCTACCCCATACCACCACAAGATATGGCAGGGTATAATGAACAATACTCTTTTAGTTTAATATATTTATAGCACAAATAAATCATTATAAAAATGAAAATAGATCATATTTATATCTCTTTAGTTTACTAACCATGTATTTTATTAATCATGTGTGTTAAATAAAATAAGTTACATTTAAAGCAATTTGTTGGCACATCACAATAAATATCTGATATTCATAACAAGCCTCATCTGCACCATTTTAGCTCAATTCTATTTCATGTTGTCATATGTTTAAAAACTTTTCTGTTGATATTTCGTATGCTGGCACATGAAGTTTTATGAACGATTTGGTAAGTAATTAAGAACATGGTATCTTGTGATTGCCAGACTTGCGCAGCAGGTTTTAGTTTGTATTAATTATAATACACTATTGTATTTTTTCACAATACAACAGTATCTATAAATAATTTTAGTCTTTTATTATAAGTGTTATAACAAAAAAGGTCATAATTATAGTTTGGTACAACATGGCCTATTTTATATATTATATTTGTTTTTTTTTTTTTTTTTTCTCTTTTCATTTTCTTCCTCCTCATCTTGCTTTGCTTTTTAGTGAATTCATTCTGTCTTTTAGATTATCTGAGAGGATCTAGAATAACAGAAACTGGTAATTAAAAGAATGATGGATAATTGAGTTTCTATTATATAACATTTTGTCTTTCATTCTGAAATATATATTGGCAGTGAATATCCATGCAATTAATATTCTCTCAAATAAATATTTATTCACTTTGTGCTGCTTTTTGTTCAAAGGCTACAACTCCAAAGGCAGTCTCGTCTCCTCAACCATTCTTCAATCCTACTAGTGCACTGGCTACTGCAGCTGCTCAGCAACTTGCTGTAGCAACTGCGACTCTTCCTCAGACTCACCAGTTTTTTCTTAATGATTCACCAGAAAATCGCAAACATTCTATACAGAATTCTCCGGCTACTTCTGCATGCTTGTCAGGTAATATTTTTTTGCATCATAAGCAGCACATGTTTAATTTGAGTAGAGGTTTAGAAAGGGTAAACCCAATCATTGAATGCAAGTCAATGTAATTATTTCAGAATTTTTAAATCAAATCTTTTGTTTATATATAAAAATATAGAAATTTTAAATGTGGTAAAATTCATCTAACTTTATTATGAAAAAAATAACATTAAATTTTTAGTTTCAAAACTAATCATATCCTGTTTTCTCTAATGGAGAAAAATAATATTTGATCTTAAATTTGAAAATAAACTATTCCCTCCCCCCTTTTTTAAATCACTTGTTTTTCTATTGGAGGTAAACTGTGAGACAGCATCTAATATGTCCTGATTTGCCTGATTAGGCTAGTTTTAACAGAAAAGTAAGATACGGTTTTAAACAATAAATAATGTTGTTATTAAATATTTTGTAATTTTCCTGTCTTTCACCTCTATTTAAACCACATAATGGAAATAATGTGAATTGCTAACTATAAAAAAAAAGTGTTCAATTTTTATATTTACTACAATTTCTACATTAAACTGTTAAAACAATGTTCCTTGAATGAGCAGAAAACTGCAATACACTTGCAGTTAACACAGATTGGGGGAAGGAACAAAAATGTAATGTTGAAACTATCAACATGAGTGATTTGCTGTTAAGAAAGTTCCTCACTATAACAAAAATTCATTTGGGATATGCTGCAAAATGAAGCCATTTATTATAATATTTCAAGGTTACAGTTTTTATAACATCTAACAGTAACATTTGGGTTAATTTGTATGAAGATATATGCTATTTTATAATGGAAGCAAATGATCTCATTTTATTTTATTAAAAATGCTGAACTATGAAATAAATCTATCTTCATTTTTCAAGAAGTAATATTTAATTATCTATATTTAGAGATGGATTATATAAATTAAAATTAGACTTGTTCTAACAACAACCCAAATGTTAGATTCTTTAAAAACTGTAAACTTGAAACATTCTAATAAATAGTTTCATTTTGCATCATATCATAAATGAATTTTTGTTATTCAATGAGAAGATTTTTCATAGTAAATCACACATGTGGATAGATTAATATTATATTCTCCCTTTTTTTTAATAAATTATATATTTGTGTAAATTGCAATTGTATTGCATTTTCTGCTCATTCAGGGAACATTGTTTTAAATGTAGTATTTGTAGTAAATATAAAAATGGAACACTTTTTCTATAGTTGTGGGGGAACATGAAAAGATAACTTAAGAATGTTATTATAATTATTACTATTCTTGAGAAAATGATCAGTGATAAGGTTTTTATGTCACTGTAGGTCTAATGATTTATCATTACAGTTTTCAGTACTGTAATGATAAATCATTAGATCTACAGTTTTTTAAGCTGAGAGTTATAATTTTCTGTTGAATCAGTCACAGGTATCTCCTTGAAAGGTCTGACTCTACTGATTAAAAATGATGGTCCATTCCACCCTAGTTTATCGTGGATAATTTTCTCTGGATCTAATCCACTTGAAATTAGATCTGTAAGATTATTAGTCAATGAAGTATGCTGCCATTGGGATATGGGTGTTATCTTTTGGATCACTGCTACTTGGTTTGATTTTGCGTATCTGTTTGGATCCACACAAGAACAGTTGTGAATCTGGCAAATGTAGATGTTACTAATTTGGAATGCAAGTAGAATTCATTTTATTAATGTAGACATCAGCATTATGGCACACAGTTCTAGACAGAGAATTGTAACCTGATTGGAGAGACATATTGGAGACTGATTGGAGAGACATGATTTGCTAGAAACCAGCCTAGTTGTCACTTTATCAGATGAGTCACTGCATCTCATGAAAAGAACTGCTCTATATGCACTTTCAGAAACAACTTCTGATCCATGTATTTCTTTTGTAACTTTCACCATAGAGAGAATGCATGTCTGCTAATTTCTAAATTATTAAAATATTTATTATTATTGCAAAAATGAAAGAAAAAATATTCCATTCTTGTGATTCTTTGGCAGGGAGGGAATCATTCCAACCATAACTTATGCTTAACTTGCATATCTTGCTTAACCATAATTTCTGCATGTATATGAAGGTTTATGGTTGGATGTGTTACGTGTGACCAAAATGTCAAGGAATGGAAGAGAATTGCATGTCTTAGGTTCAGAAGTGAACTGAATAACAGGATCAATGGAATTCATTATTGAAAGAACTTTATTTAAATCATTTTTATTTCAGTCATCTCATCAATTTCGATGCAGGAGAAATGAAAGTCATGAAGTCTGGTTTCTAGACATCTTAATTCTCCCTCTACTGGAACATTGGTTAATAACGAAAAAAAATCTTTCTGTTTTAAATAATGACTCTAATTCCAATCCATCTTTACCTTCAGCCTTTAAGGAAATTATTTTTTAGTTTTCTTGCATGGTGCCAGTAGCTTATCTCTTGTCCAGCCATTCTTATCTTATCACATTCATTTGCACATTGGCAGCTTGGGCTGATGGCTCCGTAAAACCATCGAAACTGGTCTTGTGAAAATTTGCAAATATAATGATTCATGTAGGGAACGGGGACAAAAGTTATTTAAATCACTGCATTCTGATTAGTTAGGAAAAATAGTTAGGATAAGCAAAGTTCTACTTCAGTTTAAGTATACAAAACTATCACCAGCACTGTATTTTTAATATTATTTTCATCTTTTGTAGTGTAGTTTTAAATATCAGCATGGCATTTTTGTTTATTTAAATATTTTTTGGTAAACTATTAAACTAATTCTTAAAAATATTTTATTGCACTTACAGCACCTACTTTATCAAAACTTTTGGAGATGCCACCAAGTACTCCAGGAAGGTTACCACCACTTCCTGTTGTAGAAGCTCCTGTCACATCTGTGTCTTCAATCTCCACATCACCGTCAGATAATGTTTCCAGTGAATCTATGTCAAAATCTAGTACAATACAAGTGCCTGATGCTGAACCATCAGTTAGGCAATCTCCGGACAAAAAATTAAGTGATAAAACAAGTTATGATAAAATAACTGTTTCAGAATCACCTAAAACTTCAAAAGACTCTGAATTACAGGAAGAAGAGAAAAATATTCCAGCATCAAAGAGTAATGAGAAAAATAAGTTTTCTAATCAGAAGTCACCGCAGACAGATACTTCATTAGATATTGAAAATACATCGCAAGAAAATTTACTCGATATACTCGAAGAAGCCAGTGAAAGTATAAATGAGTTTTTGGCAAAGGAAGAAATTAAAACAGAGCCAATGGATATAGAAGACTATCAATGTTCTGTGGGTAAGGTTTTCTTATTATTCTTGTCTATACATGCAGCCAGGCTTTCTTAGTCAATATTTAATGAATTTTATTTGTATGCCAGTTTTAACAACTTTCGCTTTTTCTGACATTATTTTAATTTTTTAAATTGTCTGATAAGAGATGTGTATTGATTATGCAACACTAGCTACTTGTTTCTGAAATACATAAAATATTAAAAAAAGTTTGGATATTTCGAATTTAACCATATAGGCTTTATTCATGTATATATGGAAAATATCACCTATTACACATAATGTATCTAAAATAATTTACATAAGATTTTTTGTGTATTATAATGTGATTAAATATGTTCTGAAGTTTTAACAAAATCTTAATATTAACGAGTTATTTGAAATTTTCAACTTGATGTTGATGAGAGAAGCATTGCTAATGTATTTTGTCTGGTTTCTTAAGTACTAATTAAAAAAAATCACTGCTTAGAATACAAATTTTATGCATTCAAAAACTGATTATTATATCAGAGTTTTTGAAACTTTTTTTTTTTTTTTTTAATCACAGCTTTTGTATTTTAATTTTGTAACATTCCTTATCCTTTTGCTTCTGTATGTGAAGGTATAAGTATGTACATATATACATTATTAATATTATTTAATTATTTGATATGTGCCTACTAGCTACTACTTTGAATTTTACCTGGTGTCTTTTGTAACAACGATTCTGAGTTTTCTTTTAGAATGAAGTTCTTTTAGTTCATTTAATCCATTTTAATAAGGATAAGTGATCTTGGCACACTAATATGTTCATGTAACTTGTTCACTTGTAAATTTTGTTTATATAATAATTGCAGAAATTTACTGTAAAAAATATTAAGAATATACCTTAGAATTTTATTTGGCATAACCTTTCATCGCTTACCTGTATTCCTTTATGTAGCAATCAAAAATATATTCCGTGAGTTAGGGATGTCAGAACTGCCACCTAATAATTGGTGGCTCTCTCACATACACATACATACACACATGGTGTCCATGATAAAGTCCTGACCCACCTAAAAAGTGAAAATGAATGCGAATGCAAATCCCGATTCATTTTTGTCAATAACTCAATATGCGATCTTTAGAAAATTTCACCTTTTGTGATACTAGGATTGCCGAGTTTCCTTCATGGAAGAAAAAAGCCATGGAAAAAATTGCAGAGAAACTGGCCAGAACAAATGGAAGAAACTAATTTTTAAATTCATTTATAATAATATATGTGTATTTTATTCATATGTAGCAGTGTTATAGTACTAATTTAAATATTTTAATTTTCTAGATAATTTATCTAGTTTCATTTGTATGCAATAACATTTTCTTAGTAAATTATACATATATATATATATACACACACTTATAATTAAAAATAAGAAAAATTGATGTAAAAATGAAATTAGAAATCATATTCAGGTACAGCACAGCAGAACTAAAATAAAAATAATTAAAAATAGTGTAAACCAGCATTTCTTTTTGATAAGTGGAATCTTTTTTAAATGTCCACTCTTATTGTGAGCTTCTAAGTTGCTTCAATAGTATGCTTTTAATGCATCATTTTGTAAATGAATTATTTACAGCAAAAATGGTAGTTATTTCAAATAATATTTATTTGCTTCAAAAATTAATTTCAAAATCAACCCAATAAGGTCTTAAAATAATACGACTTTTAAATTATAATCATAATGAGATGAGTGATGCTGCTTTTTATTACCTTAGCTGTATTTAATGTAAGGCTGTATGCATGAAAGTTGAATGCTCATGTCAGGCTCATGTCAAGTCTTTTTTTTTTTTATTGAAAAAACCCAATTATTTTTGCTGAAAACCCTATTTTGCACATATACGTAGTTGCAAATGGTAAAAATGACATCACTGCCTTTTATGGTAATCCATCCTTTAAATTGCACCAGAATTCAACTAAAATTACATTATTAACATTTTTCTTAACATTATTTTTGCAGTTAACATTATTATTTACAGTTAACAGTATTAACATTTTTCTTGCAATGATGAGGCAGATAATTGAGTTCATTGATCTTTGTAGTAGTGTTGCTTAAATAGGCAATTTCAAGCAGCCAGTTACTATCAAATAATCGACTTCCAATGTGTTGAAAATGTCTTTCCTTGATATTACCATCTGATTTCAGTATTTAGACAAGATGTATGTATTATTCCCAGTTATAACTGGGAATAATTTTTTTTTACAGCAAATACCTGCCTATGGACCCAATTTAGACTGTTACATTGACTGTTAGAACAATTTTGGTGATATTTTTAAGAAGCTGTATAGCTTCATTAATTACGTCACTCATGTTCTTCTCACTCCATCAGTACAGATATCAATACCAGGGTTGCCACCTCCCGATTTCCAACCATATTCCCACCATCGCACCCACAAAAGTGATTTTTGGCATCTGAAAGCTCTTGTGTTTCTCTAGATGCATATAAAAAACATGAAGCCATTTCATCACTGAGCTATGGCACGTTTGTGCTTTGTGTATCAGAGTCCAAAACACTTATCTGAAAATGTCGTTTTCTAGTTCTCCAGTGAGAATCAAGTGCCACTGTGAATCATCTGCCATATGGCCAATGAGTACAAAGCAAGATCGAGGTTGTTTATTTCGTTCATCTTGCCAGTTCACGTGCTTTTGAGAAACAGTTTAAGAAACTGTGATCTTTTGTTTCAGTTATGTCTGTAAAAAATGTAAAATATTCATGTACTTTTCAAATATTGTACATATTTGACTTTCCTTCTATTATTTCGTTGAGGAAATGTAATATTGTAATGTGTATCATTTGTCATTGCGATTTTTCGATTTTGCATGGTGGAAGGGCATATGTTTTTAAACATGTGTGTATACAAGGACAACAAGAGTTATATTGGAAAAAAAATTAAATTTTTCTGCAGAAACAAAGAACTGAAAAGTTATTAATTCAGAATGCCTTTTTACTGGAGCACAACCTGTCAGTGAATGCTTTGGAGCATGCTGCAGCTGTTTTAGGAAAATGTTTCCCAACAGTAAAATTACGAAGAAATACTCGGTGCAAAGACATAACCAGCTGCAACTGTAGAAGAAATTGGTATGGAAACTAAACCTTCAGTTATTGATTGCATTAAAATAGTTTCATTCGTCCTCTCTACGGATGGAAGCAATAATATCGAGGCAAAGCTGTATCCAATGTTGTTTCTTTCTTTCTTTCTTTTTTTTTTTTTAATCCATAATCTTCAGAAATTGAGTGTAGTTTACTCTATGTCCCCATTTTAGAAGGAGATTCAACAGGCTTTAATATATAGTACAGCTAATTAATAAAACTAAAAGAAAATGCTGGTCTTCAGGATAACTGCTCAGTACTTAGTGCCAATGGTACACCAGGAATTGTAGGCTTGAAGATTGATGTTGCAGGCATCTTAAAAAAAAGAAAATTCTTATATGCAAATTATGTAATGCTCCTGACACCTCTTAAATTTAACAGGGAAAAAGGGTCAGCTTCTTTGTCAGGATGAACACATTGTTGATATTTATTATTATCTTGCAAAGATTGCTAAATGGAAGGAAAAATTAAAACAATTCCAACAGCTGAATAATACTGAAATAAGAAAAAATCTGAAATATATTTGTACACACTGGTTATCTTTAGAGAAATGTTTATCCAGAATCCTTGACAAGTGCAACCCGCTTCTTACATTTTTTAAGGAAGAAGTAAATGCTTCTAGAGTTAGGATTAAATGCTCTGTTGAAAGTTATAAAATATCATAAGGGAATGAAGGTGTAATTATTACTTCCACTATTAAAAATAGGTGTGAGAAAAAATAAACAATTTCTGCATTTGTGGGCAATTTAAGTGGCAGTTCTCAAAATAATGCTACAAAATATAAGCATAAAGCTCTCTCAAAACAAAGTTCTCCCAAAATAAAAAAACAACCTCTTGACAAGGGACACATTTTCTGATTATTGCAAATTTATTTTGTAAAGAATGAATATTTGTGTTTTTGTCTTCGGACCTTAATAATTAAGACTTTTTTTTTTTTTTTTTTTTTTTGTACACTCCATTTTGCCATCATTTGATGTTCTTAACTCAGTTCTACAGTGCAGAATTAAATTAATTCATGTTTTACAATCAGTGATTAGTGATCTGTTCAAAAGTATAATATAATGATAGGAAAACTGATTAAAGTATTTTTTCTGTTATTAGAAGCTAAAAGTAGTAAAACTTTTTTTTTACATGGAAGTATTTTTGTATTATTTGCATTTAAGAATTATTAACTGAACTTTTAGGTATTAATTAGTTACTATTTGAAGTTAATTCATTATTAAAAATATATTTTCTTTCTATATGTTATTTAAAAAATATTTTTGTTACTGAAGATGTTCTGCCCCCGCTTTAAAACCTCCTGCTTTTTGTTTGTCATAAGTTGGCAAGTATGGTAGTGAAACAGCAAAGGATTGATGTTGGTACTGCAGGCATCGATAAAAATATGTATTTCATATGACACTAGACGCCTAATAAGTTAAACACTTTAATAAAAATTTATGTAGGACTTAAAACTCATACCAAAAATACCAGTGTTTTGCCTTAGCAAACATTGGTTCCATAAAACTGGTGAACTCTAAAAGAAAGGTCGTAATTGATAATTTTTTATAGAATTTTTGAAATTTCAAGCATTTGTTATTAATTGCCATTCTTAATAATTGAAGTTGCATGAATGTTCCTTTTTTAAAATATCTATTCTAAATAATAACAGCATGGAAATTTGATTGTAACTTTTTTTTAGATGTTACTCAAGAAGCGCAACAATTAACGAGCCCGGATGTGAAAAGTATTCCCATAAAAATTGAGGATTTTTTTCCTGAAGATGTTTCCAATATAAGCAGTCAGGCTGAAAAGAAACTTCCCAATTTTGAAAATAAAATTGAAGAAAAAGTTGTTTCGTCTCCTAATATAATAGAGTGCGTAGATTCACTCACTAGTGAAGGTGAACAAGTGAAGAAAGATGTAGACATTGTAAATACATCTTCTGAGCCAAGTGGAGTGCCTGAGACTGTCAGTTCTGACAAAGCTGATGTCACTCCTGAAGAGGATCGAGGAGTGAGTTTTATAAATAATCTTCTTATTTGGTTCACTGACTCTAAGATGCTATTAAATTCAGTACCACCACCTAAGAATCTAGGCAAAAGCCTTTGTTACAAATAAAAGTTTAAAAAAAAAAAAAAACAAAAAAAAAACTGAAAGCATTAGATTTTACATCACGTCCAAAGAGGCGCTTTTTTTTAACGTTTTATGTCTTACGTTTATTTATTAAATATCATGTTCTACATACTCAAACCAGAAAATTCAGTTCAATAGCAATATTGCAAAATAATTTTAAAACGAGCATATCTTTAGAATTTCTGATACAGAGCCTCATGCGCTGCAGGTAAAAAAAATATTTTCCCCTTCCTGTACAGTGTTGCCATTGCTCGCTTTGAAATCATTTAGTTTGTTAATCAAAAATTCATTGAAATGTTACAAAATATGAAATTGATAATAAAACAAATTTCAAATTCAGATTAGGGTTTCCACAAGCCCATATTCTATGGAAGATTGCGTTATTCAAATTTTAATACCTCTAGGTACCATTGTTTTATCACAATGTGAGAAGCATTCATACATTAATGCAGATTCTTCATTGTTTAATTTTTTTAAATATAATACAGGGCGATAATATTTGGTGGCAACAGTTTGAAAAGTGAAACAATGCTTACCGTGAATTGGCGCAAAATCCAAAATGAAATTAGTAGTCCTTCAGGGCAAATTACTCCTTTGGATTAATAAAAGGTTTTTATTATAAATTTTATATTGTTGCAAAAATAATATTATATTAAAAAAGCAAATTTTGTTTGCAAATTCTATTAAGGATGCTTGTATTGTGTAGTAAAACATGGTATTAAAAGTTTTTTTTAATGAGTAGTTGTGATATCCAGTGGGTAATGATTTGCATGAATAATTTGAGATATTTTCGTGTGATGACTTTTAACCAAATTTCCAAGAAACATGGGTGTTGGTAAATTTATAAACAATTTTTTCATAGGTTCTGCTATTTTTTTCAATAGATTTGCTTTATAAAATAAGAATTTCATTGATGTCAGTAAAATTTAGATTCTAGCACACGGAAAAATTATTATTGATTAACTTAACTATGATTCATTATATATACTACTACTTATGATGATAAGGGCAGATAAATAGGTTGGTAAGTAAGTTGGTAGGATAGGTAATATTAATTACATTACATCATATGGATTTTTAATGAAAACTGTCAACAAGTGAACAGTATTCTAAGGTATCTTTTTTGTTTAATATATGTCAAATTATTATATAGATTATGAGTGACCCATCACTCACTTTCAGTCACTTATTACATTTTCATGACACATCATGCCCGGCTGTAGTCCAGTATAGCTAAGGTTCATTTAAAAGCATAGGCAGATTCTGTTCTTTGTTTTATGTGAAAAGTTGAGTGTCTTAATTTTTGTATTAAGTGAAAGACATAGTAAAATTATAAATAAAAATAAATAAATTTAAAAAGTAAAATGAATAATAAAGAATAAGAATTTTTTTCTTATTTTTAATTAAGAAAAGAAATTATAAGAATTAAGAAATGTTAAGAATTGCCTACCCTGATTAGAAATTCTCTCTGTGTGTATGCATAGCAAATTTGTAGCTAATAGATGGCAGCAATTAAGAGAATATAACAGTTAAAAGATCTGAATTTTCATTTCTTTGAAATCTTAATCAAGCCATTTTTCACTCAGAATATAGTATACAAGTGTTCATCTACTAGTTTTCTGAAAATGAGCCAGCGATATTATATTTAAGCACCTTCTTTGGAAATTTTTTATGTGAGCAATAAAATATAGTTTCATAAAAAAGTAAACCAATAAGTAATAAATAATTAAAAATATTACACAGAAACAGACACATGCACTCATGTATATATTAAATTTACATAGTGGTGAAAAAATTTTATGGAGAATGACTTTTCCAGTTTATTTGAAAAAGTAACTTTGAGGTTAGGTGCACAAAAAAAAATAACTTTACACATAGATAATTAATATTACACTTAGATAACCAATACAATATTATTTCATGCAAAAAACCAGGTAAACCTTTAAGGTAATTCATGACACGATGGGATACCACTTGTACCACTACACATCTAGAGCAATAAAATGGCATCTTTGCCCGAGTGTTAATTCTCCTAACATGCTGATAGTTTTAGCAACCAAATGAAAGTGCAAGATATAAAAAACTTTTTGAATAATTATTTAGAAAATATTGATTATATTTGCCAAATAAAAAAAATTTTTTTTTTTTTTTTTTTTTTTTTAAAGCATACTTTAAAAAAATTGCTCCCTGTTTGACTTTTTATATATTGGTTAATGATTTCATAAATTCGTCAGAATTTCATCACTGTAGGATCCTGGCCTGTAGAGACTGTGGTTTATTGTTCCGCATGTTGCTGCTTGTATTGGTTGGGATCTCATGACTGTCAGGCAAACACAGAATTGGGTGGATCCAGGAGAGCCGTACTGAATGCCATGCAGGATCTCAGCAGGCATGGGCCACTAATGTTAATGAAGGCATGCATGTTGTCTTCTTGGCCTGGTGGGATTATATATCCACATCATGTACCCTGAACTTGGCTTTTGTGCAGGATGGCAGGTGCTTACTTGGTCAGGTCTGCACCACTACAGACTGTCCGCTTGGTGACCATTGTTGTGGCTTCCTTTGACACTGCAGCAGAGACAGGCATGCTTACAATGGTACAACATAATGATGACAGTGCATACAGGAGTGGCCTCACATTGTCTTTTACAATGAGGCCCAATTCTGTGTAACTTATCATGTTGGATGTATTTGTGTATACTTTACTTATAAGCGATAATGTAGAAAGTAGTTATAATTTTTCTGACTTGTTAAGGCTCATTTCTGTACCCTATCTTCAAGGCCAGCATGTCATCTTTCTTCTAGGTAGTGCATAACTGCATATTGCTCTTGCTTTTGTGATCTTCCTCAATACAGAGAGTGTTTAGCTGTTTCCCTGGCCGGCACATTCTCCAGATCTTTGAAGATCTCCAGATTCCGCACACTCATTCTTCAGGTTCATGAAGAACATCTTGTCATGGGTTGTGGAGAGACTGGTACACCACCACTCAGTAGCTGTTATGATTGATGAATTCTGGCATAGAGTTGAAGCCACATGGAGTGAAGTACCCATATTTGTTCATCTAAGCTCAACTCAACTTGATGCCTAGCTAAATTAAAGCTGTTGTTTCTGCCAGAGGTTGCAGCTCTGTATTCTGAATGATGTATACTCCAAACCGCCTGCAAATTTAAATATGTCTTCCCCTAATTATACTATATGTGTACAATAAATAGGGTTCTATTCTTTGCTTTCCTTCCTGATGTAGCAATTTCAATGGCCAGCAGCGTACTTTGTGATGAATTCTCAATTCTCTCAGTTGCTGAACAGTTCGTAAAAAAAGTAGGGGAGAGAAGTTTCTGAAATTTAAAATTCAACTAACCTGACAGTAAGCTGTCGGGTTAGTTGAATGCCAGATAGTCAGGTTATTATTATACTTTTAAAATTATAGCTATGTAAATCATAATTAATAATTGAATGTTTAATGCAGTTAAATAGATTTTTAACTTTCTTTGTGTTGCTGGGTATTTAAAATAACATAATTGCATTGAAAATTTGTGAAAAAATTAATCACTGTCCTTTTTTTAATTACGTTTTCTCTTTGTGTTGTGCATGTTTTTGTTACCATATGCAACAGTGTGTACAGTGCCATTTTGAATTGCTTCATTGAAATGTTAAAATCCTTTCTTATGTCTATAAAGTTAAAAAATTAATTTACAGATAAACAGTAGAAAATTTTATAAAAGCCGAATGACATCTAAGAAGAGATCATCAACGGAAGAAGAATCCTCAGAAAAGTCTCATGATGGAACACCATTAAAGCCACCAGCCAAGAAAATACGGACAAAGCTAGATTTCGATGCTTCTCCTCAGCATTTTATCAGTGACAGTGCTGCTGATGTTCCAGTTAAACAATCAGATGATCTTTCTGGGCCAAAAGATCAGGTAAATATGTATTATAATGGCTATATTTTGCGGTGTAATTAGCAGGAGGTCTGGCTAGCAATTAAGATATCTGGATTTGAATGCTGGTGAGGGCATCTTTTTTCATGTTCCTTGTGCCAGTATGCCTAATAACTCTACAGTTCCACCCAAACTAAAATGTGGTGGACAGAAATTCATCACCATCCTTATTTAGCAGTTGGATGGATGTCTGCCTTTCTAACCACTCTCATTGCAGCTCGATTTTTCTAAATCCACAAATCCATATTTGTATTGTTTAAAAAGTAATGATACTGTTTTTTGAATAAGAACTTTTTAAGTAAATTAATAAGAATTTTGCAATTTTTTAAAATTGATAGGTTTAAACATAAATAAATAAATCTCGTTTCTCCTGTTTTATATTCAGAATAATATGTCTCAAAATATAAATTCGAAACTATTGTATGATGCAACTGAGCGTTTTTTCAAGATAAAAATCAAGCATTTTCTTCTGGTTTCCTTTATATCCCTCTTTATGATTGTTGTTTAGTTTCAATAGAAGTAAATTGAAATCAGAATATGTGTTGGTCTTTATGAATACAGTAATTAAAAAAGATTTTCATTTGAGTAAAAAATAAACTAATTTCAAAAATAAATCAAATGCTCCCTTTTTGTACTCATACACTGTCTTTTAGAAAAATAAAATAAATGATACAGAACAGATTGCAAATAATTTTTTATTCAAGAAAGAAAAATTATTTAAAAATAAATATTAACTTTTCAGGCTTTTACATAAAAGTTAAATATTTTTTTAATCCTGCAGATAATGTGAAGATAAACATACTGAGATTAAATCTAACTTGAAATAACGGAATTAATTCATTACATGCAGACTGGTTTATAAGTTACGTTTTATTTTTTTTTACGTATGAGACCCTGGAATCCTCAAATCCCTTGAATTTTCATAAAGTTTTAAATTCAACCTTAAGAGCTTTTTCATCACTCAAATCTTCTGAATCCTCACCTAGAAAACAAATCATTAAGTATTTTAACTCAAAACTTTGCAATGACTAATTTTATTGATTCTCAGTATAGAAGATTTCACTAAAAAGTGGAATTGGATTGCAAATTCAGTGATATCTGAATCACGATATAATTCCTGATAGCATTGAGTACTATAGTGCTTTGATATGGCATCCAGTGAAATCTGCCAGAATTTTAAGTGATCAGCACATCACACATCACATTATGCAACACATCACAGAAAACTCTTGGAACTATTCCTGGAATTGTCACAGTATTTCTGGACATAGGCAATTTACTGTTAATAAATTTAAAAACTCATGTTGCAATGTATGAACATTGTGCTAAGCACACATTCGAATTGTCTATGAACCATTGCTGTTCATCCGTTGCTGTTGAAATTTGAGCTACTTTTCAAATATAGGATAAATTAAAATTAATTATACAAAAAGAAAACATACCTGTGAATGCTGTAATGAATTTAATTGTCCCGAATCCATGAAAAATTCTTTACTGCCATTTGCTTTGCCACATAAGATTCGTTCATTATTTCATTAGTCAGTCAGAAATCTCTGATAGCTTGGGAGATTTTTTAAATTTTCATTGGAATGTTCAATCCTGAAGAAAATCATCTTGTCCTAAAATAGGTGAAAATTGTTTACCTTTTTAAAGTTGCATGTAAATTAATTTTTTCAAAAACTAATTTGTCTTAGAATGCAACAGTAAAAAAATATATCTATCAATAGTTTTGGATCTTTCCTAAAGGTAATTTCCTCAACTCGGCCATAATCCCCAGAAAATTTGGGAACTGTTTTAACTACGTTCTGCCTTTTATTCCACATTACCTGTGCGATTTTCAAAGGATCTGATAAATTTCTATCATCATTTTCTGACTTATCATCACTTTGATTAGATCTTCAAGTAAAGCTAATACATGAGCTATTTCTAGCTTTATGCAAGACAGTAAAAAATAAGTATTTTAAATCTAAATAAAACTTTTATGCAATTTCTGTTTTCAGTATTAAAAAAAAAATATTTATGTTATATATCAACCACACAAAATAATACATAAAATCAAAATACTAGCATTGGGAAGTAAGTATATTGAGCACAGAGAGAAATTTTTGGAAATGAAAGGTCTTTTGCAAGAAATAACATTTTAATTGATCAGGTGCACATATTGTTTAGTACTAAAATGACTCTGTGGTTTCAGTCCTCTTTGTCTATATCCCAGTAAAAATAAACGCTCCTGCTTGACATCAGGGAACATAATTGTAACTTCACAATGCTCAGTGCTGTAGACACTCAGTGGACATTTGCTCCCTGAAACCACAAAGGAAATACCATAAATATACAAAGGTTATAATTAAACTATACACATATATAGTTTAATTACTGCTATATTTTTATTGTTTATGATAAAAATTATGTGCAATGATTAATTTTTGAAATTTAAAGTTATTTATATCAATCAATAAAAGGAAGGATTTTGTCTCATTGAAAACCAATTTTAAAAGACCTCAGAAATGTAGTGTTCTGCTGTCTTTTCATGTGATTTAGAGGTAAAAGATAAGTAATCAATTGGTTTTCACTTAAAAATTTCAGAAGGAAGAGGGGGGGAAATTTGAAAAGTATTAGTTTGGGGACATGACTACTACGTGCCAAGGGAACCTTTTGAAGGGTGGTATATAAAACAATATAAATTATGGTAAAATGTTGCATGAATTGCAACTTATGGACCCTAAAGCAAAAAACTGAGGCTTAAAAAATGTCTAGAGTGAAATTCGGAATTTTGAAGGCAGATATATATTTTATACCACTGCCGCTGTACATTTTCCCCATATAGCTGCCAATTGTCAATTTTTGTTTTTTAAAGCTGTTTACCTGCCCCATACTTTTAATGTGTATCTGTAGAAGTGGGTGCTTGAATGTAATTATATAAGTCAAAAAATTATAAAATTTCTCTATAAATTTAAGATTTTAAAAATAAAATTTATGTTTTTAGGCACTTTGGTGATGCCACCCAGCTGAACATACTTATGTAAAAATATGTGAAAAAGACTTTTGAAAGTGATTTATATTTAATATTTATTATTTTATCAAAAAATTTTTCAAATATAACAGTGCATGCGCAAAATGTATCATGCTGTAACTGAATATCATAATGTTACAGGGAAATGTAACTCAGCTGAAAAATGAAAATTAAATTTTTTTTTAAAGTTATTATAGCATAGTCGTATTCATTTATATGAATTTGAAGTTACTGAAAAATGCAAATTTTTAAATAAAGTTTAATTATGGCAAAAATGTGTGAAACGACTAATAAGAGTTTTGTATTTACTGAAATTTATTGGAAATAATCAGTTACATAGGTTTGTTTAATAATTTGTGCATTGCAAGCATGTTTTTTTTTTCACATGGATATTAAAGTCACTGATAACCTTAAGTCCTTCACTGTCACCAACAGTTATCAAGAATGTTTTTAATTAGCATTTTTATTTTAAGGTATCTGTATAGTTTTTTATACAGATGCTTTAAAATGAAAATGCTACTACACTTTTCATCTGACTCTTCATCATTGCTTTCCAAGTTATTTTTGTTAAGGTGACATCATCAACTACAGTTGAAATAAAAGATTTTATGTCATTATTGAGGCCTTCAGTATACAAGTTTTCATAAGTTTCTAAATATTTTTGTATTTAGCATTGCCATTCATTTTGACAAGTTGAAATAATTCATTTTCATCAGTAATGTTTCCATTGAAGGCACTCGAAACTGGAATTTCAAAGCTTGCTTTCTTAAAACAGTGCTGAACAAATCTTTGTGATACGGATAACAAAGGCTGTCCAACGAATGGCATTCAGTACATTAACACATTTTTCAAGCTGATCACTGTTTTTGCAAGCAGCCCGACAAAGAGCATGCTGTAAAAGTAGTTTTTTGTGTTGAACCTTGAAGTTTCTAATCACACCTTGATCCAAAGGCTGTAATAATGTTGTTGCATTAGGTGGGAAAAACATTAGTTTCAATGATTTCAGTGCTGACAAATTTTCAAGAAATAGCAGAATCTTCCTATTTATTCTAGACGTTATTGCATCAAGAGCAACCAGCCATTCTTACATTATGCTTTGTTTCATCCATGACTTTTTCTTGTGATGCCAATGGACTCATAAAATTTTTGGATTGATGTTTTTGAAGTCTGTTTGTTTTTTGGCCTGTCCAATTACAAGTGGTTACTGAAACTCTCCTTCCATGTTACAACAGTGTTATGCAGTGAGACATTCGTTGGAGCTTTTAATCACCAAAGCACTTTTCTTCTTTGAAGCATGGAATTTTATTAAGCAGAATTCCATAAAATAATCTAGTTTCATCTGCACTGTAGTTTTTTTTCACCCTTTATAGCCTTCCCAAACCTTTTAGCTTTTTTATGTAGTCTGTTACATGTTGCATACCTACTGATTTTTCTTTGTCACAAATAATCTTAAAAGTAATGTTATGTCATTGCTAAAAATTTTCCATTTGATGCTTTGAAGCTCTCTAGTCCCAGACTGTCTTTTCTGCCTTTTCTTGCAATAATACTCTTCTTAAGGAATATTTTTTGATCTTATAGAACAAAACAATTGAACACTATTGTATCCATTTCAAATGCTCCAATTTTCTAAATCTTACAGTCTTAGAATGTTTATTTATTTCAATTAGGAATCTATAATTTTATCACTTCTCTATTCATGACTTACATGGTTTTTACTTGTTCCATATTTCCCCCCTAAATCTCTCAAATAAAGCTTTTCAGTTTCTTCCACATGAATTACATTAATTTGTTTTAATGTTAATCTTTTTTTTCTTTGAAGCCATGCTAAATAACGTAAAAACACACAAGTACAAAACTATAATTTTTTTCCTTTTTAGTCCTAACAAGAACTTTCATTTTATCCACATTGTGAGAGACAGGCACATTGACAGGTTGTTCAGTCATGTCACCACCATTTCTTTCCCATTAGTCCCTGTCTTGGATTGCCTTACAAGTTCCTAAAATATGCTTTTTTCCCCTATTAAGAACTATAGCACGAATAACCAGATTTTGAATTATATAAATGTGTAATAGCCTTTTGATTGCACCACAACTTTCTCTCAATATGTGCTCCATTTTCCCCTGCTGAAAGAAATTCTCAAAAGTGAGGGATTAACGTTTCACTTCATTGTTCTCTTGTCACAAAACTATCTTTCATTGAGTACAAATTTGCCTTTGAAACCTCAGAAGATTACTAACAAAGAGTATTTCTATATTTATTTATTTCTCTACCTCTGTCTTATTTTTTAAACTTTTTTTAGCATCCCTTAATAAAAGGTAAGATAATTAAGGTCTCTTTTCAAAGGGACCAACAGAATTGAACCTCATACAGGGGTATCCCTTATTTAGGGTGCTACATAGATTAATTAAACACTTTTTCCAATCCACTTTAACCTTCAATTTTATTTGACAGCACTTTTTTATACACTTTTGTTGTAACCTTTTGTAAAATTAATAGGTTTTTGCAAAATTTATTTAAAAATACTTCTTTTCAAAATTCCTGTTTGTTTTTTTAATGTTTTAGCTACACATGTCCTTTATATATTTCTTTCCATTTGCTTCACAATAATAATTAAAATTTAAAAAAAAAAAAAAAAAAAAAAAAAAAAAAATTTTTTAGTTATTTTATTGCATTTTGTGACAGGTGCAAAAAAGTTCAGCTGCTTAACTTAATTACTAATATATTATGCTTGGTTAAAGAAATTATTTTATTTGTTCATGGGAAGTCAGGGAAATTAAAAGCTGAATTTCAATAGAGATCTTGTACTGCAAATGCATCTGCATTTACATCAACTTGAATAAAATATCAGGAAATGTATAAAAACTGTAAGTTTTATTCTTAGAGAGAAAGGATTTGACTTCTTTTCACTGACTTCTTATGTGAACTTGAGGCTCGCAATTGTTCATTAACTTTTTTTTTTTTTTTTTTTTTTTCTTTTTGATCAAGTTCTAAATTTTGAATTTTAGAGTTGTGACTGGTGTAAACAAGTTTCTGTTTAAGAATTTATGCTCTTTTGATAAACTGAATTTGCATATTTAAAAATAAGGTAATTTTTAGTTAAGTAGTGGTCACTTTGTTTTCTGGAAATTAACTTTTAAATTATGTATAATTTGGTAATCTGATGTGCAACGTTAGGATAAGTATTCTGAAACATGAGTTGCTTTGTATGTTTTAGGAAACTAAATCACCTACAAAGGGAGCCGAGACAAAATCTCCTGCATCTAAGAAACCTAGAATATTTGAGAAAGCAGCAAGTAAAGAGAGCAAAGAGCATAGTGAGGATGAAGTTCCATTAGCGAAACGTGCGGGAAGAAGAGGTACTTTTCTCTACTTTTTTTTTTTTTTCCTTGAGTCATATTTCAGTGAGAACAGTAATTTTTTTACTAAAGCAAATTAAAAAAGTTTTTTTTTCTTTCTGTTTAAAAATATGAGTTGATTCAAAATACTTGTTAAATCAAGTAGTGGCATCTTCTCTATCATGACAATAATTGAGGTGTGTTAAGTTATTATTCTTTTGTAAAAAATCTTAGTTTTTAAATGAGGGTGCATATTAGGTATTACTCTTGTTATTAAAATGTCTTACTTTTACTTTTTAAATGAGCCATTTTCTAATTTCACAAATGAAAATGTTGCAAAAAATCAAATGCGGTATAAAATAAGAGATTCTGCAACTTTTGATGTGCCAGATTGCATGATTTTTTGCAAAATTGCTTTTTATGCCAATTTGTGCTACTAAAATTTATGTGCATGCGATTTTGTGGAATTTTTGCTACTGCATCATTTTATTGTGCTGCTTTTTTCAATTTATGTTTTATTTAATATATTGTAAAGTGCTTGTAAGTTAAAATAATGTATCTATTAAAATTAATTTATAATAAAAAATACAATTTATTAATACTTAAATAGGAATTGGCATCTGCCGAGCCTGAAATCATAGAGCAGGTACGATCAGTTTTCCGTGCTAGGTGCTGGTGTTCTCATTTGTTTGAACTTGTTTAATCTTTCTCTGATTTGTGAGTAAATGTGCAAAATGCATGTCTGATTATGACTCCTGTGTTATCTTAAGTCTGAATTATGATGTTGAAAAATTCAATATCATCTTTAACCCTCTGGGTGGCCAGGGTTTTTGCTAAGAAAGCACAAATTTCAGTTTACAACTAGGAGAACAAGTTGTTTTTTTGATTTTAATGCAAAAACTTTCCTGGTATTTCATACCTGGATTTTGTTTTCTTTTGATATATTGCCTTAATTCCATTGACATATTTTAAAATGCACGTATATATACATTCTTACAGATATCACAATCAATATTCTAGGCCGTATATATACGGCCTTGCCGCTTAGAGGGTTAAAAATGCTTGGCTTAAAATAACCATGTGTGATAAATGGCTAGAAAGAATGAAAACAGACAAGACTAAAGCTTATTGCAAGCTGAACTGACAAGACTAAAACTTTCCAAACTAAAGGCACACAAAGCTAATTTAAAGGAGCATGGCTTCTTTGAAGCATAATCAAAAGTCTCAGCAGACCCTGAGGGAAATTTTTAAGAAAGAAATGCCATAAAATTTCTCATCTGAAACTTTACATTTACATGGGACAAAATGCACAGCATTTATAAAGAAAGCCATTTCACTTGAGTCTGTCAACAAATTATTGAAATTAATAAATCTTCTTTTCTCTTATATGTAAAATGCACAAATGTTTCATGTTGTAAGCATCTATGCTTATGTGTGAGTTATTATAATGAAAAAGAAAATAAAGAAGACATAGTTTTTAGGACTTGCTGAGTTGCAGATACTACTGCTAATGTGTATGTAAACAAGCTATTTTCCAGAAAAACTGACATTAATTGAAGAAATTGTTCTGCTTTTGGGACTGATAAGGCATCTGAACTATGTGGAGTAAAGCAGTCCCTTTTTACATTAATAAAGATATCCCTAATGTGTTATTAATTTAGAATCTGCCACTCTCTGCAATTGCCACTATAATATATTTTCCTTCTGAGCAATACTAGATTAATTAGGTATGATAATATGTTCTGCAATATATCAATTACCTAATTATATTAATATCATGTTAGTATTAACTTAGCTAAAGCCAGTTTATGCTGAGAAAGAAAAGCTGTAATTTAATTCATAGGCTTGCATCTTTCCGATGCAAAGTGCTTTGAAAATCCAGGAAAAGGAAGTTATTTTGAAAGCATAAAACACTTAATTGAAACACATACAAAGACAGACTTGAAACTAAAGCATTCTCTCACATTTTCAAACTAAAGATTAATTCTGATTCTCATATTCTAGAAACTGATATCACTCTACCCCTGCTTCAGTTTACTTCATTTCTCAAGTTTATTTCAAAATGAAGAAAAATTTTATCAAAAGTAATTATACCAATCAAGTAAAATGGAATAATTCAATGAAAAAATATTGTTTAATGACACTGGATGTGATATCTTTACATTAGAGTGGAATATGATTATAGTAAATTTTTTTGAGGCAACCACCTCTGAAAATGGCTTGCATATAGAAGAATTAATATAAACTCTATAAAACGATTACCTCCACAGGAAATCAAACTAATCTGGAATTATGGGTGGTTTTTCTTGTAAAGTATTCACTGTTGTTTTGTAATATACTTTATTTCAAATGCTACTTGTTTTTTGGTTAAAATGAAATATTTTTAGAATTGATACATACCATCTTAGCAAAACTGAGTTAAAATTTTAGAAGTTAAGACATGAATGTGTTTATAACTGGAATAATTATCTCATTATATATATGAAATTCCAAGATATCCTTCCTTATACTTTTCACCATATTTAAATTCTGTAAGAAAATTCGAAAGAGATTTATTTTTAACTTAAAAACAAAATAACTTACTAATGAATAAAGTTCAAAAGTAACTTTTTTTTTATTAGTATATATATTAATAATTTTTCTCTTTTACATGCTAAAATTCTCATTAGGTAGGGGAGATAGTATATTTCAAACATTAATACTAAAAATATTGTAAAAAAACAACATGCACTCGAGTTGTTTGCCTATTGTATGCATAAAGAGCAAATTAATTTTTCCCCCCCTTGAGCTCAAACTTTCCTTGAACAGAACAAGTTGACAGCTTAAACTTTTTGCTGTTTTTTTTCTTCTTTTAATTGTTAGCCATAGAATGTGTAAAATTGTTATTTATTATTAGAGTAACAATTACGGAAAACTTTATAGTTTCAAGACTTTTGTATAATAAGAATTAGGGGGGTTTAATGCATAAATAAAATTGATAAAGGTTGTTAAAACAACTTCATCTTGTTTGCTGAAGATATAGTAAATTTTAACATTTTGATGTTATGCTTGACAAGCAAGTACTTCAAGTGAAATATTTTTGCTATTTATCTATTTAATGTTTCATTTGGTAATATAGACAGGTTGTGCTTGTAAAACATATATTAAATACTTATTGTGTATTCTGCTGATATTTATTTTTATGGAAGCAAAGTTTAAAGTTGAATTCGAATTTTGAAAGAATATTTTGCAGCAAGAAAAGGACGAGGCAAAGTTCCAAAGACAACACCAACAAAAACAGAAGAGCCAAAAGACCAATATGAATTTTCTGAAAGTACAGAAGAAAACTCTGTAGGCTATCAAACTACCAATACCTTGTGCTACATGCCCCGAGTGAAAGATGAGAGTCGTTTTGAGGAATCTAAAGCCAAAGCAGGAGCTATTCAGGTAATTCTTAAATGTTTGATATTATTGTGAGATCTCATACACAATTTTCTGTTAAGATTTTTGTATCATGTAGGGAGGATATCAGGTTACCATTGACTCTTATTACAGCAAATGTCCATATCTTGTTGTTTTAACCAGTGCTTTTACTATTTCAAAATTTATTGTTTAATTGTATTTAATTTTTTAAAATAGATTTTTCTTGTACATATGTAGCATATTTAAAAATATGCTTTCTTATTGTGTTCATCTGCCATGATCATCTTTCATGGTCATGTGAATAATATTGTCTGTTTGTCATGAGGATGTGGCGGTTGCCAAAGTAGCAGAATTTGTTCATTTCAAGCAGGAACGAGTCTGATAGAAATTTTATCCTCTGCAATGCTTCTTTTAGTCATTGCATTATTTTATTATTCAAACATTCTTTTCCCAGTCAATGCTTTTAATTGTTTAATTAATTTTTATATTGTTTTTGTACCTAATTTTTTAATTGTTTTTATTCTTACATAATTCTGATTAAAGTTTGTTAAACTGCATTAATTTAAATTTTGTGGAATTAAATCAAGATTATTATTTCTTTTTCAAACAAAAATGTTAATATGCCAGTGTAAGAACTCTATTTTATTGCTATATTTTATTAAGTTCTTGTATAAACAAACTACCTACACATGTTGCCACCTAAATTTAGTAAATGAAATTGAGTTAAAATAATTACCATGTTCCCCCAAAATAAAAATGTATATTAATTTTTGCTGTAAGTGATGCATTAAGGCTTATCTGCCAGGAATGTCTTATTTTTTCATTCACAGTAATTTACATTTTCCCATTTACAACAATCTGTATTTATTCATATATTTATGTACAAGAATTTATATTTATTCATATATTCAAATGCAGATACAGTCAAAAGTCGTTAATCCGGACTCGTCGGAACTTCAGCGATTCCGGATTATTGATTTTTCCGGATTATAGATCATCAGTTTAAATCTAGTAAGATGGCATACAGAAATTATAAAATAAAAAATATGAAACCGTAATTTATGAAATAAAGAACAATTATGATCTAAAGAGTATCGAAAGAGCTTAATATTTATTTGTTTATTTTAAACATTTCTTAGTCAATGTAAGTTGTTTAAGTTGCTTCGTTTTATGTGATAATACTTTCTCTTTAATTCTATAAACAGACATAATTTCTTGTTCAGTCACAGAGTTCCACTGTTCAAGTCCTATAATTGCTGTGTTGAGAATACCGACTAATTTGTCAATCGAAATTTTTTCGTTTTCAATAACCTCTGTGTCACTTTTTTCACTATCGGAAGCAAATTATAATGACGAGGAATTTGATTTAAATCATATCAAAAATGGAGTATGTCGAGATGAAATACTACATTTAGTAAGGAATTATAAGCCAAATAAAATAAAAACATCTGTACTGAAGATAAGGATAGTGCTGACAGATCAACTTCCAATTCATTGCTCGCCGCGGTGTTCCCCCCGCCAGCAGAGCAGCGTGAAATCGATATACTACAGATTTCTGAATGGTTAGAGAAACAAAGGATATGCCTTTATCCATTTTTTTACAGCAATTCCACTTTTTGTTTGATGGACATCGAAACCTACTTTCGCTTTGTAGATCATTTGGGAACTCCAGCATCGGAAATTCTATTTGACATAATCAAAAGTTCAAGCTTACTTTTATAAAATTGCTCTAACAATCTGCAAAAAATAATAAGCTGGATCCAATTCGAAGATTAAGGAACAACGCATTCTGCAACATTAACTGAAATAGATAATTAAATCATTTTAGCTTATGCCGTCCGTTATACATTAAACGCGCATGCGGACATGCATATATGCAGCCGTAAAGGTCTTACGTGCATGCGTTAATGCCTATGCGCATGCGTCAATGTGACGCATGCACAGAAAGTTTGTAGCTTTGAGGTACGGATTATGGGTGTCCGAATTAATGACTTTTGACTGTATTCACTCTGGAACATCGTCATAAAGCTCTAAACCCTGAATCCTGAACTGAATTTTTTCAGCTCCATTTCCTGTAAAATCATTGGCTGTAATCTCTCATGTCTAGCAGCAGAGTCTCCTTAAAAGGAGCATTTTTTCTGTATGTTATCTGCTTGTAAAGTATTATAAACACAGCTGTCAGTGATTTTATCTTATAAATTCATCATTTAAGTCACGGTCTTTTACAGGCTAAGCTTCTTAAAATTCTTAAAATCAATCTAAAAATAAAAATGTTGATTTTGCTTCATTCTGTTTTCAGTGTAGTTCATAGTTGCCAAGTTTTATTGGGAAAAATTTCTAATTTTTCATCATATCTCATGGTCTTCTGGTAGATCTCTTGATTCAAATATATCCGTCCAAGAGATCCAAATCTCTTGGTTTTTAATATTTAGCTTTTACTAAGAAAAAATTTTCTTCATTAGTATATGGAATTTATTGATTTAATAAATTTAAATTAGGCAAATTCCATTCCTTCATATGGAATGATTTTTCTTACTAAATTTTTTTTGATCTGAGTTGTCTTGATCTAATGTAGATATTTGAAGAGCATTTTATGAAGGTTCAACCAGTGTTAAAGTGTATTAAATTTGATTTACATCAATAAATGGTAAATTACAAAGTTTCTTCAGTCAGCAGTATGTACATTAATTATTAATTTTATTTTCATCTTTATTAGAAATACTTGATAAATAAAAGCTACCTCATTATTTTCATTATTTTCTTAATATAATTCTCATTATTTTCTTAATATAAAAGTAAACAAAATTAAAAAATCGAATAAGCCAAAAAACATAAAATTTAGGATATGAAATATTAATATTAATACTTCAGAATCATATTATTAATAGTTCAGTAACCTGAATCGTGCATTATAAAGTGAATTTAAATCAGTTTGGAGTCCTTTTAAAATTATGTCCTGGCATAGCATGAAAAACCTCTCAGAAACTTCCACTTTTCCATATTTCAGCTAACATAACTATTTATATGCACAAACTGTCTTTAAATGATTTGTTTAATCCCTTATCAAGAATATGGAGGTATGCAGCCATTTCTGTGGAAAGCATAATTTTGGGATCTTACATTATGGGATCTTTACTGCAGTAAGTGCTGACTGAATCCTAGACTGGCAGATTTCTTTGTCCACCTCAAGAAACAAGTAACATGACACCTGCCTTTCATAGCACAGAAACACAGAAAAAGATAGGAATGAAAATAACAAGAACTGTAATATAAAAGTATTTTCTATCATTGTAACATGAATCGCTTCGTAGTGCACTAAATATGAATTATTTTAAGAATAGGTAATTTTTTGGTTAAACATTGTATAAGTTCTGGAAAAAATTAATTACAATACAAAAATGTCTCAGTTAAAGATATCCATAAAGTTCATGATATCAGATTTTCGCGCTTTTGGAAGTTTACTATAACTGTATAAAACTGCATTAAGTGTATGTGAAACTGGATAACTTGAATGCAAGTTAACAGTAGACTTGAATGCCAGTGGACAGATTTAATAACTTTATTATTTTCTAGATTGAACAGTGTTAATAGCCTTTTTAGAAACAGTTCATATTGTTGAAGGAAACCATTTTTCCATTGTATGATGCTTTGAATTCTTCTGGAGGGGATATGTTTAGACTGGGCTGCTATTACAAGGCAAATGCTTGAATATCAAACTGCAAACAACCGTTTTAGTTTTCTGTCAACAGTCCATTCACAAATGATGTCTTCTAAGTTAGGAAAAAGTAGCTGCCAACCCAATCCTCATTTTCACTTAGCATTCCTGTATCTACCTGTTGACTGATGTTATTGTATTCAGATTGTGATTTTTGAACCATTTAGAGATTCATTATCATCTGTATGCAGATAGCTGTTAGATTCTTGCCAGCGAGTCTCGAGGTTTCTTTTCTCGTACTCAATGTAATAGCTTTTTCTTTACATACTTATCATTATTTTCCTTAAATCTGATATGAGTGGCAACAAAAATTGTTAAAAATAATGGATCACCCAAACTTTTGGTCATGGCAGTAACTAGCTTGCTTATTTTTGCTTTTGCATTAGTTAGCTGCCTATCTCATCCATTTGAAAAGCAATGAATAGTGCTTTAGCAAGCTCTGTTTCTTTTGTATTATGGCGTGCAGTATAATTTCGTACATTGGTGTGATATATAACAATGATGTGATCATAATATTTCAACTCTTACTGCACATTGGCATGTGAATTTAAAGGCCATTTTTGTGCTAATACACATTAAATTATTCACAAGTCCAACTTACAGAGATTCTTGTAATATAAGATCATTTACAATAATGCTTACTATTATTTTTGGTTTATTGCACTATTTCAGTTAAATATGTAATATCATGTGTTATCTGTCTCTGTAGGATTCAGAGGAAAGAAAGTCTTCAAACATGGGATCTCCAGTTGTGGAGAAAAAGTACTTGCATTCTCCTTTAAGAAGTAAACAAGCACGGACATCTCTTGGATCCACTCCCAGTTAGTATTATATAATTTAAAATAACTAATTTTAATAATTTATTTTTATTAAATATATATTTGCTATAAAAAGTTGTTTTCTGTGATAATGCAGTATATTTTATCTCTTATTTGTAAGGAGTCTTTGATTTTTGTAGTTTTTGTTAAAAATAGAAATGACATTACTTTATAAATCTGGGAAAGGCAGATGATTGGTATAAGTCCAAGTAATGATGGCCCTGTTTCGAAATAAAATAAGTTAGGCTACACAATTATTTAATTATTTACATAATGTACAAAGTTACAAATTAGGTGCTCTGCGAGCACAGATAAGGTGGGACGAGAGAACACACCGTAGGTCCGCTGCATAATTACAGTTAAGTGTTTGTGGTGACATTTTACATTTAAATGAATCATGTGGTACAGAACAGAAAATGCATGTAGATTGCGTCATATTGAATGGCATTGCTGATGGTGTACTTTTATAAATTCCTTTCATGAATGTGTTTCAGTTTTGAAGCTTTGCACTCAGATCACTAGTTTTTTCTAATGGTATTTGAAATTTTGTTTCGTGTTCATTTGAATATTTGTTGCATGTCAAAAGTAAGGTTTTTTCTCTGCTTTCAACTTCTGTTTTTAGAATATTAATTATTTTCGAGATCTTCGTCTATTCCGCATTTTTTAGTCATCTCTAGAACCATAGCATGCGATATTAATTTAATCAATGTGGTACATAATGGAGAACCATAAATTTCTGAATTTATGCCTAAGGCTTCTAAACTGTGATTTTCTGTTTGACAGGTATCTAACAATTCTCTAAGCTGAGAGACGTCTGTTGATTTCCTAACAGGTGTTAGATTTAACAGCTTATTCAAATGAGAATTAATGATCAAAGTTTTTTGTTTAAATCTTTCCTTTAAGGTTTCTATTGCTGCTTCCTAATTTTGATTTGTTAGTGCAATTCCTTTAATTGTATTTGTGGCTATTCCAGTTAAATATGAGTGTAAATAATTAAATTTGTCTACGTTAGATAAATCTTCATTGCTGTATATCAGGGATTCAAACTGATCCCAGAATCTTTGCCAATCGGCAGGATCACCATCAATTCTTCTTATTGTTAAGGACAGTAATTTAACGAATTGTTTTTCTAATTTTAATAAACTAATAGGTTCTTGTTGTGTTCTTTGTGCACTTGGTTTACATTTAGTGATAGCAGCTTTCAACTTACATGAGCAGTTAATCAATTTTCCATAATACTCATCACATTTAATAATTTCATTTTCTATTTCTTTAACATCCGTAATTTGACTTTGAATTTCAGAATCTATTTCTTTTAACTGTTTAAATTTCAAGCGTATCTGTTCTGAAAGTTTTTCCATTCTGTTTCAGTTTCTAAAATTCGAGCTTCGATTTTAGAAATTAATCTTGTAAGAGATCTAAGTGTAGTTTTAGCCTTTGCGATTTCCATTTCGAAATCACTTTTAACACTTTCAAATTAACTTGATATCTTCATTAACTAAATTGCTCTTCTGATTTTAATTACGTAAAGGAGTCAGAAGTCATTTGCTACTTGTTCAATCAAAACAAAATTTGCAATATAAGAGTCATTTCTTAACAAAAGGAGAATATTAAATCTAACCTTGAACCATCTTCATATTTATTCTACTTGGAACAAGGTATCCAAAGATAGCAGTACCATATTTCCAAAGTTAGCAACACTTGTATACTATATTCTTTATTCGAAGCACAACCAGCATATTCGGCCTTTTCCTGGCCTTATGACCAAGATATAAAAAAAAATTATATTTATATTATATTGACTTCCTTAAGAGAGCTCTGATTATACTGATAGAGGCCAATAATTTCACATTCTACAAAAATAGTAATTTTATTTACAAAGTCACCTGGATTGCATCAATGGTTCATTATCTATTGTGTTGCAAACTGAACTAATTAACTTTCTTTTCTCAGAAGAAGAGCGCCTTCTAACTACGATACAGAAATCATTTGTGGAGTTTTCAACAGTCCTGAAGTCAGTTTTTTTTAATCTTTAATTTCTTCATTGCGAGTTTTTTCTTCATCCTCTGGATTGAGATTCTTTTCTTCATCTAAATTTTGCATTTTCCCTTTTCCATGTTTAGCATCACCTTTTTCTTCTTGGGACTGCTCTTTCTTTGATTCATCTTCAACAGAATCTTTCCCCCCCCATAGGGTTTTCACTTTCATATTCTGGTATGTATGCAGCCTAGTATGCAGCTATGATATTAGCTCCATACTTCAAAATATAGGATAGCTGCGAACCATTGTTTATGAAAATTCTCATAGTTTTTTTTTAATCCCTTCCCTGAAGTTTTATCACTAAAGTTTGAAAATTAACTAATAGTGTGTAATATTTATTCATCAGAACACATTCTTTTTATAATTTTCACGTTTATTAATGTCTATAGAATTATTTCCAGGAGAATCATTTTGATCTGTGTAATACATCATTTTTGAATGATGATCATATCATCATTCAAAATCATAGTTATGATGATAATAAAGTTAGGCAAAGGGCTAAGCACCATTACTTAAGTATAAATATACTGCTATATACCACTATGCTCTCTCTCTATTTATGTAATTCAAAAATGAGTCCTATTGCATAAAGAACACTTGACTTGACAAATTCAAACAGGTAAATAAAGAACACTTGACTGACAAATTCAAACAGGTTGACAGGTTCCAACAAATTGTTTAGTATTTTAGCAGATAATCGAGTGTTAGATGGATTTATATCATTAAGAATGGAATTTTAGTTTGAAAATTGAATCCATTTTTTCACTCTAAATTTTCACAGCACGATCTTTTTGTGATATTCGTGTGTAGTTTGAATCTTTTCATCTCAATTCTTCCGATTTCGAAACATATTCAATTTCAGACTCGGGTGTATTAAGAGAGTCAAACTTATCATTCAGTTGTTCAAAGTAAATGTATATCAACAGAAGACTTTGCTTTTTTTAATTTTGTTCTCTTAAGAATTCTGGTAATGAACTTTAACCACCACTCTCTTTCTTTAAGTTATTTATTTCTTCTGCTGGTATATTTATTAAATTAAAACATGTAAAAACCTTAAGATAATAAGAAGAGTGCTTTTCAAATTCAAAACGCATATAATTAATATACTCTAAGTCTTCAGAGTTATTATCTTCAATTAACTCACTTGAATCTCAGCAGGGATGCCACAATAACATTAAAAAATGATAATTTTTTCTGATCCAGATATTAAATTTTAAAGCTCTACCTTGTCAGGGGATATTTTTAATCTGAAACAACATCGGGGATATTTCAGTGGTTTGAAGATAATCAATTCCAGATTGTTGCAGACAATAAAGCACTTCATCTTACACATTTAATTTCGCTGCTCATTACAACACAATTCTACACACAAAAACACTGGAAAGAAGTTAGCAATTATACATATTTATTCATTACTACTACGCTAGTTTTTTAAAAGTTAATCTGGTTTTTCATGTCTCAAAGCTGAACACACAGAATTCCCCTTTTAAGATGAGATAATATTGTTGCAATATGCATATGAGATTAAGATAAGCATTCACATTTTATAGAATCCTGAGAATTCCCGGGATTGTATTTGGAATAACTTATATACAAATAAATATACTTCAACAAAAAGATTTTTTAATTTCTATGGCTTTGAATTAATAGTTTAATGTTGATGTTATCCTAACAAATTAAAGCTTTTGCAATTCAGAATGATGGAAATTGAATTTGAATGAGTTGAAATTAGAAAGTTTATTCTAATCTTTAAATAGAACAAAAACTATTTTTAATAAACAAAATTGTAGACTAACTATTACAAATACTAAAATTTATACAAAATGTAGATTATATTTGTAAAAGTACATTAAAAAAGTTCAGTAGTATTGAACATTTTTTTCCTGCTTTTGATTTTTGTAGGTCGTAAAAATTTGTTTGCTTCTGACGAAGAAAGGATGTCTGATTCATTGACATCAGATGAAACATCTAATTCTGTGTTTGGAGATGATAAATTAAAAAAATGGAAAGATTCAACTGAAAAAGAAGGCGATGATACAAAGGTTTGCTGAAAATTTAATGCCTTTATCTAAAAAATGTACATATCTTTGTTCTGTATGAAATAATAAGCTTCATAAAGGCACTTTTTTTTGTTTATTCTTTAATGTACAGTGGTGGCATGATGATTTATGAATTGATGATTTATTGCTAACTATGCAGCATTTTAAATATAACCTTCAAATTAGAACAACATATTATTTATCACTGTGACTGAAATATTTCTGTACATCATATTTCTATTTTTGTGTCTCTTAATTGTGGTTAAAATATTTTTGAAGAATGGCGTCTTATAAGTGTCACTACTATAGCGATTCATATATCTTGAGTGCTTTTCATAAAAATAAAGAAAAGGGGAAAAAATCATAGTTATGATGATAATAAAGTTAGGCAAAGGGCTAAGCACCATTACTTAAGTATAAATATACTGCTATATACCACTATGCTCTCTCTCTATTTATGTATGTATATATACATATAAAGAAAAATTTATTACCTAATTAACCTTAATTGGAATGCTGCTTTAAACTTTTAATTTAATTGTCTGTATCCCCACTTCATACTCCATATTGCACCATGTTATATCATGCTTTCCTTGCAGTAACCACAATGCAAAATCTTTTGCCAAATCTTTGGATTTAAACAAAGAATTTTCGATTTTATAAATAGTGTCGCAAATAGTTCTTTTTGCCAGTTCGCATTCTTCTGGCAGCGTGTTGCTTTGCCCCTGCTAGCTATTCTCTCCATTATTTGAGATGTAATTACATATCTAAAATTGTGAGATGCATTTAGCACTCTTAGTGTTGTACCAGATAAGAGGATATGTGTTAAAAAATGTGTCATGCAAAAATAAATTACTTCTAACCACCTGGCTATTCGTGCTTCTTCCAAGCTAACTGCAATACAAAATTTTTGCACAGTACCACAACTAAGTATGCATGCTCTTTCACCACTTTGCCTTCGTGCTGGCAATATATTGCTTAGTTCCTGCTAGCTGTTCTCTCTTACGTAAAATGTAAACTGTATATCTGAAATTGTGGGGCCCATTTAGCACCCTTAGTGTTCTATCAATTAGACACTATGTGCTTATCATCCAAAAATAAATGTTTTTATAATTACCAATGAAGTCATGCTTCTTCTAAAATTCTATCCGGTCATCCACTACACTCTAATGTACACAACAGTCTTCTTGTCCATGATTAAAAAGTGAAATTGTGCATTCCCCAATCAAGATATTTTGTTTTAAAAAAAAGGTTTTGTGTAATAATTTAATGCGTAGGAGGAATTGAATACTTTAACACCTTGCAGTCTTAAATGTCTGAGTGGGAAAGACAAAAAGATGGCGCTGACAAAACTGAATTTTGAAAAAGTCCTAATCTTTATTTTCTCGCATATAAAACCATCTTAGTAGATATTTATTCAATCGTAATGAAATATGATAATTTTTATATACACTGGTTTTAAAAGTAAGATGTAAGCATTTAGGCAAGGTAAAACAGTGCGGTCTTGGTAGTGCAGAAGTTAGAGAAAGGAAGAGTGACGTAGTTATTGTGCCAGAGTATTTATATTAAGTTTGATGCATGCAGCCAATCTGTGATTGGTTAATTTTAAGTTGTTATATAACATTGAAGGATCTCAAATTTGGGAAAACAGATGAATTTAAAGAGAGAGCGCGAAATCTAGAATAGTTAATTTTGAGGTCTCCAATTATTTTTAAAGCAGTCATTGTATTTTGTTATATCGTACGTATATGTAAGATAAAAAATGTATAACTTTGAATTATACTTTAAATGGCAATATCTCATTAATTCCTCTTTTTAGTAGGGACACTTCCCCTTTTCTATTCTGAAAATTGTAATAGCTTTTTAGAAAGTGTGTCACATCTGAATATAATTCTGCGTTATATGATTTAAGCCTTCTGCCTTGCTTGTAGTTCTTAGCCAATCAGATAACAAAATATTTTGCTATGAATACTGTTGCAATACAACTACACTGTTTCTTTGTTCAATGTTTAATGTGTCTTCAATAACCCACAGCTTTTCGCTTATTTGCATTCTTCTGTTGTTCTAAATACAGCTGTGTATACAAAACTGTGGGATGTCTATTGCACTCATTATCATTGCAAACATAAGCAAGCATTATATCTCTAGAATTGCTTTTTCTAATGATAAAATTATGTTGATTGTGCCCATTTCTATCTGCAAGCCAGTTGTTTCCATCTACACAGTGATATCGGTTTTTCCGCATCATTCCCCAATCCTTATATAATATTTAAATATATATAATATTTAAAAAAATTATTAGGAAGAAAAGAAAAAGATCATGTCATCCTGAAAATTCTTTAAAAATGAAATTTAAAAAAAAGAGGGAACTACTGAATTTTAGAACAAAGACAGATGCAGATTGAAAGGAAAAGTTCTTGAAAATTTTGGGTATGGAAAATTAATTATTGATATTTTGATGCTTCAAATTGACTCAAAACTATATATATATATATATATATATATACACAGATATGTAAGATAAAAAATGTGTAAATCAAAAAGCCTCTTAATTTTTCATTTTTAATTAGGGTATTTTGCTTCTCTGTTCTAAAAATTTCTGGACATTTCTGGTCTGTGCCATTTCTAGATTAATCTATGCCTAAAATTATCTGTGCCTCAAGTATATTGCATAACACTGATGATGTAGTTAGTCGGGAACCTAGAGAACTGAAACCTTGCTATCATAAACCAAAACTTTCTCTTAACAGGCTGCCATTTTGGATAAATTCACACTTTTAGCTTGAACTTCTGTGTTGTTTGGACGTTATTTCCCCCCCGCTATCTTCCTATTGCAACACTATTAAAAAGTGTAAATGCCCTGGAAAGTAGGCATGATTGGAGTGCCAAGTAAACTGGGGCCATGTATGTGAATTTAAATAAAAATGGAATTTAATCTGCCTCTACTGCCAAGTTTACTATTCATAATGGATTAGCATTCTATGCAATCAAAATTCTTCCTCTTCAGTATGCCATTTATGTGTTGCAGTATCAACATTTACAAGATCTTTTTCACAACAAATATGTATAATATTAAGATTACATATATAATTTTTCTTTGTCCAAAAATTTACAAAGAAATTTCAGTAAATTGCACAGATGTTGTTTTCAAACTCATTTAAATTATTAAATTCTGACTGCTTAAAATTTCACTATTTCATTTAATCAGACATATGTATTGAAATTGACAATGGAATTTTTGTTATATTTTGTTCTGAACTGCATTAATATTTAAAGCTTGCTGTTTTATTTTGAAATATTTGCTTCATGCAAAATTTAAAGCCAGCAATGTGATTTCAAAGCCAAAAGGAAACTTTGAAATTACATTGTTAATATTATGCATACTTATGCATTTGATAACTATCAAGGTAACTCCACTTCTATCTTAAATTGAGTTAAATTTGATTATTTAGTATGCTGATGTTTTTTAACATAAAAAAAGTATTTTTCTGCATAATTTTTTTAGGTTGTTGCTGGTAATAAATTTTGTCAAGTTTTTATTGATTTGATCAAATTTTAAGCTGTAAAACCACATTAAATTGAATTAAATTTCAATTTAACTTCACTGTGTTTCATATTAAATTTTTTGAGTTGATCTAAAGCATTTAAAACCGTAGGGAGTTTTGAATTATCATAAGTAATTTTCATCTTGCGCAGAAATGCAGTGAATTGATATTATGATGATGGGACTACTTATAAAAGAATTTTTTCTGTTTTTTCATTTGATTTCCCCCCCCCCCATTTTGAGCATTGTAGATAGTTGATCCTTTTAAAATTTACATTTTTAGACTTAACTATAAGGTATTTTCTACCTCTTTTCTGCATGCCTTCGTGGTGCAATGGTAAGCATAAGCGATGTGTATTTGAGAGGTCCAGGGTTTGAGTATCGTTAATGGCATTTTCCCCATCTCCTGCATCAAAAAACCTAATGAATCTACAAATCTATGAAAAGTTAAAAGGGTTTCTATGAAGACTTTTTTGTTTGCTTGCTATTTTAAAAACAAACTGATTTGTATTGAATATTTTACTTATAGGATCTCAGTGAATCTAAAACTGCCAGTCGACCTCCTAAAAGTAATGATTCACCCAAGAAGAAGAGCCAGCCTGCCAAGAAAAATACTATAAAAAGTGAGACGCCAGTTAAGAAAGGTGAATTTTTTCCAGTTTGTTACCTTTTTAAAATAAATTGTTCTCATGTAAATGCTTTTTTTTTTTTTTTGTTCTCACCCTAATTCATAAAATATTATGATTAACAAATAGACTTTGTCCTAGATAATATATTTTCAGACTTTCGTTGTTTAATGTAAATTATATGCTGTCAAAAATTATTATTACCTTTTAACCTAATATTTTATATTTAATTTTGTAGAATGACATTTGACATTAGTACATCTTGAGTTTTTGTCTCAAATGGTAAAATGATTCGAATTAAATTTATAAATATTATAATAAATATAAAATTAAATCTTATAATTCTAAAAGTCTTGTTGATAATTGTATGAATTATTCATACTGAATTTATATACAGGAAGCTACAGATTTGTTTAACAGAATTTATATTCTAGTTTGTAGCTAGTACAGTACAAAGTCCGTAATCCGGGCGTCCATTATCCAGAATGATCTCTAATTCAGACCTCAAAGCCACAAACTTTTTTTTTGTGTGTTCTTTATGCATGCCCATAATGCGTTTACGCATGCACATTTAATGTATAACGGACGGTATAAGTTAGGCTAAAAATATCTTTATTGATTCTAAGGCATTTCAGTTAATGTTGCAGATTGCACTGTTCCTTAATCTTCTAATTGGATCTGGCTTATTATTGTTTGCAGACTGTTAGAGCAATGTCATAAAAATTAAGCTTGAACTTTCGATTATGTCGAAGAAAGTTTCCAATTCCGGGGCTCCCTAAGGATCTACAAAGCAAAACCAAGTTTCAATGTCCATTAAACAAAAAGTGGAATTGCTGCAAAAAATGGATAAAGGCGTATGTCTCAAAATTATGCGAGGAGTATGGCATTAGAAAGTCAACTGTATATAACATAAGAAAAAAGGAACATTTTGAATTTTTTGTGGAAGCAACTTAAACAACTTACATTAAAAGAAATTTTTAATAAAGCAAACAAATAAATATTAAGCTTTTTTTTTGGTAAATTTTGATACGCTTTAGATCATAATTGCTCTTTATTTCATAAATTACGGTTTCATATTTTTAATTGTATAATTTCTGCATGCCATCTTACCAGATTTAAATTGATGATCTATGATCCGGAAAAACCCCTAATCCGGAATCGTCGAAGTCCTGACGAGTTTGGATTATGGACTTTGTACTGTATATGATTATATATTTCATATGATACTTTTCATTAAGAGCAAAGAAAAAAACTGGTACTGTTGTATTATTCCTTCAGCTCTGAGAAGAATCATTGGGCAGAGCATTGTGTCACGGAAGTGGGCCTCCCAGAGTTTCATGAAAATGTATTTTATCTGGCAACTCATTTTGGAATTCTGAGGATTATGTTTGTGATTTTTGATCATGATTAGTGCATGGTTGCTTAATTGCAACATGCCATTGATTCAACATTGCTTTTCACACTTTTTAGTTCTTTCTAATCAATAATTCAGAAAATATAAATAACTGTTTTTATAATTTGGAGCTACTTTGCATTATGTATTTATTTATTCTTTTTAAAATTTTCTAGTTAAAGATCATAGATTAATTTCATGCCAGTTTTCATTATTAGAATGCCCATTCTATATGAAAAATGTACATCTTAAATTTTCCCTGGTGATTTCCTTATAAGCTTTAAGGGTGAGGTTTATACAAATTTCTGATTGCATTTAAAATTGAGTAAAATATTTAGTGTTTATTTTCATTATGTTCAGGATGTATTTATTTATACTATCTTGAATTTAACTCATTTGTTTAACAATTTATAGAAAAGAAGCTTACTAGTTCAGATTTAGAAGAGCTATCTAGAGATTCAGAGGATGTTTCTACTTTGTCTACATGGCAAAGAAAAGAAGGGGATTCTAAAGAAAAGGTATAATAATTATATAAAGGAAAGGTATAATAATTATATAAAGAAAAGGTATATAAATTTTTGTGTGCTTTTCACTAGAAACTTAAATTATTTTTCTGTATTGTGTTTCTACAAATGCAATATGTTGTTCAATTATGAGTTAAAATGCATTTCTTGGTATGCTTTTTGGCATTTGTAAAGTCTGTTTGTTTTTAATTGTAAACAATGTTTTGATTAATGGATAGCATAGTAATTATCTCATGTTTAAAGCAATATGACTCTGGGAAGAATATAATTCCTAGCAAATGTAAATAAATTTATAAATTTCAAAAACTATTGATAAAAGTTATTATAAAGATTAAGTATAACATCTGTACAAATAAGAGAAATGAAAGATAACATATCCTTAATCTCTATTGTTTATATTTATGGTATTGTGTAATCTTTAGAATTTGTTCATGCATTTTTTAGACAATTTTGCTTTGCTATTTAAGGAGGGCAGAACACTCTGCTTGAAAATTTTTGTTTTCAAAACTTGAATTTTACTTTTGAAAGTATAAATTATCATGTGCTACTTGATAGCTTTCTTTTCCATGCAAAATGGCACTTTTAAAGAAGCAAGGGATGGGAGGCTGTGTTTGTGCTATTTCCAAAGAAAATTATTTGTATCTAGTAATTAAAATATGCTGTGAAAGGCCATGGTTTTTCAATATCTAAAGTTAAGATAAGTAACATTGTCAAGAATAAAGGGGGGATGTCAGAGTTTAGCTTCAAGTTGAAAAATTGGTACAAGTACATATCCAAGGAAAAAACAGAATGTTTCGAATATTGCAAACGATAATGTTGCAATGATCTTTTAGCATTAAAAGAAAATCTGCCAAGTCAAAGGACAAATGATTAAAATGTTCATTGTCAACTGTAAACAAAGTGAGTAATGCTGATTTGAATCTTGAAAAGGGGAAAAAAACATAATGAGCATCAGCTTTTTTCCATGACATATCGTCAAACGCAGAATGTGCTGCAGAATTCTTAATGAGAAATAATTATCCAGACAAAAATGGATAAATGTTGTCACAATAGATGACTCTTGGATGTATTTAAATTAATGCAATAAAAAGAACTCCATTTATTATCAACAAAGAGGGGGAAGTCTTAAAACATGGTTCAAAGAATCTAAAGAAAGTTTTTCAAAGGGATTGGGATTTCAAAGGGTCGTTGGTTTTTCTTATAACGAAAAAATATAAGTAAAGTGAATGGAGAAAAGATAAAGATCAACTTCAGATATTATCAGGAACATAATCGATATGTAATACTCAAAATGAAATAGCTTCTTTTTACCTACAGTGCCATTAATCAATAAAACTTCATCAAGACAAAGCAGGCAGCCACAATCCATTGTTAATTTCCTGGAAAAAATGGAACAAGAAATGTGTATCAAGTCCATATCTTTCACTCGTAATTTACTAAATCTTCTGATTATCACCCATGGATTTTTGCACTTTTAAAAATCGGATTGTCCAATCGTTGACTTACAACTCTTCTATAAAACTTTAGAAAGCTGTTCAAGAGGAAATGGATAAAATACTTCTTCCGATACTACAAAAGTATTTATTGTCTAATAAATTACATTGATTGTCTGATTTCACAAAACAAACCTTTTTGTCTATCGGCAAGAAGAATATGCTTGAAGGACATCATTTTATATGTTTCCTAGCACTTTAAAAATAGAAAAAGCACAAAAAAGGGAGGGGGAAGAAATGCATGTTCTATCAAATTCCAGGCCATGGTAATAGCAATCCTAAGTTATACATTGAATTATTTGAAGCAAATTGTAAAATTGTTCATGTTTAACATGAACCTAAAACATGTTCTTAACACAATTTTTAGAAAGTAGAGGAAACTCAGAAGCTGTTTCTGATACCTTTATTAGGCATGTATTCAGTGTGCATTTTCAAGCCATTCTGTTGTCAAAGATTTTGATTTACATTGCATTTTACAAAAAGTTAGCTGGAATGTCAGACTGTTTAAACTATTATCTACTGTTCATGCTTAATTATCTGAGTCCAAATTTTGTTGATTTGAGTTATCGTCATCAGCTATTTAAAAGCAATGTGCTTCAGCATCATTTGATTATAGTATAAAATTAATATCATTGTGTTACATATTTAAATTTGCATTATAAATACATATTTTAATTTGTTATTTTTAAAAGATAGTAGAAATCTTGCTCAACTGAAAAATCCTAGTTATTAAAAATGTTTAAGAAATACCAGAAATATAAACATTTTTTGTTCAAAAAGTCAGAAAAAATCAAAACCTTTCTCCTAAAAGTCAAGAAAATAAAAGGGGAAGGAACGCAGCTCATTTAAAATCTTGTAAAGTTCATCCTTTAAAGCAGTGGAAGTGTGGGTTGCAGCCAACCAGAGATGGATTGCAAAGCAAAATGCTGGGATTGTGAAAATTCAGATACATGAATTTAAAGAAAGAATAGTCTTTGTTGCCTTTAATTTGTTACATTTTCTGTATAGAGCAGTTATATACAATCATAATACTGACCAAGTTGTGCTGTAAATTGAATTCCATGTAAAAAATATTTATGTACAGTAGCATAATAGGAGTATTGCATCGTAGTTTCAGCATATAAGTTATTTTACAAGCAAAATATGCTGCAAATGCACAGCAGAACACAAAGTCTAGCCACTCACATTCAGAGAATAAGGGCACTAATGTTGTGATCAATAGTGCTTTTCTAGTATTATCAGTTGTTTCTGTTTCATCTTAATAAGCATGTACATCTCTAGAATAATTAAGTATTGTATTTTACTACATTACTTGACTAAGGTTGGTATTTATTGGAATAATCATTATGAGAGATGTTATTTCATTTATATTTTAGGATAAAAACATTTTGTACTCATGACAAATGATTGAATTCGAGTAACAGAAGTAATGATGCAGAGGACAATGTTACAAAGTGTCTTTAAGTAGGTTCTTGTTACCAGACAGAGGTATCTAAAATATGAAAAAGAAAATATGATGTGATATTTCTCCAGTTTAATTTTTCTTTCAACAGCTGTGATGGTAATGAACAACCTGTGTGTGTAATTTGTAGTAATGTTTAGGCTGTGGAAAAAAGGAAGCCATCAAAATTAAAAAGGCATTTTAAATCAAAGCATTAAGCAGAAGAGCCTAAGAGGAATCTGTTGAGTGAGGGAAACTTTAAAACTTCACTTTCCACAAAAATCCTTGATTGGATTCTGGATCAGAACTAGATTTGAATTTCCCATAATATCTGAAAAGGTGTTATGGGAAATTCAATGGGGTGTTATGAATGGCAGATGTTTCTCTGCCATTCATAACACCCCATTGACACCATCCATAACCACATAAGTATGTGGTTATGAATGGCAGCTGCCATTCATAACTTACTTATGTGACACATACTTATGTGAAACATACTTATGTGAAACACATACTTATGTGAAACGACTTTCAGCTTTAACACTTCTTGAATCCAACTAATGTTCTATGCTTAAAAATATTGTGGATGTTTTATGTCCAACAGTGTCGAATATTGCATCAAGATTTGTTATATATTTATGATATTAATTTCATTATTATATTAATAATAAAAATATCCTCCAATACTAAATATAAAATATCTCTATTTTATATTTAATATCAGAGCCATCAAAAAATCTCAATGACAAATAATGTCCATGAATGAAAAATATTAAGATTTTAATATAAGGTGTACCGGAAAGTTCTGTCCTTTTTTTGAATAAAACAAGATACAAATTTTTCTTACTGTCAATAAATTTTATTAAAATAATATAATTGCCATTATTATTAACTACTACTTGCCAGCGTGAGGGGAATTTGTGTATCCCATTTTTGAAAAATGATGTAACTTTTGATGCAGAAAATTGAGCTGGTATTTGTTTGATATCTACTTCATTTTTGAATTTTTTGCCTTTCAAGAAATTTTGTAAGGACTAAAACAAGTGATAGTAAGAGGGTGCTAAGTCCGGGTAATATGGTGTATGTGACAGAATTTCCCAGCTTAGTTCTGCAATTTTTTGACGAGTCCCCAAAGCAGCAAGTGGCCTGGCCTGATCATGATGCAGTATGATGTCCTTCCTGTTGAAAGTCGCTGGCCTCTTTTCTTGGACTGTTGTCTTTAAATTGTCTAATTGTTGACAGTACTTCTCTGAATTGAGCTTTTTGTTCGGTTTTAAAAGCTCATAACGTACTGGTCCTCAAATGCCCCACCATATACACAACGTTCTCCTTATTCAGGGTCAAATTTGACTTAGAGGTGGAAGGGCTAGGTTTTCTGGGTTCGCAATGTGCCCATATGATGTTTACGTGGGTGATCCACTTTTCATTCCCAGTTATCATCTGGTTCAAGAAGGGCTTCATTTTGTTCGGAGCAAGCAGAGATGTGCATATGACGACTTGATCATCCCTATTCTTCTGACTTAATTCATGGGGCACCTATTTTGAATATTTCCACACCAATCCTATCTTCCGGATATGGTCCGAAATGGTTTGCTGAGCTGAATTAAGCCTTTCGATGTTGACACAAAAGGATCTTTCTCCAACTTGATTGTAACAACACCGTCGCCAATCAAAGATGATCGCCCAGAACATGGCTTATCAGAAAGTTAGAAATCACTGTTTCAAATATTTGGAACCATCTTCTGCATGCCTTATCAAAAACTGTACCTTCACCAAACACTTTCAATAAATTTCTACATGCTTCTGTAGCATTTCTTTCTTGTTAAAATTCGTATAAAATACAGTGGCGTAAATGAACTTTATCAATAGCCATGGATACACTATCGCTTCACACTTAAGACTTACGTGAATCAACTTTGTCTTAGTTAACTTGCTACTTCAGTATGTATACATTAAGCGATTAAAATAGAGAGCCGAACATACGGCAAATAAACATGTGTTTATGTGTCGAAAATTGTTGTCATGAAACGGACGTAACTTTCCGGTAGACTGAATATTTAGCAAGCAAGAATTTTGATTTATGAGGCTAGTCATTGTCTTATTATGATGTTTCCATACTAACTGCAAGTAAAAATGACAGTTTCTAGTATGTTAAGTATCAAGTTTCAGTGTAATATTTGTATTATATTTTATATATATATATTATTTTTAGTATTTATTGTATTTCAATATTACCTATAGGTAATATTGTATGTATAGGAACTGCCATTGAATATTGACTGGTGCAGTTAAGGAAAATGCAGTTGTATGTATATTTCCCCCTTGTTTTGAAAGCAAAATGTTCTATACTGAAAATCCAAACCATACTTTACAATGGCATTACATTTTATTGTAAAAGTATGTGAAGGCATGATTTCCTTCCTAACAGTGTAGTTTAATTATCCTTTGACTGAACTATCCTATCTGAAATGCATTAATTCTGGAGTAATTAAGCTGTCCATTTGAGGGTAAAAAGTAAAAAGTCAGCTTTTTTTGTAAAAGCATGTTTGTAAATGCTTGTATTTTTTTCTGTAAGTACCCTGATTAATGTTTGATATTAATCAACATATTGTAAACATGCTTATTTCAGTTATTCCTGCAAAGTTTATTATTATTCATAACCAGTTTCACTGATTTTTTTATCTACTAAAACAGAATATGCCTGTGTTCTATTCACACATATTCATACTTGTAATCAAGAGTTAATATTTCCTTAAATACTGACATTTCTCTTTTTTAATTGAATATCCTTTATACTGCTCAAAAATGCCTTTGACTTTTCAACTTTTAGGATTTTTTTAGTAATTTTTATGATGACTATTCTAGTTTTACTATCCTACTCAAGATTTATTTTTAAAAGACTTTTGTCTCCCCCCCCCTTTTGTGAAAATGCCAGAACTTGTGCCTCTTTGGCACTTAACAGTGAAATCTGTGTTTTAATCTCCTATTCCGGGCAGACATTTGACAAACAGTTTGTATTCCTTTTATTTTATCAAAAACAAGTTCTTCCCTTTTTTGAGGATATGAATTCTTTTGATGTTTATTGTCGAAAGCTGATATGTAGGTAATTCCAAAATTTCCCAACCTGATTATACTTGTTAAAGAAATAGAGAAAATTTTAAGAATTTATTTTTTAATATGATGTCCATGTACCTCTATACACTTTTCACATCTAATCTGAACATTTGTACTCAAAATGTTAAAAAACTGCTCTTTTCGCACTATCGTCATCATTAAATCTCGTTACCTGAAAGTCAGATTTCTGTCCTGGGAACAAATGATCACTAGGAGCGAAATCTGGACTCTAAGCAGGTGCTCAAGCTCTTTAAATCAACACAGCTATTTTTAAATTGCTGAAAGAAATCAGAGCACTCACGTTGCAGAGACTTTGCTCATGTGAAAGATATTCATGTACAATCTGTAAAACAGTTAACTTTAAACAGATTTGGTATTGCCATCTCCTTGACATCTAGTCTCCTGCTACTCAATATTTCTTCTTGGACATGAGCAAAATTTTTATTGTTGGTGCCATCACAAGATTTAATTATTCTTTTAGTATAGAATAGAAAGGAATTGTTTTTGGAGGAGTCTCTTAAGATCTTTTTTAATCAAAAATTTAATCACAGGGATACTGAACTATTTAGAACATGTTAAAAATTTGTTTCATTTTCTTAAAATAATTTTATTTCATTTTAGAATCCAAGTACTTCAGGTGACATAGATATTGAAACTACTGATAGTCACCTCTCCTCTTCGGTTGCTGCAGAGTCTGATAAACAGATGGACGACATTGAAGGCTTTGAATCATTACAAGGGTCTGTTACGACTGAATTTTCTCCTCTGCCTCCTTCTGAAATGAAAGAGGAGAAAGATATATCTCAGTTTGGGAAACAAGACTGGTTCCATGGTTCTAGTCCCAAAAGCTCAGAAGCTGTTTCTCAGAGGTATGTTACTGTATATATTTTTAAAAGAGGTACAAATGAACTTGAAATATCAAGAGTAATTGAGACCATAAGTCATCTGGATATATAGTTGTTATTTTTCTCTTTTAGCCAAATGTATACTAAATTGCCTCAGTTAACACACAGGATGCGTTGCTAAAAACAAAACTGTGGAAGTATTAGTTGGGCAAATCAGGATAGGGAAAAACGATGAAGAAGAAACATGGCTTTCTCTAATTCACTTTTATTTTTTATGACTTTCCTTTTCTTTATTTCATAATTTTTACATGTCTTTTAGATTCAAAAAAATTTTAAAAAGTAGATTTAAACAGATCATCTCTTATCTATAAAATGTTTCAAAGATTAGGTTTCAGAGTTATACCAAATAAATAAAAAATTTTACGAAGTAAAATACAGAACTCATATTTTTTGAAGAATTAGTTTACATGAATTAACTCGATGAATAATTTGAGTAAATGAATTAATTTTTATTTTCTAATTGCATTGTTTCTAAGCATACTTATTTGATCTAAGGGGGGAGTGAATTGCAACATGAAGTTCCTTCCATAATAATAACTTGACAAATAACTTTAAAATGTTTACTTTAAAAACTTAAAATAAACTGGTTACAAAGAACATAGATTACATATCATGTGGATTACATCTCCTTATGCCATGGTAGCTCCAGTCACTTAACAGTTTTTTTAGCCCAGAAGGGCTACTTGTCTCGAAATGGCATTTTGCGTCGAATCACTTTGAATGTCTGAATAACGTAGTCCTCCACCTGAACATGGGCACCTGGAAGCCCAAATTTGGAATACTGAATTTCTTTTATTGTCTATTTCATATTTTGTAAAACTTTAACAAATTTTTGATTAAAAAACAACAATTTCAAACAAATTTTTGATTAAAAAACAACAATTTTAAAGTGAGCAGTGGCAACACTTTAGGGAATAAAATATTTTTATCTCCCAATGCGTGAGACTGCCTATCTAAAATTCTAAAGATATGCTGTTTTTAAATATTTTTAGCACAATGTGGCATTAGCCCAAATGCTCTTGTATCATATGTATGTTTCTATAAATGAAAAAAAATTTATCTTAAGACATTATTTAGTGAAAGGTTCCTTATTCAAATCACATTCTGAAGAATGATGTTAAATATGAAAATATGGTGACAGAGACACTGAAGTGTTAATTTAATATCAGTAGTTAGTTTTATAATTAATAAATTGTATAATTTGAGCCCTAATGAAGAAATGCATTTGAGCCCTAATGAAGAAGACTGTATATGTGAATACATGACATATACAGTCAAAAACAAAATGTTTTAAGGATAAATAAAGAAAAATATGAGATGAAAAGAAAATTAGTACTAAATAAGATTTACAAAGAATAAAAGTAATTGAAACTATTGAAAATGTCATCTTGTTTTCAATTATCAAGAACTTGAAACAATACAGTGTGTTCAGTTTTAGATTCTTGCACATGAAAGTTTAATCAACTTGAAAAGAGGATGTATTATAGAGCAGTAATGCTGCTATGATCAGAATTTCATAATTATTTGTTTCGATTTTATTACTAGCTCTGAAGAATCTGAAGAATACGAGTCTGACAACTGGGATAACCAATCTGTTAGTACAAATAAAAGTACCTCACATTCTGCAAGCCAGCAACCAAGACTTAAGAGGTATAATTTTCCCATACATTCCTTTTATTATTAGTTTTTTATTTTTAGCATCATTTTAAATTTTATATTGTTTGATTGTTACATTATATTAAAAAGATTTTATCTGCTAGTAAAAAGTGTATACTCATGTCTAAATTATCTTTACATACATAAATAGTGATGTTTCATAAATAATCGCTCAGTTTTATTCCCCCTCCATGGAATACAAAAATGCAAATCTAAATTTTATTAGACTATCCAAGCTGATAAAACTATTTTTAAATTGAAGTTATTGGTGTAATGTCATATGAATATTTGGCAAGCACATTGTATTGCACATATTTCCCTTGTAACTTCTTCAGTTCAAGTTTTGATTTCAGTAGTTATCAAATCAAAAGAGTTTTTTTATTACTTACAGTTATGGAAATTGTAAGATGACTGAATGCTTTAATATAAGCAGTCATTTAAAAAATTTTGTAGATTCTGAAACTGTAGCTAAGAAGCTGGAACAAAGTCATATATGAAAAATGACTCCTTCTTAAGATGGATTTCTGTATGTAACTGCCTTTTTCAAAACAAAGTTTAGTTTAAAATTTCTGGATTTTTATATTCATTCAATCTGTAATGAAATGGTCTTCATGTGAGGAAGACAATGATTTGTGTTTCACTCACCTCACAACAAAAGATCTGCCTGAATTGGTGCAGAGAATATTGAAATAGGTGTGTACAGTGACAAATTGAGATTCAGTTTAATATCTGATTCTAAACTTTCATAGAATTTAAGTAAAATGGCCATCTGGAGTGAGCTAGGAACACTAAATATTCCAACTAGAATTGGAAAATATGATTATGATAGTATGAGAAAAAGTAATGATTAACAGACATATTACATATTTGGTGAAGAAGCTCCACATGTTGAGAACTGAGATGAAATCATATAATCCTATTTTTAAAGATGTAAGCTAATTTTATGTTGAAAAGTGAAAGTAGTAGAAGATTATGCCATGCATTTATATTGAGCAGAGCTGTTTTATGAATTCTTGAAATTAAAGGCATTTAATAATTAAATGGTCGGTTAAATGCCCTTATTTTTATGTTATGGAGAACTTATGGGATATTTTTGAAAGAATACTATCCAGCAGTGTTTCCTAGACTTTTGACATACTATGTGTACCTATAATTCTTCTATAATTTTTGTAACACCGAGTATCCCTCATAAAAATTGAAAAAAAGTATTTTAATAAAAATCAAAATATATTCTTTTCTTTTTTTTTTTGTGACATGTACAAAATAATAAGAAAAGAGAAATGAAATTATTCATAATAAAATATAATAAAAGTTATATTATAAATAACATTTATTTAGATTAATGAGAAGGATGAAATTGTTTATGCTGAGATGGCAGATCATCATAATTTGGTTTCCTGGCTGTTAATTATAATCTGAGATGCGGTTCCATATCCAATAGTCTCTTCCTTTAATAATTCTGACCGTACTTTTCCCTCCATCTGTGTTTATTCCAACACATCTATTCCAATCAATTTTGTTCTCTTGCATAAATTTATTCATAACATTAAAGATATCTTCTCCTGTTGTGTGACCTAATAAAGGCAGGCAAAATAAAAAGTCGTCATAAATTTTTTGATTTTTTTCGTATCTGAACAATGCCATGAGATTTGCAAAATTCGCAATATCAGTGGACTGATAACCACGAGAAGGTAAATCAGCTGGGTTAGAATGACCCTGTACATATGACCACTGATTTGCTTTAGTGAAAGCGCAAATTTCCTTCACGCGATTGCCCACAAAAGTCCCCCCCGCATCATTTCTTTGAATCCAAAGATATGGCCGTGGTGGAATCAGTCCAAAAATATTTTCGGGATGTCATCTAATTGTAAGAGCTTCTGTCACATATTTGGAAAGACGCATGCCGTCCAAAAGACATGGCCATAAGTTCTAGACGGGGAATAGTAAGTTCTTTTAAGGTGCGACTCTTGACTTAGCCATTACAAAACTGACTAATGTTTCTTTCTTTAGTTTCGCATCTCAAAAATATTACCGTGTGGCATAAGCATGCTGGCTAGCATCACAAAATACATGAAGTGTCCAGGAACTTCTATCTCCAAAACCTATACGTCGCGGTATTCTCAACTTATTCAAAATTTGTAAATTTATTATACCACCTCGAAAATTTACTTTTGATACTATCTGGTAATGGAGTATCCCAGTCTGCTTTTATCGCCCAAAATTTCCTGTAGCAGTAACTTTGCAGGCAATAAAACAGGTGTCAAGAAACCCAAAGGATCAAACATTGTCTGCGTTACTGACAAAACCTCTCTTTTAGACAAATTATCCGAAACCAATACAGTCTTAATTTCAATATAAAGGTTATCTTCTATTCTGTCCCACATAATTCCTAAAACTGGTACAGAATTCTCCATTGTGGACTCAGTGCACAAAGTACTTTGGGTTAGTTCCACATCTTTTTCTACTGGGCCATAGGTCCACATACGTAAGTCCATTTTTGCTTCAGCTAACATTTCAGTAGAATATTTCACAAAATTCAAAAGCTCCTTTTCGTTATCAACAGAAGTCACACAATTATCAATATAAAAGGATTTATTTAATTTCTGAGCAATAGAACTTTGTTCCTTTGGTACTTGTGCCAAATGAACTGAAATAACCGCTCCTAATAGAAAAGGGCTAGACTTTACTCCAAAAACTACCCTTGTATGGCGGAAAACCTTCAGTACATTATCTTTCTCCCACCATAAAAAAATCTTAAAAAGTCCCTATCTTCTTTCCGTAATTCAACCTCTGTAAAAATGCACGCCGGATATCAGAGGTTACGCCAATGCATTTTTCTCTAAATCTTAACAAAATTGAAGGGATTTCTTCTATTAAATTTGGTCCTTTTACTAAGTAATCATTAAGGGAGGGCGATCTATTAACTTTACATGATGCGTCAAAAACAGTCTTATCTTAGTTGAGACAACTGTCTGGTTTAAATACTCTGGGTGATGCGGTAAGTAGTGCCCCTTTATAATTCAGTTCATTGTCTGGTACTATTTCAATTACACCCTCCTCCATCCATTCATTAAAAAATTCTATCATATTCTTCATATTTATGTAAAGACTTGAGTTTTCGGGTGACACTGAAACAATCTTTTTTCTGCTACATGACGATTTGAGTGGCAATTCTGCGTTATATACTAACCAAGGTAATCCGACACAATAACGACCATCTTCGTTTCTGGAAAGAGAGTTTAAAAATTGTTCGTGGGCAATTTCTTCCTCAGCAGCGTTTAGTTGAATTCTGATGAGCATCTAATATTCCGATCGTTTCTAAGCTCCAAAGATCGGAGATTTTAAAGTCGTGACCCCCACTAAACTTGCACACAAAATGGAAGCATCTTTATCTTTGTGATTAACAAATTCCTCCGATACACCACAAACTGTCCAACCAAGTTTCGTACAAACTGCTGTTAGTCCTCCTTTTAATTGTTTTACTGATTCCGTGAGAATTTTTCCATAAATATCACTACCGATGAGCATTTCTATTTTTGGACAATCTGCTCCCAGATCCGACAACCAAATGTTGTTTCGTTTTAATTCTTTTAATATCGGACCCTTGGGGTACCCGAGGTATATCCCCACATATTTATGTCTTAATCTAAAAATTCAAATTCTAGATCTGAATACTTACGCGGACTGGCTGAACATAATTTTACCAAATATTTGTTATGCATCTTTGCCTCTGTTCTGGCACCTCCAAATAAAGTAAGAGCAACATTTTCTTTGGAAATAATTGGTAACCCCAATTCAGTGGCTAATGATTTCAAAATATACGATTTTGGGAACCACAATCTAAGAGTACTCTAACATCTTTATGCTTTTTGACACCAGCTACTCTTACGCATAAAGTCATTAAAGCTACGTCAGCGGTACAAGTTTTGCCTGGCTGTAGCCGTATGTATGTTGTCTATTTCTGATTTTTCTGTAGGAAGTTCAGTTTCATTATTAATGTCCGGACACAAAATAACTGAGTGTGATTTACCACAAGCAAAACACCTAACAAACTGTTTACAGAACTTTGCCATATGATTTGGTTCCAAGCATTTTAAACAGCATTTTTCTCCTTAACTTTAGAAATCCTTTCATCAAGAGATAATGAACGCGCATAGTAACAATTTTTACTATCATGCATTTTACCACAAAAAATACATGCATGTTCTCTGGTTGTAAGAAAACCTGTGGCAGTGGGAACATTTCCCTGTTTCTTAAATTTAAATTTACCTTTTGTTTCCCTCTTTGCTTTATCATGATATTCTTTTTTTACGACGAACACCATCGAGTCCATTACGCGCCAATTTTAATCTCTCCTCACTCCTCCACTTCAGACTTTAAAAATTTCATTAAGTTGGTAAGGCGAGAAAGATCAGTTCCTTCAGGCTGGTTAAAGAGCGAACTCCTTTGCCACGCCTTTAAAACATCCTCTGTGAGACACGATTCCACCATCGGAAATAACCACGATGTGTTTTCGATCGATTTAAGGCCTAAAGACTCTAAGGCTCTCAACTGAACTTCAATTTTATCATACAGTTTATCAAGAGGTAATTTATCCTTTTGATCTGCCTTCACATTAGAAACAATTAATTTAATTAGTTCCCTAACATACACTTCTACTAATAATTCAGGTTTCCCAAAACGTTCCTTCAAAGCTAAAACAGCTTTATCATAATTATCCGAAGTCACCGGATAGCTTTCAATGAATTCTTTAGCACGTGATCCGGGCTTCATACACTGAATCAAATAGGAAAATTTGTCACTTTCATATAAATCAGGGTCAGTGTGAATTTTCTCAAACTGCGACCAAAACGGTAACCAATTTATCAATTCCCCATAAACTTCTTAAGTTCGATTTTCGGAAGTCTATAATCTGTTTAATCTTACTACAACAAATACCAGCACCATCACTTGGTCTTGTTTCTAAATTGATTTCATATGAAAATTGCAATTTTTCATTAATTTGCCGAGTTAGTGTTATGAAATCATCAGAATACACCTCGTGACTTTCGATTTCTTTAGTAACATCATCCTCTAAAGTTTTCCCGTCTTCAGCTAACAAATCAAGAATTTTATCATCTACATCTTTTATATCTGAATATACATTTTGTAGTTTAGTAAGTTTATCTCGTACTAAATCTACAGAAAAATCTTCTTTTACTAATTCCGTTTTTAAAATATTAGCAGTTTTTGCAAAAGAAGTGCGTAAACCTGCCCGTTTAAGTTTCAGAGCCTTTAAAGCTTCCATAGTTAACTTTTCAAAATAAAACAAACTGCTTTACAAAAAATAGTTTCGAATTTAAACTTAATTATACTTTATAATACATCAAAAACTATCTATAACCATTAAAATAATTTTTTTTAAAGTTTATTATTTCTTTAGAGTCCTGTCACAGGACGCCACTTTTTGTTATTACTAAAACATAGTCCTTATCAATTAAAATAAAAATACTTCCTTCACTCATCCCAGATACCGAGCAATCCAGAAAAACTAAAGACAAAACTTGCTCACTTACCTGGGTAGTGTGATGTTGAATCTGTAATAAAAACTCTTAAGAAGTTGATTTATCTAATTATATTCTCTCTACACTACACAATATATACATTTTTTAACAATTGTCGGGAAATTTTTCTGGCCCTGAAAGTTATTACACATCTTAATCAGTTCACGTCACGAGGTCGAAAGGGAAAAACCCTTTTTTTCTTCCTACTTCAATGACAGCCAACGCCATCTGTGTCTCGTACATCAAAATGAAGAGATTTGTTTTTTAATATTTGTTAGATACAACTAATCAGTTTCACAACAACAGGTATAAAATTACTTTCAGGAATTTTTTTTCATTTTCTTTAAATTAGCAGAACATTTCATCCATTAATAGTTAGTTTCTTTTGTACAACTTCAGCATACATTGTTATAATTTATATTTTCTGATTGAATTTTAACTATTACAAAGCATGAATATATTTTTACTGTCGGATTTCTATGGGTTTGTGGATTTGGAGTGATTAACGACAATACTTGATGAGGAATGAAAACACAATTTATTAGCCAGTATTACTCAGGACAGCTCGAAAAACATGTTTACAGTTGTCGCTACATTCTGAAACAACCAGCAACACAGCCTTCAGGCTGTAACAGTGAAGACAGCTTCATAAGAAAGCACTAGACTACAGTTCAGTTGTTCTCGGAACTCAGTGTACTTTTGAGACTCTCCACGCTACAATTTGCAATGCATGCGATAGCTTCAGTGATGCACTAACTCGCGATACTCACTCGATGCTTTGACAATAGATTGCTACTCCGCATACAGAGAGGGTTTATGTAGCTTTTGGCCTGCCTCCGAGAACTTTCTAGGCCAAATCGGTAAGAATTCATCTTAGAATGTTCTCCATCTGTCTGTGGCATAGTACCAAATCTGGAAACCCTAAACCTGCTTTACTGGGAACCTATCTTACTGCAGCTGGACATTTCGTAGCAATATTTTTTATTATATTTTTTGATGTTGTCTGTTATAAAATTATTGATATGTACTCTTAAAATTTCTGTGGTTTTTACAGTGGACGAAGTTGAAAAAATTCAGGGTTGGAATTTTCTTCATAAAAAGGAATTATCTGTTTCATGAAAAATTTTGTATCCATAAATAGCACTTTGTATTTTTTACTGAAAATAGAATTCCTAATATTATTTAAATTGATAAAATTTATAGTCTTATATAAGTAAAGAGAAATTTAAATCAAGAATTTTTGCAGTAAAATGTTAGAACTGGAAAAATTTCTTAAGAAACATATTTTACAAAACTTTAAACTTTTTCATTATAGATATGTCTTGGTTTTTAAAATGAGACCAGTTGTATCTGACAGAAGCCTGTGAAGCAGTTTTTTAAATGAACCTTTAATTCATATATATTTTAAATTATGAGTTGTGTATCTTTATATCTCATAAAAATGCAAGTAAATGTCCACATTACCTTTACCTTAGGTGTAATTCTAAGATCTGCAAAAAATATGATTCCCCCCTTCATTGATTACAATATTCAAAACATGTAGTGAGGGAAAAAGAGTTAATTTTAATTAATCTACTTGTTTACTCTACAATAGACATTAGGTAACCACTTAACAGTTTTGCCCGAGCACCGCGAAAGGGAACTCCACTGATTTGGCTATACGTTACTCTGGCAGTATATTTTCCTACACCAATCTGCTGATTTGCCTGGCTTTTTCATTTATTTTTTACTTTGCAGTGTTTCTAATAAATGTCTTAAGTAGTCCAGGAGAAACTGGATTGTAAAATTAATGCAAGGACAGGTTTTACTGCTTTTCATGTAAGCTTTGTCTGTTGCTCGAAAAGGAAAGATAGCATAAAGTATGTCAGAAAAGAAACCAGATATATTTATCCTGATTGTAATATTGGGCTCTGCTTATATCCATGTTTTAAAATATATCTATCATATTAACGAATAAAAATGTAAGTATTTAAAAAACAAATTTTTATCCTAACATTTACCGTTTGTGAAGTGTTCTTTCCAGTTTTGCACATTCAGCAGGAAAAAGCCAACTTTAAATAAAAAATGCCTTATTTTCACCATACTTAAAATTATCTTAAATTAAATAAATGCAATACTTGAAACAGTTTTGATTGCTGATTTATGTAATCGATTTGAATGCAAAATTGTTTATGAAAATATGCTTATTTTTTATCACAATGTAGCAGAAAAATGAAATATCCTTCAAAATAATAATAGAATTTTCTTAATTTAATACAAAATATCAAGACACATATAAATACATATTTTCATAGCATTTTGATTAGGAAAATGCAAAGTTTGTTTATGAACTTTTCACTTGAATATAAAAGTTCATTTATGAACTGTTAATAATATTTCTAAAAATGACCATTCTGAATATTTGACCAATGCTGCATGCCTATCTTAACAGAATAAAACATGGCAACATAAGGTTTTAAATTAAGCAAAAAAGAAACTAGTATCTTACAGATTTCTTAAGATTATAAAAATTGCCTAATGACAGAGAAATGTCGCCAAATAACTTGGTTTTTTGATTTCAATCAACCATTTAAAATCGAGGGGGGGGGCAACTTTTAAAATAGATTTTGAAATACTCTAATAAATTTTGAGGGCAATCAGATATATCTTTTGGGGGGTTGGAATGAAGAAATCTGTAAGATACTAGTTTCTTTTTTGCTTAATTTAAAACCTTATTTATGTTGCCATGTTCTATTCTGTTAAGATTAGGCATGCAGCATTGGTCAAATATTCAGAATGGTCATTTTTAGAAATATTATTAACAGTTCATAAATGAACTTTTATATTCAAGTGAAAAGTTCATAAACTTTGCATTTTCCTAATTAAAATGCTATGAAAATATGTATTTATATGTGTCTTGATATTTTTGTATTAAGTAAATTCTATTTTTATGTTGAAGGATATTTTCCCTCATTTTTTAATGTTATCAAAATAGCTATGGATAAACGTGATCACATTAAGTGCCACCTACAGTAATTATTATTATAAACATTTGCATTATAATATGAAGTTCTGAGAGTTGTCTCAGTGACATGTTTCTCTGCCATATTCCAGGAGTTAGGTCCAGATATTTATTTTTCACTGCTGCCAGGTTGGTTCATTTTTAGTTTCGTTTTAAATCGCAACACTCTCTTCAAGCGCACAACTGCATTTGTCTACCTCTTTCGATCCAGGCATTTGGAAACGTTTCATCCATATCTTTATTGCTCCATCAAAAGTTTCAGCATTTTACCAGTTTTAGAATAATATGTTTTTCAATCTCATTCTGTTTTGATGACCCAGTACCAGTTTCTTACCTATTGACTCAGTTTTGCTAAAGACCATTAAATGATTTGATTGAGGATTCCATATTTGTACTTTTAGTGTTATAGGGTTGATGGACATACGTAATGATGAAAAATTATTTATTAAGGATCTTTTTATCAATCCCAGTAAAATAGTTATGTAGACTTTGTATGTATTAAAGTATTTTTAAACATTTTTAAGTGTATATATTTTAAGACATTTTTAAAATATTATATCTTATTTTTAGGAAAGAGAGAGAATCACCTCAGTATAAGGCTTGGAAAAAGGCAATTAGTATAGTACTGAGAGAAGCTTCATGTCATAAGTATGTTAATCTGAATTTTTAAATTTTATTATTATTGTCTTTTCAAAACTTGTATTAGATTTTTAATGTAGAAATTATCTTTTTTAGATATGCGAACGTGTTTCTACAGAAGGTAACGAATGATGTTGCACCTGGATATCTTAGCATTGTGTACAGGTAAGAAATTTCCATCCCATTCTGCATCATGTCTGATAAAATAATGTATTAATTCTAGAGAAACACTGCTTTTTATTTTATTAAATCTTTAAAAAAAAAAAAGCATATTACAAGTAATTTTTCTCAGAACATGATAAGCAGCTGCACTTTTTCACACAAATGATAGCTGTAAGGAAATGTTATATATTCTTTGCATGCAAATGGGTATTTTCTTACACAGTGCTTTGCACAGTCATTTCTAGTGCTTTTGGTACAATAGAAACTTGTGAACTGTGACAAGAATTAAAACATATTCCTGTAAGAGGAAAAAATCTTTGTTAATCTATCTAATGTTAATAGCATACAATTTTATTCGTAAAAGGAAATATATGTGCTTTTGTGCTCCTTAAATCAGTGGTGAATAAAGTCAGCTGCACTTGTAATGTCTAACTATAATAAAAGGACTATGAAATGAGACCAGACTCCTTTATTCGCAAAATTCAGAACTTAACCATTCTGTCTTATAATTATGAGAAGTGTGGAATGAAAGTCAATTAAAAGTTGTAAAGCAACATTTATCTAGCATGAAAAGACATATTGTGCCTATGGATAATACATATTTTTGCACATACAGCCTAAAATGTCTGAAACTGGTGCTCAGTGCTTAAATAATAAACATGTTACAGCAATAAAACATATATACGACAATAAAAGATATTATGCCAGATATCGGTAATAGTGCATTCGGAAAGTAACTTTGGAAGTGCTTGATTGCAAATTGGCACGAGTATGCAATGAGATAGTTTTCCAACTGATGTGATTCGAGGGAATGTTTTATGTAATTGGTTACACTACAGTTGCTTTGTCCAAGTCACTCTGCCAAACAATCAATAATGATCATTATTGAAGTTATTTATAAGTTCATGGGAGAACTAACAGAATAACAAAATTAATGATTAAACAAGATGATGCTACCACACACATAGCTCATAAAATCTGTGAAGTTACTGAAAGATGTTTTTGGAGATTAAATCATTTCAAAGGGTTTGTGGCTGCCTCGTTTTCTTGACTTTTACTACTGGGGCTTCACAAAAGCTAATGTGTATGAGAGAACTCCCACTCACTCCTGCAATAGGAAATTGCTATTCGTGACTTCACCAAGAACATACCACAGTCTTTGAAAACATGAAGAGACGTGTGCACACATGACTGGAGGCTCGTGGTGAACATTGCCAACAATTACTTTGAGGTAAGTGAAAGTTAGTTTACTTTTCCTACTGCGTGAGATGCATAGTTACTTTTGGAATGCACCAAGTAATGACCAGCTTCGGGAGACTGGGAAATTATGTTGCATATACTTGGATCTTTTTTTTTTTTATTTATTCTGGAAGAAGGAATCAACTGAGGTGAAGTTTGGTTATCATGGAGGACATTCAACAGTGCCACCATAACCAATGATCATTTCTCCAAGTGCAAATGCCAGGAAGTGTCACAATGTACATAATAATTCTTAGGTTTTAAGAAGTAGTGTTGTCATTTTCATGTGTATTCTTTTTTTTTTAATGGTCAAATTTCCAGTGGTTTACATAGATAAGTTATGATAATCTTTGTTGTAAATTCGATCATGAATATGCCCTTGGTGAATTTGTTTGCAATTATATCTGCAAGAGTACAGCATTTTTCTACAAAACTGCTTATATAAAGCAATGGCCACAAAATTTTCATTAAGGGGGGATGAACTTGTAAATAGTTTTATTGGTTAATTTTTAGGATAAATCTGCAATTGAAACACAAAATATGTATGTAGTAAATGATTTTTTGCAATTATGAGTCTGTTCTTTTTCTTCTTTAAAATATCTCCATACTGTAGTAAAGTTGCTTGCACTAATACATAAGTACCTTTAATAATATATTTAAGTAATATAAATTAAAATACAGTTGTTTTACATTATATTTGGATGATAATTTTTATGAAAATTCACGGCTTTGTCGTATTTAATAAAAGATGCTTCTAATGCCTATGCTATATAACTGGTAGAGTTTTACATTTTATAATTACTTTAATGATAAACTTTTCTTTTAAGCTGTTACTGAAATGTGAAGTTTTCAGATTGCAGTTCTCTTTTCTTGTGTATATATATAGTATAATATATATATATATATATATATCAGTACGTTTCATTAAAATTTGTAATCTCAATACTAAATCGTGCATTTTGTTTGTATATTTTTATTCTTTTAATATTTTAAAGTTTAGTATAATAAAGAAAAACAAATATTTCAATAGGCCTATGGATCTGTCATTAATAAAGAAAAATATAGACAATGGCATTGTGAAGACCACAGATGAGTTCCACAGAGATATGATGCTTATGTTTCAGAATGCAATAATGTATAACAGTTCTGATCATGATGTACATCACATGGCTATAGAAATGCAGAGAGATGTAATTCAGCAGATCCAGGTAAGCAGTCATGAATAATATTTTAATGGTGGTTGGAAAAACATTTGTATTTTGCAGTATTTTATATATACATATCCACCAGAGTTCCTATTTATGTTCTTGTGCATTCCTCTGATTTTAATACTGTTTTGGAGTTGTAAACATAACATCCTCGAGTAGAAAAGTGACTATTAACAATGCAGATTAAAGAGAGGGCATGATTATGCAAATATCTTCTTTAATATTAAAATATTTGAATGGAATATGCATAAAAAATAAACTTTCATAAAATTTTAATTTATTCAGAATAATTCTGTTACAGATAGATGATCTACCAAAAGGGGATTATTCGGGGTTCAATGGTTCATAAAAATCCTTAGGTTCTTTATTTGGTCTTTAATTTTGGCCAAACCTGGTAAAAGGTCCTTGATTTTACTTATCTGATATATCCTTTTGTTCCCTTCTTACTGCCATCTGAATGTGAATTAACATTTCAGACGTGATGCATTGACAAGTTGATGGGTTAATGTTTGAACAATTCTTTCCTACTTCTTAATATAAATGGTATACTCAAGTTTTAGATAGCTCAGCCCTGTTTCGGCCAAAACAAAGTAAAAATTTTTGGGGGGAGGGAATGAAGAATTGATAAAATATTATATCAGAAACAACTTTTCTCTTTTTGAGATATGAGTTCTTTTATTTTGCAACACTAAATTTCATGATTTACCAACAACTTCCCCCAGCTCACAACTGCGGCATTTGCGACGCTGCATATGTGATTCTGAGTCATCTCTGTAACCCCTACACACCCTGTATAATCAGCTTCAACTTGTATTAAAAGTTTGTAAAAAATGCTTATAGGGCAGTTTTTAATTAAAACCTAAAATTTATCACCTTATAATGTAACAACCAGCAGAATACAAAAAGACACACTTCCTGTGAAAGCATTGGGAGATTGATATTTGTGATAGACTGCTCATTCTGTTTTGTGTAGTTTCATTTATCTTGACTCTGTACAGCTGTTTCGATAATATACACAGTCAGATGATGAAAAATCTGACAAATAAGGAGATGTTATGAGGCATTTAACGTCTGTTGGGACAATGCATCTAGACAGTGCTGAAGAGGATGAAAAGTGCAATGCTACAGAATCTCACCTGTACATGCCAGAGCCGTTTATTTTCCTGATGTGGCTATCTGTGAGGTTATCAACATGGCTGTAGATTTTTCTATGAAGAATAAATGCAATATTGATCTGAATTGTCTGAAAGGTGAGCCATTAGTAACAAATAATTAAATTACATTAGTTAGGTACTCTGAGTCATAACAGATTTATGTGGTTATAATTAATTTTTTTAATTTCTAAAAAATATCCATTAAAAAAGCACTAAGAACATTTTACAGCAGTTATAATAATGATTGTTATAACCATACATTAAAAAGCTACAAAAACATATGTTTGAGGTTAATGCTTGATCTTGACAAGCATGGTTAATGCTTGTCAAGATCATTTTAGCTAATTTACATCAATTTCCTTTTCTTCAGCATCTTTTCTAAGTTTGCTTAAATAAACAAATCAATATTCCCACTAGTCTCCACTTCACTCATTTGTTAATATTTCCACAATGTGCCTTTAAGGATAAAATGTTCTCTTTTTTACAAAACCCAATTTTTATTTTGCAGCACTAAATTTCAAGATTTTATCAACAACTTCCCTTTATTTTTCCATTTTTCCACTAGACACAAGCATCAAAGAAAACAAAGAAATTGAAAACCGACAGTTAATTAAAAGATTCGTGATATAGACCTCAGTGCCTTTGTTGCTTCACTAAAATTTCGAAAATTCTGCCTCACTGGCTCCAGCGCTAGTCTTGACCTTATATCATTTCATAATTATTTTCAATCTTCACATTATTACAGAAATAAAATTATTTCTTCTATACATTCTAAATACAAGCAGTTCTTTAAACAAAATAAAATTGTTCTTTAACAAAAATATTTAATTAAACCTGAAAATTCTAAAACGAAGTGGAGACTAGTGGGAACATTGATTTGTTTATTTAAAGTAAACTTGGAAAATATGCTAAAGAAAAGGAAATTGATGTAAATTAGCTAAAATGTTCTGGAAAATTTTCAAAGACATTTTTCCATTTTGTTGTTGGTACAAAACAGCTTTGTAGCGTTTAATGTATAGTAAGACTATTATTAATTATAACTGCTGTAAAATGTTCTTAGTGCTTTTTCAATGAATATTTTTTAGAAATTTAAAGACAAAATATAATTATAACCATGTAAATCTGTTATGACTAAGTAAGAATACCTAACTACTAATGGCTCACCTTTCAGACAATTCAGATTGATATTGCTTGATAATCTCACAGATAGCCCTTATTTGTCAGATTTCTCATCATCTGACTATCAAAACAGCTGTACAGGGTCAGATCACAAATTGCAAAATAAGCATATAGTGTGTGTTGCCGCAAATGCCATAGTTGCAAGCAGTGCTGTAGCAGCTGCTCGCAACTACGACATGATGAGCGTAATGACTGATGAGGTCTTCAACTGAAGAAATGGGGAGGAGCCTCGTTGTGGCTGGTATCATGGCACTATGGTGCCACTGGACATGCTGTATCAAGAGGCTAGATCAGGTATGCCCTACCGTCCAATCACTATGGTGGACTCGAAGAATGCCAGCCCAGACATAGACTGAGAAATGCTCTGCGCATGGTGCATACGATGAAGGTTCTCCAAAGCCCACATACAGGCGTTTAATGCTGATTGAAGGCTCCCTCATGCATGAAGTATGCTTCATCCGTGAATAATATGGATTGAGATAAAAATCCACTCGTTTGGCTATCGCTCGAGTACTTGTACTTGGCCAGACCTTCTCATAGCCAGGTATCCTTGTATTTCTCTATCGATTCATTGTAGTTTTCGTTAACCAACCAGTTTCATGTAGCCTTCTGTTCACACTTGTGAAGGTTCTATGATGTGCAGTACGCCTGTTTGGGTAACATTCATGGTACAACTGCGGAGTGGCACGCCTATTACAATCTGCAGCTCCATAATGGAATTCAACTACTTCATTGTTTGAATACACATTTATCCTATTACCTCGGGAAATGGTTTGCAAATGAAGACTTCAGCAGGATCGCTGTTCACGCAACCTTCTACCGCAAGACTGCCAGGAGGAATCTTCCAAAATAAGGAATTCCATGCAGAACCACTGTCAGGTCTGCCTGACAACTTCTACTCATAATTTCGAACACCTCTTGTAGTACAACACTTCAATAAAATGTGTTAATCTTCCAATATACAACAGGTGTTCGAAATTATGGCCAAAAGTCTTCTCGCAGGCCTGAGAGCATTGCTCCTCTAGTTCTATCTTCAATCCAGAAGGTTGCATGAATAGCGATCTATTTTCCAAGTTAGTAGGATGAACGTGTATTCAAACGATGAACTGGTCGGCATACTAATCCTGTATGGAGCTGCGGAATGTAACGGGTACGCCGGCTCACCAGGAGGGTTAGCCGAACAGGCATGTTGCACATCATACGACCTTCGCAAGTGTCAAGACTGGTTGTTTAACGAGAGCTACAATGAATCGACAGCGAAAGACGAGCACACCTGGCAATGAGGCAGTCTGGCAATCCAAGTACAAGTACTCGAGTTATAGTCCAACAAGTTGGTTTTCATCTCAATCCATTGTCTGGAGGACACTCGTAGTGCTCTTCATCATGTCCAGTTTAGCCTGAGGATTATCCACTATGGAGGACGTTTGCTATTGTTAACGGATAAAGCATACTTCAATCATGAAGGAGCCTTCAATCAGCATAACGCCCATGTGTGGGCTTTGGCGAACTTTCATCGTACTCAACCATGTGCATCTGAGGAGCGTTTCTCAGTCAATGTTTGGGCTGGCATTCTTGGAGTGTACCTAAATAGACTGTTACCTATTCCCAGTCCTTTGAACAATATGGTATACCTGATCTTGCATCAAGTCCTTTATGAACTTCTTGACGCAGCACATGTTCCTCCGTCGTTGCACCGCTCCATGTGGTACACCAGCATGACGGGGCTCCTTACTAATTGACGTCTGGGGACACCTTGACATAACCTTTGGACAGCAGACCACTGGACTATCATGAATGGACTGATTCTGAGGCCACATGAAGAGTCTGATATACAAAACAACAGTTCCTTCGAATATATGTAGTTTCCTGGAGGATGCATGGCATGCCAGGAATTCTATGCAGCACCCTTGTCAGGCAACTTAGGGTCGTAATTTCAAACTCCTATTGTAGTACAATTATAATATATTAGTGTATGTACTCTTAATTTAATGTAATCAATTTTAACATTCAAATTAATTCACAGCATTCCTTCTGGGGAAATATGCATGCTTATAAATATAAAAAATTAACACAGCCTATAATTTTTTTTAATGTATATCCATAGGCATTTCTGACAACACAGTCCAATGACAAAGATGAAAATGGTGAACCAGCTTCTTCATTGAGAGGAGGGAGAACAATTAAGTCTCAGAAAACTTATGGCAGCAGGTAAACTCAATTTTATCTCTGTAAGTTTCTCTTAATAAATATATTGTTACACATAGATTACATTTGTATCCTTTTTATTTTCAGCATAACAAAGTCAAGAGATGAAGCAGACCGAAATGAATAACTTACTAAAAATCATTATTTAAATTTCCTTTACATATTGTATGTATAAAGCATTAGAGCTTCAACACCATGTCTTTTATTCTCTTCTGAGACAAAACACTAGTTGATATTAATGATGTTCAAACCAAACACTACCTCTGATTCAATTTCACATTATCTCGATGATTTTTCACATAAATTCATTGGAAAGAAAGGGTTATGTAAGAAATAATACAATTTTTAAATTTTGCTTGAATGCTGAAAGTGTTATGAGTTATATAAGGAAGAATAACAAACATTCTAGCAAATTTTATTGCAAAATCAATAATATTTCATAAAAATTAACTAATTCACATTATCACTATGGCAAGATAATTATCAAGATCCTGATAATTATTATATATACAAATCAGGAATGATCAACATCCGTACAGGCATTAAGCAGTTTAAACAATCTTCATGTACAAATAAAAAGCTGCATATACATTTCTACATTATCAGATAAAAAAAAAAGAAACCTGATAATTGTTTACATGGAAGTGTGTGTGCATGTGCATACACACACAGCTCTTACGCACAATTAATTTCAACAAAGAAAACATGGAATTTAAACTATAATACAAAATTGATATTTGTGTATTAATGTTTTGTAATGCAGCAGATATAAAATAATTACAAATATGCAGTATTTAACAAGTAAAAAGTGAATAGATGTCACATATTATCTTAAAAATCATGTATGGCACCACAATAAAAAATGCATTTAAAATTAAGTGACAACTTATATAACATTTTCTAATAAACTAATTAATAAAACTGCAAATGAAAAATTGTGCAAATTCTAGTAAATCTTAGGCTATTTGTTCTAATAAAAATTAGGATTTTTGTTTTAAAAATTCAAATAAACAAAACATGTATTATATGATCTTACCGCACAAGAACAGTAAAATTTATAAAATAGCTGGATTTCTTTTATTTAATGGTCTGTAAAATCATTCAGTAAAATAAATTAAAAAAATTATATATGATACTGCAGGAGCATGTCTTTAACAAGAACCAGCTTGTAGTTATAATGTGAAAAATAAAAAAGGAGAAGGGAAAAAAACTATCACATCAAAAAGCAAGTGAAAAATTTAAACTGCAATTCATATAAAATGAAGATTACAGAGTGATGCCATTTAAGCCCGACGATTTAATTCGATAGCAGCATTTGACGTCTAGGAAACATTGAGCTCTGATAGAATCACAGTGTTGACATTTTATATACAGAGGAAAGAAAGCTACAGCATTCCTGAGAAGTAGCATGACAATAATAAGGGCACTTACACTAGAAAATAAGTAAATAAATTCGTGCTTAAAGAATACTAGATTCTTATCGAAGCACCAACAATTTTAGGGTTTAATTTATTCTCTCAAAATTAACTCTGGACGTTAAAACAAATGCGTGTCATTTTTACAAAAAATGCACTAAATTATTGCTATAAATTTTAATTAGTCTGAAGTTATTTCTCAGTAATATAATTTTGGAGCTCATTCAGGAATATAGAAAAGTGGCAAAACCGATTTTTAATTTTGATGATACATTGTATGTGTTAATTAAAAATTTAATTTCATTCAACTGACAAAAATAGCCTATAAAATTGATTATATCGTTATTTATAACATGTTAATACATTTATGTGAATTAACGTTCCTAATTCTTACATTTATGTATCCATTGTGCTATAAAAATTTAATGCAGGACTAGGATTACACATTCACATTTTTATGTAAACAAGATCTTATAAGAACTTCCCCACGACTAGTTTTTTTAACACATTAACAAAGTTAGAAAACGTCAACACTTGTACACACAGTCATAAGCATCCATTAAATTACCTGGAAAAAAAAAAACTGGAGATCTTTTATGAATATTTGATCTTCACATGAGATGAAAAGCAAAATGACCGGGATGGAAAATGAGTTTTTTCCCCCATTAAGAGATGCTCTTTGCTATTACTGCACAATAACTGCAAACCACAAAGTTAACCATATATAATGCAAAAGTACATCACAATTTTTTATGGTGATAGTATATAGAAAAAAGAAAATTATTTACTTGGCATTGTCATTCCAGATGGATGGTACAGTTGTTTGTAAGACTAGGTTTCATTTCAATCACACACAAGTTAAAGGGAGAAAAACCACTCAGTTGATTCTTACTTCCTGAAGGGGTACGTTGCAAAGGTTTACATATCAATTTCTGAGTTCATATTTACACTTGTTTATGTTCCATTCTAAAGAAGCAAGCTCAATTCATGAAAGACTACACATTTTGCGGAAATCTGTCTCAAATTCTGCATCGATGTCACTTGTATCCGGTATTTTACCTTTAACATCCGGCATGTACTGCAAATAATCCATTCCTTCTCTCTCGTAGAACAGCATATATGCAGAGTCCATGTCAATTTGATCTAGTTGTACTTCCTGCATTAAAAAGATCACAAGAATTTCAAGTTTATGCTTGTAGCTATACACAAAAATGCTTTATCAACATTATACTTTACTAATACATTGATTTTTTAAAATTCCAATTTAAGGCTCTGCCCAAAAAAGGCGACGGGGAGTGAGTTTTCATGTGTATACTTCTGTCATGTTTATGTATGTATGTGACAGACCCAAAGCAAATATGCTAATAAAAGTGGCAAGTTTGAAAAAGATTGTAAAAAACTTGTGAAATGAAAGATGGATGCAGAAAGTCTTTTTATTAAATTACTAAAAATTGCAAGTTATTTAGTTACAGTATTTGTCTTGTACACAGAGTGGGATAAAAAAACATTAATTTTGTGCCATATCAATTTCACAATGGATGTGATGGCTAAATTGATCCCTAACATTATGGGAGCTGCAATGTCTTACGACCTTTCATCACAACCAAAGCTTAAATGGATATTACTACTATATTAAATTGTCAACTGGAGGTGGGGGAACTCCTTTCATAACCACATTTGTCAAGCTGAGGGAGAGATTATGATTGAAAAAGAATTTGTGATAATGAAGCATGATTTCAATCCTAAGGTTTTACTGGCTGTTTTTTTTTTTATCAGCTGTAGTTTTAAAAGTGCCAATAAGCTTGTTAAACTAGTCAAGGAATTATGGTATAAACATTACTTAAGATGCAAGCCAAATTACTGGAATAATATTGCCATTAGGAGGATTAGTTAATTAAGAGGGACCATGTCAGAGTAAAACTTTACTTTCAAAGACTGCCTCAGTTACATTACTTTTTCCTAATATTTCACCAATATATTATTAACTTTACCATTTAATAAAATACCATATGTGAAACAGGTACTCCATTAACTGTTAGACTTTATTATTTTTAAAATTAACATTCTACTAATATGGCACCATATTTTCTCATGCATCCCCCCTTCTTTTTTACTAATGTCACCATACAAAAACCAAGAGGGGAAAATTATGCAAATAATTTTAATTTCAGAAGGACAAGGTAAGAGCATAACAAATGAAAAGTGGTAATAGATAAACTATAGGTACCTGTCACAATATTATTTCTTTAAAAGAAATCTACATGTCAATAAGAATACATAGTAATATTAACATTACAATATCTAACATATCTTTGTTTCCAATTCCCTATAACCTGAATAACACTTATCCTTACAGTTGTTCTCTCTGCTACTCTCTTTAGGCCTTTAATCATCCATATATATCCGGTTGTAATGAAAGTTTTCTGCTAAAAAACTTTCTTAATAAAGTTAGGGGGGAAACACAAAAGCAGTACCTTTAGTGCGGTTAGTGATCACCACCCAAATCTATGATTTTCTGCCAATGTTTTGGTAATTTTGATCCCATTCGAGCACGTACAGAGTCCAACCGGTGAATGTAGACACTTTCGTTAAAACCCGATAATTACAGAAGGTGAATGTGGAATTGATTTAGCGAAATCGTATGCTGTATGTCAGTTCATGTTTGCTTTGGTATAATGGGTCTGTTCTTGTATTTGACTGGCATAAAATTCAAGCAGTTTGGCATGACTTCACAGGCTCTTTGTGAGGGTTTGTTTGTGTTAGTAAGACTATGTGAGCAAATACATTTAAAACTTGGGGAAGTTTATTTCCTGAACACGTTGAAAAAAGGAAAATAATCCAAATATTTTTTGAAATTTTTAGAAGTTGGCATTAAAAAGCTAGAAGCAAAAATATATGAGGAAATATAGTATTTTTATGATACTGGAACAGGATCAAGATATGAATTATAATGGTAATAATTAATATATTTTATTTATTTTCTTATGCTCTACATAAATATTGCAACTACAAATGACCTATTAGTTGCATTTACTTAGAAATCATATACAGTACAAAGTCCGTAATCCGGACTCATCGGGACTTCGGCGACTCCGGATTAAGGGTTTTTCCGGATTATAGATCATCAATTTAAATTTGGTAAGATGGCATGCAGAAATTATACAATTAAAAATATGAAACCGTAATTTACGAAATAAAGAGCAATTATGATCTAAACGGTATCAAAATTTACAAAAAAAAAAAAAAAAAAAAAAAAAAAAAAAAATTCAATGCAAGTTGTTTAAGTTGTTTCGCTTTTGTGCTAAACGCACATGCATGAACATAAAACGCGCAAGCGTAACATTACACACATGCGTAAAGCATACCAAAAAAAGTTTGTGGTTTTGAGGTCCGGATAATGGACGTATGGATTACAGACTTTGTACTGCAGTAAAACTATCATTTTAAGATTACACCTTGCATATATCTTATTGTATATATTAATTCCATAAAGAAGGTAAAATTGTATTTTAAATAATTAGATGTAATCAGTATAAGTATCTTACCCAATAAAAGTCCCCTTCAATTTAGTATCAATTTCAACGAAAAAACAACTAATGCATTTCTTGAGGGAAAAAACATAAACTTTTTCATCAGAAGCAAAATTTAGGACAATGACTTTGAAATATAAAAATAAAGTATATACTGTTTAGCCATTGGAAACATGACACATGATGGCACTCTGATTAAACATTTTGAAGGAAGATCTACCAGCTTTGGATGAATAAGGCATTGGGTTGAATAGGATGTTGAAACATTAAGTACTTTCTTGGCACTAATGCTGTCTTAGAAAGTTGCAGATATGCTCCCAGCCTGGGATGTATAAATGGTTTAGTCTAACACTGACTGGAAAATAAATACAGCTGATTCTGTATATTCAACAAACAACAAATAGGTTAAAATTAAATACCAAATCTTTATAAATTACTCCAAGAAAAAAATAAGAATTAAATATGAAGCTTTTTGATATCGCCATAGGCAATTTCCTCATAAAATTGGATAACATTTCAAAATTTTGGAAAGATACCAAAGCATTAAGGGCACTATTAAACTTATGCGTTAAATTTTCTGCCTGTTCAGATAGGCGACAACATGGTTCTGTACAGTGGTTGGTATCTAACAAAATATCTGCAAATTATTCATCCAAGGTTGGTAGATCTTTCTTGAAAATACTTTATGTGACATATCAATACTTTCCTTATGAATTTTTACTTAGTGCATACATAGTTGGGATATAATTTGCCCTGAAGTGCATACTGACATAGTTGGGAAATGGTGAATGAAAATACTTAACTACCACAGTTCTAATTAGGATCAAGCATAAAAAATGCAGTTCATTGTTTATGAGTTATTGCACTCTATGGGACAAAATCACATGCTTATAAATGTTACGGCAGTTTCTTTGACACTGTTCTGTTATCGGGACCAGGACCAGATTTAGAAATATATATGTGTGTATATGTATACACACATACATTCATACTTACATACATAATTTCCTTATCCAGCTCTGATAACAGAACAGTACTGTCTCCCCCCTTGAACTTTTTGTTCAATAAGCTCGAGATCTGGACTAAGGTGACATGTAGAAATTCTAAAATTAAAAATATGTAATAAAAATTTATGACATTCAGAGAGTCAAAATTTATCAACTTTTAAAAAAAGCTGAAAGTGTTTGCTTTATTAAACATTTTTTTTTTTCAATGTATGTAGTTTTAAGTTGTTTCGTTTTTTTTTCCACTACATTTATAGATCTTTACATTTATAGATCTATTTTTTCCTTCTTATCTTTTTTACTCATTTTGCCATCCCTTAGTTGTCTGATTATTGAGGATATTTTTGTCACAATGGAACATTTTTGTTATATTATCTTCCTTTATTATGACTTCTGCACATGCCTGGACAAATTCATTAACTGGATGTGAACGGTATGCGATATCTGAAAAACTTCAAACTCACAGCTATCATCATAAAGCTTAGCCAGTGTCTGCTGTATCCTACTGCCAATGTATCGCGACACTGGTGACTAGCATTTTGCTCCACTAAATTTTGTGATGCTTCTGTCACATATAATGAAGTTAAGCCTAATTTATATTTATTTTATTATACAGGGTGTTTATAAAATCCCGGACCCATTTTGATATTTAATAACTCATAAAATAATAAAGATAGATTAAAATTAATGACATAAATGGTTAGATAGCCTCAAAAAGTTTCATGAGCCTTGTCAATGAACTTCCACGTGTGCCCCCTTCGTCGCACGGAGAATATCAAGTCGATATTCAATTTCACGCCAGGTACCGGCAAGCATGTCGGCATCCACAGAGGCTATTGCATTTGTAACTCTGGCTTTTAGGTCATAATGTTCGACACTCTCCTCCTGTAAACGTTGTCCTTTACAAATCCCCAAAGGAAAAAAGTCCAGCGGCGTTATATGAGGTGATCTGGGTGGCCAAGGAATTGGACCTCCTCGCCCAATCCATCTTCCTGTACAATGGTCATTCAAAGAACTACGAACGATGGTACCCCAATGAGGTGGTGCACTATCTTGTTGCAAAAAGACATGTGGCTGAAGCTCTTCTAGTTGTGGAAATACGAAGTTTTCCAACATGTCTAAGTATACGACTGATGAGACCGTCTTTTCTGTAAAAAAGAAAGGCCCAATGACTCGGTCGTGCATTAGTCCACACCACACATTAACCTTTGGGGAATCCCTTTGTGCCTCACGGTATTCATGGGGGTATTTAGATCCCCATATGTGCACATTATGGTGATTAACAATGCCAGAAAGATGCCAAAAACAAAAGAGCAATTAATAAGCAGACGATATTTAGAAAAGTACAGATATTTAGACTGGAAAATTAAATTATCTGAAATTAACCACACGCGCAAACGATATTTACAAAAGTAAAGATATTCAAACCTGAAAAGGGAAATATAAAAGTTATTCCATCAATAAAAAGTTTGTTTATATCTTCATTATTTTATGAGTTATTAAACATCAAAATAAGTCCGGGACTTTATAAACACCCTGTACTTGCACCTATTTTCCACACATGCTAAAGACTTATATGAGTCCCGAATAAATACCACATATATTTAAAGCTTACTGGAAAAAAAATCAGTTATTCCAAATGCAAACAGTACTTAAATATAATTTTTGGGCTTATGAATATCATTTACAAAATCTATTTTTTTTGCATTAATAACCGATCATAACTCTACAACTGATTATTTCACAAGATTTACATACCTTACAACTGCTGTCATTATAACAATACCATTTCTTGTTTGGATTACATGCATAGCACACATAGTGTCCTCCACCTAAGATGCCAGAATGACACTGAAATAAAAGGAGAAAGGTTATATCTTTTCTGAATATGTTTAGGCTGATAATAAATAGAACAGGAAAACTGCAGAATAGAGATTCGCAGATGTAATTATGCAGAGGGTTCAATAACGACCCAGACACACCACAGGCTTTACAACGTAAGAGACGATTATAACACATTAAACTTTTATCTGCTAATGTTCCCATTGCTAGGAACAGTTATTAAAGAGAGAAATAAAACTTGGTCCCATTTTTAACAGAAGTGATGCAACTCTTTATTTACAAAACTGATACATTTTGTCCCCCCTCCCCAAAATTTTTTTTCACATTTTACATATTTTGTATTCATTTATTTGGGCGGGGATGGGTTAAAATTTTATGTTATCATAGATAAAGGGTTTTGGTGCTTGAATTTTCAAAAAATTCCCCCATGTGGAAACCACTGAAATTAAAAATAATGACTAAGCAATAGATATTAGAAAGATAGCTGACAGAATAAAATTTGATGGTACTTCAGAGGTAAAAGATTAATGAATGTGGAGTACAATTAAAATTGTAATTAAAGTAACAGAATATTCTATCAAAATGATAGATATATATATCTGAAAACCAGAATTTCATAAACAAGTATTTGGAAATATGCAGCATAAATATAAATTAAATAGATTTAATGTAAAATATTTTATTAGAAACCTTTGTTGAAGACAAAGCAAAAGAAGAATTCATATCATTTCTGATTATTCCTCTCTCTCTCTCTCTTTTTTTTTTTTTTTTTTACTATTATCCAATGCATCAGAAAAGCATTTATGGCAGAATATTAATAAATGTGAAGCACAAATGAATTTATTAGAAAGGTATATTTGCACTGAATGTGGAAGCTCCCTCAATACAATTACTATGTAAATTATTTTTGAGAAGGGGAAAATAATTTATATAGTAATTTTATTGGGGGAGAGAAGAATAAAAGAGGAAAAAAATACAAACCTAAAGTGTACGTCCAGGACACATGCTTAAAAGATTATATTAAGCATCTGCCCACCAGCTATAAAAATTCATATAATACAGATACGGAAATGGAGAATTTTGATTTGACATGAAGACATTTGTCTGATGATATTTTTTTCGGGAAGGGGGTATAAAAGAAACCATCACAAATTCTATCTTTTAGGAACTGGCCCACTTTTTAACCTTTCAACTGTCATGCCCGAGTTAATCTCGGGCACAGCACTGGTGTTCGAAAATGTCACGCCCGAGTATTACTCGGGGTAATTTTTTTTTGAGTGCATCGTATTGTTATACCCGAATATATATCGGGAGACGTTTATTTCGGCTTCATTTCTTTGTCAAACCCGACATTATCTCGGGAAAAGTTAATGTGCGCTCAATTCAATAGATGACAGCACTTTACTGAAGATTTCAAAAGTTAGAGGTTATAAGTTCTTTGGTTCAAAGTGCACGGGATCTTTTTGTTGTAAAATGGCGTCCAGTTCTTTGAAAGGTTATATAGATGATTTAGATTCTTCAACCGAAGATGAAAGATGTGTGTCTCATGAGCAGTATTCATGATATTTCCATGGTCAACCTAAAAAAAAAAAAAAAAGAAGAAATACTCAAGCCGAAGATTGTTTCTGACTACAGTCTAAATATGGGTGGTGTAGATCGCTGTGATTAGGAAATATCCTTTCACCCAACAAACCGAAAACGTCAGAAAAATATTATAAAAAGATATTTTTACATTTACTAGACAAGGTACTTTGGAACTCATATTTACTCTATAAAAATGTAGTTGGGAAACGTACTACATTTTTAGAATTTCGAATCCAAGTTGTAGAAGAGCTTTTACATAAATATGATGATGCAGCTTCTGGACAAAAGAATGTTGGCAGACCACCTACAATAGATAACCCTGCCCGTCTTACTGAACGACATTTTATTTCCTATATTCCTCCTACTCCTGTGAAACGTGAGCCTACAAGACAGTGCAAAGTGTGTTGTTCGAAAAAGGATAAAAATGGGGAAAAAGATAAGGAAGGAAACACGGTTCTGGTGTAGTGATTGTGGAGTTGGTTTGTGCTTGGAAAAGTGTTTCCAGTTGTACCACACAAGACTGAATTACTGGTACTAATACGTATTCACTTTTATTTATTTTTTTTTCATTTATTTATTTTTAGAAAATAATTAATTTTCTTTCATTTTTAGAAAATAATGCTCCACTAGAAGCGAACTTTACAACTGCCATGTTGAGTGGCAGCCGCCTCAAGCAAATACGCAGTGGCTACAAAACTTTAAAAATTTTACCCATGTACTTCAAAATATCAATTTTTAACTACTTAAGTATATTTTATTTTGTACTAAACATTTTATTTTTCCAATAAAAAAATTTGACAATTTGTGTACCAAATCATCAAAATAACTCGATAGTTAAAGGGTTAAGATAAATGAAAGAATTTTTAGTACATTGTAAAAGAATATTCCCATGAAAATATACCTGAAATATTTCAAGTATATTCTTCCCAGCAGATTAGAAGAATATTCCAAAGTGAAATATACTTACAACATTTTAGGAATATTCATCGAAAATCATGACGCATTGTCTGGTGATATGCCAGGAAGGTGCCGATTCCTTATAAATGTGGGATGATAAGAGATGAAAATGAAATATTCTGAAGATATTCTATGTTTTGAAATTAAAAAGTGTAAAAGTTGTAATTAGGTGAACTTCTTTATTGCCTTTATTAAAACCATAAACTATTGCTACATGATCATTTAAAAAATGTATTAAAATTAATTTTAGAGATAAAAGGTGATTCATTTTCTTGATTTGTCAGCCAGAAAAAATGGCAACCTTAAACAATGACAATGTTTAAATTAAAAAATGTCTCGAAAAAATTTAAGACACTGCATGGAATCATTCTTATACATTCTGTTCTAATCTACTTCTGTAATTCCTTAAAAGTCCTAATACAGTTCATATATTTGAAAACAACAATTTTATATTCAGCTGAATGACCAAGAAATCTGTATGAAAGGGGGGGGGGAAATAATGTGATATACAGTGACATTATATTCTTGAAACCATGTTTCCAAGTCATTATGACAATTACATTTCGTATTCACACACACATTATTTAAATTAAAAAAGATTTATTCATTTATATCTCGTGAATTTTTTGTTTTTAGAGATTATTAAAGTATTCCTAGAACTTTCACATATATATTTATAGACTTAATTCTTGCTAAACTGCAAAATAACTATAAGGTATTAAAAATTAGGATTTTAAAAATCTTGATAACTATCTCGATGCAAAAAAAGGATCACAGTAGTCTCATTTTATATGTAAAGCTTGAAATTAGTCTCAAGAATGACATGGTTAGGTGTCAAGGCAGACTAAATACCAGTCACTGAGTTGTGAATAAAGTTTTGGGAAGAAAACTATAAAACTCCATTTAATTCACAAATTATAAAAAGTAAGGAAGTATTACAAAAAATACTTAGCAGAAATAAATTTGTAGGTAGTATTTTAACAGAAACATATTTTCAATGTAAACAAAAGCATGTGCAACTATTATTACTTTCAAATTTTTGCAGTGGAGTGGAACTAAACCATTATTATCTTGTAATCAGTACCTTACATAAACTTTTACAATATCTGTGACTTTGTGATTAAATGCCAATAATGTCTTTTGTGGCATAATTATGGATATTATAAATACTTTTTGATAGGCCATATAACATCTATGATTAAAATTCTTAGTATAAATAATACTAATTCAGAGTAAATTGTTATAAATTTCCCCTTTTTTTGTAGTTGTTTAGAAACTTAACACATTTTGATTTTATTAGTAGACTTCTATGACACAGGTTTACGTATAAATTTAACTTTGAAATCTGTAAATGGAAGAAAAAAAAAAGGGGGGGGGAAACCCATCTGAAAGCTGTAAAATCTAAATTTTCACCAATAAAGATTTCTGCTCAGGAGTAATTCATACACTCAAGAGTGTGAAAATAATTCTCAATTTTAATGTAAGATCAGAAGAACGATACGATATTAGAAATTTTTAGTAGAAAGGAGGAACAACATATCTGAAGAAAATGGCCACAAAAAATAAAAAAAAAAAAAAAAAAAAACTATACAATTGATGAAATATAAATTGCAATAAATTAATTGCCTGGTTATCTATCTGAATGACTAAAAAAATACTTACTGCCAATGCATATAACTTATACTTCAGAGAAAATGGATCTGTGCCTCCTGATAACTTGTGTTGATGAAAATCTTGAAGATCAGATCTCAATTCAGAAAAGAAGGATTTGCTTCGTTCTATGCCATTGCAATTTGACATGGATTCGCATGTGTATTCTTCATTCAATAAATTATCACTTCTTAATATGTTTTGACTAGGAACACTTTGGTCATTTTGATTTCGAGATTTTTCTACTGTATTAGCACAAGAGTTATCATTATGGTCCAAATGGTTAGAATCGACCCTTAAGCATTGTTCTTTTACTTTTTTACAATCGGATAACAATGAGTCACAGGATAGAGCAGCTTTTCTTCTATGTGCTTCTAGGATCGTATCTCTAGGTACTCGAGCGAGATAGTCCGTAGGATCAAAGTTTTCGAAGGGAAATTTTACAATTTTGTGGGATTTTACCCATCGTCCATGTAGCAGCTGGAATCTTTTTAAGTGCACAATCTGAAATAAAAATAAAAGCTGAATGAAAATCTTAATATCTATAAATATAAATATAATAAGTCTACTTATCTCTATGTAATATATATCAACTTGCAAAGAAATATGATGGGCTATTTGCCAGTCATATTTCTTTACAAGACAATTGTAAGAGTGACAATGAAGATGGATATTTGAATTGATTACAAAATAATAGGCATTGTTTAGTGACAGGTAAAATTAACAGATATACAATGTATATTGGACACGTTTTACAGTTTCTTAAAATTGAATGAAAATTTGTTTTGTACAGGGGTAAAGAAATCTGCAGATCACTACATAAAACTTAATTATCAATTCATAAATCAGAGAATTTCTGCTCTAGTTACAGATAATGATTTTAACTTGCTTTACAGGGATATTAATATTTTGACAACTGCTAATTCTGAGCACTAAATCTTTAGAGCTGTTACCACTACATTTTTGCTTGTTTAAAAATAATAATTCTTTTAATAATAAATTTCGAATAAAAATGAAACATAAATCATACTTCTCTATGGCAGGCTGGGCAAGAAACTGGAAATTTGTCACATTTCAGCCTTGGAAAGAAAGACAATTTCCATCCCACAAAAGTAATTCATTCAGTGTCTCTAATAAGACATTAAGCCAATAAAATAGCAGGAGCTGATAAAAGAATGGAGACTGATGAATTTTTGTGAAACAAAAGAATAATGTAGAGAGATTATTGCCAAAACAGTGGATGTATGTGTATGAATAATGTAGAGAGATTATTGCCAAGACTGTATTTGTTGCAATGACTGGTGCTTCTTGGCTCTAGAATGAAACAGAACTATAAAAACTCTAATGGAGAACATGCAAGAATGAGAGACTGATGACTTGGATAAGTTCTATATGTTTATTTTATATAAATTGCTTGCAAAATCGTATTAAATAAACATATATTTACATTAAATTACTGCTATTATGCATGTATTAAATAAATGATGTTTTGCAATCATTGGATGAAATGCTAGTGTTGACGGTTACGTCCATTTTTCGCTAATGCTAAAATAAATAACAGAGAAATAGTTAAAATTCTTTTTAAATTAAAATAAATAACACAATAAAATACACTAAAGGCTCCTGCTTTGTATAAACATATAAAATATGTTGGTGACTCATGGCTTAGTCCAATTTAGAAATATAAAAGTACTCATATAAGATAATATAAAAGCATAAATTTGAAACAATGAAAAAATAACTTGCACAGTGTAAAGATAAATACTTTTTAAAATTTTACATCCATAAAAGTTAAGAACTGAGTTTAATGCATAGAAAAATTTGCATTTTAAAAATTTAAACTCAATGAATGAATGTAAGGACATTGTAAATATTATTACAGTTCCCTCCCCTTTTTCCCCAAGTACAAAAAACAAACCAAAAAAAAAAAAAAAAAAAAAAAAAAAAGGCCAAATGCATATAAACTAAGTAACAAAAGTTACAGAATTCATTAAAACTAGAACATATAATATCTCTATAATTATGTGCTTTCAATTACAAATAACAGTTTAATATCCAGTATTCATGATCCTAGATAGTAGAACAGGAATGAAGTGCTTGTTTGGCAAGGTATTTTGAGATAAATTCCTGTTCATTTAAAATTATGTAAAAAAGCATCCTCTTTAACCCTTAGAGTATGGATCTATTTGAAAAATTCTTCTGTTGACTTTTCACAAACAACATTCACTGAAGTACCGGAAGAAACTTGCTGTTATAACTAGAACACTTTTGCCAATCACTTTTGCCATGAACAAGAATATACATGTTTAATTTTGTCTGAGATCAAACTGAATGCGATAGCCAGGCTGATGAGGGTAGCAGATGAAGATAGATCTTTGATGAGACTCATCAAATTACTTTTAATGTTGAGCACTTAAGATATACATATGTGCTTTTCAAACTGAGGTTATAAGGTATTTTCTCCCTCCTTTCTGCATGCATGTCAGAAACGTACCCATCTGTGTTCAAATTACCATCGATCTGACCTAGAGATATGCATGTCGTGTACCCATTAGCTGCCGAAACTATCACACAAGGTGCAGGGCCCCTATGTCAATATCGAATGCAAGCAGGCGACGTGCGGTCTCCCCGGACACTCCAGATATGTAGACAGCCATCAGAATACTGCACATAGAACCGGACTTGTTTGAAAAGGCAACATTGTGCCACCCCTGTCCCCAGCTTTGTCATTTGGCACACCAGACTCACCATCTCTTTCTATGCTGCATTGTCAAGGGAAGCCGAAGTAATGGTCACTCTGCTGGAAATGTCAACGCACCTTATGAGCTGATACCGGGCATACTGCAAACATGGGCATTTCCTCACTATGGTCTGTGATGTGGTCATAAGGTTTTGCAAGCTAACCTCACAATATATCTGTCCTTTCCAGTGTTAGTCATGAGAGGGCATTAAGATCCTGCATACTGTTCAATATGACCCTCAGAAATGCATTGATTCCATATTTGCATGACAGTGGATGGATGTCGACCAATGCTACCGGCGATATCACAGAACGATAATCTGCACATTCAATAGGCAACGATCCTGCCACTCTATTGAATTTCAAAACTTGCTGGTAAGCATTTCCTGTTCTTATCCGAGCCATAACACAATATTCTGAGCAAACTCCAACCTTACAAAGTACTTTCCGAATCAGAAATTCACTACCCAAGTTTTCTTTTATGCAGTGCTTCAGACGTTGTTTCTCCCTCCTGCATCTTCTAAATGCACTGAAATACTAATCATTTGCATATCCTAACTTCTTCCTTTCATGTGATTTTGAAGTTTGCCAGATTATTCCTTCCTGGTGTTGAAATTTTAATGGCCAGCAGTGTATATATTTGTTACTCAAGTTTTCATCGCTCTCCACAAAATATATATATTTTTTTTCACCCATAACTTACAACTTTCCTCTGACAGATGTCTGAGCAAATTTTATTTGATCATCATTTAAATACTTCCTATGCTTAAAGATTGCTTATAATTGCAATTGCAATGAAACAGAACAAAACATATAGCATAATTAAATGTACAATAGAATAGGCAGTTATCATCTTAGGTCACAATTGCAACGGCAATGCAACTGACTTATGCTACGACTAGTTAATATAGTATAGACTGAGGCATATGGCAGGTGGACAGCACTTTCCTTGCTATACTGTTGAGGCTAAAGAGAAAAAAGATTTTGTGTACTTTTCACAAAAGCACACATCGCAACTTGTTAAAAAAAATATGACTTACAAAATATGCATGCAAATTAATGAAATATACACTAAATACCATACATATAACAATTAGTGAAATACATACTAAAATAGGAGGTAATCTCCAAATATTTAATTTCTTTGAAGCTAACTGATGTTCTTTACATTTAGAACAGTAATACTTTTCTGCCTCACCCAACTGCTCTTCTTTTGTGAAAGCTTCCAGACAATCATGCAGATTGATAGGTTCTGTTTGAAGTCGCCTGGTAGCTTCCACACTTTCATGATCTGCAAAATCCTGAGAAAGAAATTTAAAAAATAACATAAAATTGAGTGTGCATAAAAATTAAAAAACATATTTAAAGCTATTATATATGTAATTCAAGAATTTCTTTTAGTACACACACACACACACACATATATATATATATAATTTAAGAAAATAAGTCATTGCTTATCAGGACTTGTTTTTGGAAATACTCATATATGAATTAAAATAGAACTATTGTAAATAAAATGTATTCATAACACATATATAAATGATGGCAAACACAAGGTGATGTTGGTGAACACTTGCACTAAAAATTCTATAAAATATTAATTGTAAAGGCAAATGCCTAGAAGTTGAAATACAATGGAAAAAATGAATGATGTGATAATTTAAAACACTTCAAATAGACTTCTTCAGGGACATGTTTACATAACAACACTTACAATGCTTATATATTTTATGGTACTCTTTTCTTATTGGGACTGGACTGGGACATATGGCATACGTACATACAATAAATACATGCATACATGTACACATACGTACATATATTTCCAAATCCGGTACTGATAACATAAGAGCACCTTTTTTTTTTTACTATATATATATATAACAAACCTAGAAGCTTTTCTTAAAATTATTTCTTCAAATTCTGAAATATAAAATTGTATTTATAACAAATAACAAATAGATGACACATTAAAATTTTAATAAATTATAAAACAACATAAGAATATTTATAAATTGAAATGCATTTTTAATCCAACTCACTCTTTCAAGAGAAGTCTGGTAACGCAGATGCAAAGCAGTGGGATCCCAATCTATTGCAATCACAGTGCAACTGAAATTGAAATCTGCATCACAACACTCAATTTTACAGCCTCTACAAAACCTAGAATTAAACAAATTATAAATAATTACTTTTAATTGCAATTTTAAGACAAATATCTTGATCTATTTTTTTCATTATTTTACTTACCGATACCACGGGCAATGTGCACATAAGAAGCCATTCTTCTGTACTGCTTTTAATGTAAAAGGATATTCATAACCTAAACTGTCATCACTAAAAAAATAATAATTAAAATTATACACAACAGTAATACAAATTTCACCACTTTTATACATTCAAATTCAAACTATGAATAATTCATACTAACCAATCAAGAGCATGATTAGATACAGCTGCCTCAGAAGGTGGTAATGGTGAAACTAATCTGGAAACCTGTATCCATACCGCTTGGTAAAGATCTTGATTAGTTGTCATTTCATGGCAGGGAAGAATTAAAGGCAGTCCAAAAAGTGTAGGTCGACATTTTTGACTGGAGAGGAAATACACATCTTGGCGAATCTGTGGTAAGAAAGATGACATCAGATGGCAACTCCAAGAAAAGAGTATATGATATCTTTCGTAAAAATTGTTAACCTCTTTCCTACAATAGCTTTGATATTGGTAAAACCATATTACAACTGCCAACATTGATATCATAAACACTGGGTGACTTTTGCTAGAAAACCATAAGGTTTACATACAGTGTGGCGACATCATTTCAAAGGAATTCCCCACTGACTTTAATTATTTTAAATTTTATGCTCTTTGGCTCATTTCATTAAAAAATTTTCTTACACTTTAAAAAGTACTAGCCAATTATTTTATGTTAAATTTTTACTGTCACTTCTCCCTTTCTGCTTTCTCACCAGAATAAAAATTTTAGCTTGCATGTTCCGCCTGCTGGGGGTTTAAACTTAATACATTTCAGTTTGCTTATCTAGACATAGTGACAAATTGCTTACACATCTATTGGAGGATCTGCCACAAGTTACATTTAATTACAGGCAAAGAAAGACCCAACAACTTTGTACTGAGCAAGTACTGAGTTACAAAGGAAAACTTTTATATTTAGCAAAGTACTTATAAATATGAGGAAAATTAACAATTAATATACATGAAATTTGTGTGGGCAAACTTACTAATGTATCGTATACTGAAGTAAACAAAATTTAATACAAATATTAACTAATTAAACACTGCCCAAATCTCCATATAAAATGTTTACAGAAGAAAACTACTACAATCTACTTCTACAAATGTATACAACAGATTAAAACGACTAAGATTAAATTACATAAGAAAAATTTAGTACAAACTATAAAATGTTAAAAAAAATACAATTTAGGTGAAATAAAATTTAATATGAAAAATTATTCTGAAAATCATTAGAAGCAGTGAAATTGCTCATTAGAAGCAGTGAAATTTCAAGATTGCTTAGATACAAAATAAATCTTTCTTACCATTTTTCTATGGTAAGCAATAACAAAGTTTTTTAAATAAAAGTCAGAAGACAATTCGCCTGTAGAGGAATTGCTAATCATGCTGGATGACATGCTTGAAGGATAACTAGGACCTCCACCAAGAATCCATGGTCCCAAAGGTTGTTGCACTGGAGGACTATTTATCTACAAAAAATAGAGTATAGGTACATATGTGTAGGATATAAAATAAAAAAGCAAACTACTAGCTTTAATTTTTAATTTGTATATTTCCCTTTTCTGACCTCAATCTAAACTGCATCATTTGAAAATTAATCTGCAGCATAAGATCTTACATAAGGGTGGAATACAGACACCTCTTATCCAATCCCTGAATAAGATTTCAATTAAGAAACGAAATGTTCACAAGAGAACTTTTGAGCAGTCATTACAATATAGTAATTGAGTTCGAAGCCAATACACAGCCAAATGTAAATACGTAACAGCGTTCTAACAGACCCACAGTAGAAGTTAAGGGAAAAGAAAGACATAAGTCATCACATGTCAGGAGGTGACAGTTTAAAATATGAAACATATATGAACATATATGATTGTGTTTATATGAATGAAAAAGAAATACAATAAATTGATTTAGATGTCAGTTAAATGAAAATTTTTAATTTTGCATACTTGTACGCAAGGCAGCCAGGGCTAAGGTAGAATGTCCACACAATCAATAAATTTATTCACCAGCTAACAAATAGTAGAAATTTTATATTCTGGTGTGTCCATTTAATACTTATTTTTCCTAATGAACTTCTACTTTTAGTCTTTGTGACTCAATCACTAGTTGGTAAGCTGGATGTATAGCTAGACAATTCACACTGCTAAACAGATGGAATTGCTAAATAAATATGCTCATCGTTAACATCAATGCTAAACATTTGAAATTGTGCAGAACATTTTAAGTATTGCTTTCCCATGAAAATTAATCTTTTGAATTAAAGTTGTAAATAAAATTAAAATTATGAATTCAATTAAGGTATTAAATTACAAGCCCCATCTTTAACAAAGAGTAAAAGAAAAGTGATAAAAGAAGGATGTGTTTTTCAGAAAATTCGCACTTTTGCAGCAGTCTCGATAGTAGTTGATGAAAGAAGTGATATTACACATATAGCACAGCTTGCTGTTTTCCTATGAGGTTTTACTCAGAAATTTCAAGTAGTAACATATATAACTGAAATATAATTTCCATGAAAAGAAAAACTGTTGCACAGAATATTTTGTCTCAAATAAAAGCTGTAACAGATAAATATAAATAAAGGTGGGATAAATTGGTTAGATTTGCAAACGATAGTGCACCTGCTATAGTTGTAAAAAAATTGGTAAAATTAAGAAATATAGTGCAAGAAGAAAAATTTCAGATAAGTTTTGCACTATATGTTGCATTATTCATCAAGAATCACCTGTGCCAAAAGATTACAAATGGATAATATTGTGGAAATGATAATTAAAAAAATAAACTTTATCCATGGATGAACTTTGAATCATCAAGTGCTTGAAGAAACTGAATGTGAGTAAGGAGAAATGATTTATTATAACAAAGTGAGATGATTAAGTGGAGGATCTGTATAAAAATTATTTTTTGATTTAGTAAATAAATCACAACTTTCATGATGAAATAAATAAATAAATAAAATAAAAATCATACACGAGCTACATAATGATTATAGACTTAGCATTTCTCATCGATTTAAATGGTCATTTAAATGTAAAGATCTACAAGGAAAGGATAAACTCATCACCAATAAGCATGCTTCTATGTTTTTAAAGTTACATTACAAATACAGGAAACACAACTGAAATAGAAAAAAATTCTGCACATTTTTTATGTCTTAAAATACTGCCCTATTATTTATTCCAAATGAAAAATCTCGAGAATAAGCTATTCTTCTATAGCATTATTATGGCATTTAAAAAGTATAATGATTTGGAGGCCAATTTTAAATTATTTTCATTACCACTGAACATGGACATAAATAAGATGCTCCCCCCTCCAAGTGGAAGTAATTAATTCGCAGTGTGATATAAATCTTATTTAAAATTTGAAGATACAGACCTAATTAACATTTATTTGCACTTGTGAAAAGATAAATATCCTCAGTTATAAATTTTTGCAATAAGACTTTCGCTTTGCTTGAGATTACAATAAACGTGGTATTCCGGAATAAACGTGATTTTTGGGAGAAGGGGGCAGTTGAATAAGTCTAACAAAAGAGATCAATTGATAACAAACATTTACAATCTACAATGAAGATATTTTCCAGCAATTTTTAATACATTAAGCAATTTAATATATAAGGCATAAATTATTTAAGCAATTTTTTTTTAAAAAAAGAGAAATTCATAATTATTTACAAACTAGCATGTGTATTTTCCTGCATGTATCACTAAAAAAATTAATGCGTAAAATAAAGAGAACAAACAGGTTGTTATTTATTATAAAGTTTGTTCCACTGGAGTAGTTTTCTCTGAAAATTTGGTAAGTTTTCATAATTTGTTTATTTTAAAATTTAACATAAAATTAAAATAAAACAAATTATAAAAACTAATTTAATGGTTAAGTCAACATATTAGAATTATTGGAAATAAGTATCAGCCTAAAAATGTAATATTTAGGTGCTAAAACGAATGAATTGAATTACGAAATGAACAGAAATTTGTTACAGATGGAAAATAAGAACAATAAATTTGAATTTTTCCCTTTATTGTTTATGCATGTTTTGAAGAATATTTAAGAACTGAAATTTGAAATCAAGTTAAAATTTTGTTAAAAAAATCTGGCCGCCTGCTAATTTCAAGTTTTGCATACGGCCCACCAACAGCTTTCAGGTCACGCATGTGGCCCACACACTATTTGAGCGAAACCATCGTATTAAGATGTAAGCTTCTAAAAACTGAAGAGTTTATATTCATATCAAGACCCTATAATTATGTGCGAATTGGATTATTCATCACAAGAATTTTGTCATTCACTAATAAAATCATGTTTAATCCATAGCTACATGTGTCTGCAAGTGTCATCATCCATGGATTAAAATTCTCCTATCTCTTACATACATATTGTTACGAAATGTACAGACCCGGTAAGATAGCTTCCCCGCAAGACAGTTTTAAAATGGCAAGGGAAGGCAGGGTTCCCCACATTTGGCGATATACCATGGATGGATGGAGAACCTTCTGGAACGAATTGTTACCAGTGTAGCCCAGAATGTTCTCGAACACAAGCCGAAAGCTATGTAAACCCTGCTGGTACGTGGAGAGTCAGTATCAAGTCAGTGTTTCTTGTCTAGCGAGTCAGTTAGTATTGAGTTAGTCCGCGCGGAGTCAATCGAGTTGACAGCCGGGCAGCGAGTGCCGAGTGGGTCGTCTGGTGCATGGAAAGAGTCTCTTAGTGTATCGCAGTTAGTGCATAGTCGAGAGAGAGTGTTTAGCTCCGGAAATGAGTGAACCGAAAAGTCGGGAGCTGTGCTCTGTGTGTCATCGAGTGCATCGTGAGTTGTAGCGCGGAGAGTCTCGAGAGTATGTGGGGTTCCGAGAATGACCGAGCAGAGTCAGAAGCTGTACTCTGGTGCTTTGCAGTGAGGCTGTCTCCACTGTGATAGCCCGATAACTTGAAGGCTGTGTCGCTGAGTTTCAGCGTGTATATGGTAGATCTTCCACGACTGTAAAAGTGTTTTGGAGCTGGCCTGAGTACACCGGCCAATAAAGTGTGTTTTGATACTTCATCAAGTGTCATCGTTATTCACTCCAAATTTACAAGAACCCGCGAAGAAAATAACGTAACAACTAGTGTCAGAAAAAAATATAACAATACACACACACAAAGCAGTTAAAACATTTTTTTAATTTTTGATTTTTTTAAACAAAATTTTGATTAAAATATTATTTAATTATCTTGAAAGTAGCATCACAAAATAACAAACATCAAACAGAAGTAGCAGGATAAATAAATGAAACCTAAAGAGTTTGCTACATTTGAATTAAATACAAGATTGAAGTGTAAATCCTGATAAATGTAAAATTAGGATAATATTAATTAGGTTACTCAGTTTTGATATTTCTACATTTTTGGGGAGAAGGGGGAGACAAAGCATCACAAACTTTCTAAACTGGTCTGTTGTTAAGAAATATAAATTATATTAAGAACTATGATGGCATGATTTTTTGGACCTGCTCATGAAGGTATTTAAATGGCATTCATTAACTAAGTTTGTATAATTACTTATTTTAATCCCTGTTTTCATAGAATTCTATTCATTTAAATGATATTTCTGTCATCAAAGAAACAGCAAAATATTTTAAATTATAAAATAATACATATTAACTGACAAAAAAATTTCATGATCGAATAAAGGCAGTTATGCCACTCATGAGTTAATAAGGGTTGAATACTGAAATTTATAAAATTTAAATTCTATAGCTGCATTATACAATTAATACTAAGTTTCTTCAACATTAGGTTGCGCAACATAGTTTAACTATCATTACATACAATGCAGTTTTTTAAATTTCTGCATACTAATCATAGAATACTTTATTCCACTATTAACAATACTAAGGTTATTTAACCAGCATACAACATTTTAAGCAAAATGAAGCATCTTTTCAAAATGCATCAATTCAGAATAGGTAATAACAGATGAAAATGATTTCAGAAATAGACAATGCAAAGTTCTTATCCAAGACATTCAAATATATTAAATATTTTCCAAAGCTCTACACCAAAATACTCATAGTAATCATAGATTAGGATCAGTAAGTACTTCATTTCGAAGCTTTTATTATGTACAGTTAATTAATGGCTATACATAGTGCAGGATTAATGAGTGCACTTTTGTCCATTAATGAAAACTATTTCAATAATACTTGATAGTATTAATTATTCTTTTCAAAATTATTTCTGCAACACAGAGGCTCCCAATAGTAAATTTAAACTCTATGTAAATGTTTAAAAGGTACTTTTCCATTAATGGAGCACCTAGCATCAACCATAAATGTTGGCACGAAACCTAACTAGATGGTGGAAATACTAACAATACATAAAACTTCATGGGGAAAAAAGGGAATTTGTAATAACAATAATATATTATAAAATAAAACATACAATGTTTAATGTGCACCATGCTAGGGATCTCTTTTTGGTT